ACACAAACATCATAATAACTATGACTATTGCGAGTATGCATCGCTTCGACCCGGCCCGGTCCTAAACGTCCCTTCGCTCTTAGCATCCAGACTACGGATTGTCGAGGCCACGGGAAACAAATTTCCTTATATTGAGCGCGAGAATTACCTAGATGAGTAATAATCCGGAGATTTTTCAACACTTTCGCGAGAGAGATTCATAGCACGTGATCGGACATCATATACAACATGCAGCACCACTGCATAGTATAATGATCACTTTCAAATGTGTGCTGCATTACATCGCTATGATGCGGTATTGCACACAAGAAAAAAAAGGGCATGTTTTGAGGTTCGAGTCGCAATAGCAGCGACAAAAATTATGCATGCACTTGAAGCTTGACTTCATCGACCTGAGGCCAGGCTGGCAGACCAGAAACGACAAGCCGTAGTGTCAGTTCCCCCGACCTTTACCCGCACGAGTCAGGAGTGCAGAAAAACCTAGGGCCACCGAGGACACCCACCATCAGGGCAGAGAACTCTAGAAAGTGGATTATGCTCTCCAATTCCCGATGGGTCGAGCCGAGAAACCGTTGGTTGCGTTCTTCCCGAGAGCAAGTCTCCGAGGTTAAGTATCGAGTCGATAAGTTCTAGTCGCCAGTCCATAGCTCAGGTAAAGCCCAATGATGGCCGAATCTGAACGGTGGAGCATCCCCTGGTCAAAACTGAATGACCTCTTCCGCCTAATTGAAAGAATTTATGTAAGTTCTGCGAGCTTGTGTTCCAAGAGTTGGAGTAGCTATAGAAAGGTGGGGGGGAGGAAATACTGGGACCTCTCGGACGGTTCGACAGTCAATAGTCGCCAGATAGTCTCTCTGGTGGTTCAATGATTCATGGATTCTTTGGGCGGAAGAGAGGGGGAATTGTGGGCTTTTTCCTTCTTGTCTCGGGATGTGATTTCCGTTTAACCTGTCTGAGTGCCTCGGGCTCCCCGGCGAGGCATTTCAACCTCCAACTTCATGCTGGAACAACATATACAGACGCGTATACAGAAGATTCACATGCACATGTTTATGCACTAATTGAAGGAATAGACTGAGAGTTCTCTTACATACGTCCTTCAATCAAGCGCGAATGCCTACTGTACAACTACAGTACACCAAACTTCGGCCTAGCTACAACCGAATCCAACACAATAGCATGCCGTCACGTCTCCGCAGGCACAACTATACACAAACAACCCTCACCGAGCAGAACAGAAATAGAATTGGCGACAAAGCAGATACGTAACCACCAAGAATAACAACAAGCCATCACCGGCCCTAAATCCCGAGTGAATAACACGAACCCTACTCCCGTAACACTCTCCGGAGAGCACCTAGCCCGTCTGCGACCAGATTGGAGGACCAAAATGCCGAAGAAATTAGCCAGGGGAAATAGAATTCGTACACTCGGAACTGCGGCTGGATGTCCGTCTTTGTGTTTCTCTCCTCTCACTTTTTCAAGTCAACTTCTGTGTTTCGGACCTTCCGGGCCATGCAGCACGTTAGCCAAGAAGAGAGCGAGAGGGAGGTATCGGGAAGGGGGAAAAAGTGAAATTGCGGCACAATTACCTTGAGCGAGCTCGAGAGAAAGGAGGCTAAACTGGTTCAGGGGTTAGTGGGTGTTCTAATTGCGCACGGGGCGTTGGTGCTTGGTGGTGGATTGGACGGACCGGGTCGGGGTGGAACGGGATATCGCCCGGGTACGTGTACTATCTACTTCTCTTACCGTGGTCTTTGCCGGTGGGTTGGTTGGGTTTAGGGTGAAATTGATGTTTTGTTTGAGTTGCAGGGGACTACGTACAGGGCTGTAGTGCATGTGGCTAGATCCTGGGATATTTTTTGAGTGCTACTTAGTTGTCAGAATTGGCAATTACTATGCCCGGATATGTATCGAGCTCGTGAGGGATAGTGGATGAATAGTACTCCTCCATCGTGATGAAGAGTACCAAATGACAAAGACGGGAGAAAATGAAAGGTTTAGATCCAAGAAACAACACGTTTGACCCTATCTAGGACCAAAAAATAAGTTCAGTAAGCTCAGCAGGTATATTGGCCAGAGATATGCCGTGGATTGCCACATCATTTAAGGCAGCCTTGCTGTAACCAGACTCAATGTCAGGGACCAGACACAGATCGTCCCATGATCCGAATCATCGAACTGGTTATAAGAATGTTTCATATAGCCAAACATGACTCGTCAGTCCGTCCAAAGCGAACCATGCATACTCCCCGAGTCGAGTCCCCGATACAAGAACCGACCTCCATCCAATACTGTCCATTGCCACCAAACAATCTCTCAATTCGAAAGGAAGTCCGACTCAACTCGCGCACCTTTCTACTGAGTACTAACAACATTGTCACTACTCACGCTAGATCGACACCAAACCCATCATACTCAACACCGGCAAGCCTATCCGGTCTCCGCCCCGCGAAGCCCAGCATCAAAGCTGCATGGTACTTTCGAAACCACCTGCAGCTGCAGCAACAAGCAGGTAAGACAGTAGCACAATCCTCATATGGGCAGTGCATTAGCGGGCGGTGGTGGCGAAAAAAAAGAAAAGCATGGGGACAATCAACGCGACTGATACGTCTCAAACATACTAAGTAATCACCATCAGCCAGAAGAAGCCTGACTAGTTCGGACCGGATATGTCCATGTCCGGAGGATTTTCAACCGCCAAGTTACGAGCACAGGTGAATCAGTGGCTTGCGATCCCCTCGTAAAAGCTCTCACTCTGCGCCAAGGATCAAACAGTAAGATGGTCGATGATGCCCACGGCCCAAACTATGCACAACCTTTGTCTTGTGAAGCCAAGGAACAAGAATCCCACCGGGAGGTAATCCGAGTAAGGCTTAGAACTTAGAGCAACAATCCCATCGCAACACCCAAGAGTACAGTAGATCGAACTCCTTCCAACCACCCGCCTCCAGCGTAAGGCATCATCAACAACGACAGGAATCGATCATACCATAAGGAAGGGAACCCCAGCCCCCCTCTCCTTTCCCCCCTCCTCTATCCATGCAGAAGCCTCCACCGACTGGATCCATAGGCTCTGACCCAGCCAAACAGCGCAGCAAATCAATAAACCATAGGCCATATTGAACCCCTCCTATCAACAGGGATCTTGACAGGCTCGCCCCCGGATGACGGAACCATCCGCAGCCTCGGTATGATCCGGTGAATCACCGTGGTTAGGTTTGTCAGTCAGACTAAGAAGTAAGAACTGGCTGGTACATACAATAGACTGAGCAGGGATGGAATATGAGTAGTATGAGTCGGGGTTTTACAGACGGCGAATTACTTATCACCCTTTTTTTTTTTTCCCTGGTTGTTCGCAGTCCATCCTAGGTCGTCGGGAATTAATCCAAGACATGTTCATATTAAACAATCACTAGTTCATCGAGGCCCATAATCTAAAAAGAAAAGACAAGACAATCTAAACTAAGCCCGCGGAGAAGTAAATCGATCATCGTCCCAGAGTGACATTGGTATTACTAAGTACAGTACACTCACTACGGAGGTAGTTGGGCCCTGCACAGCAAAGGGACACCATACTTTACTTCCGTAGCATAGGCTACTACTACCCCTGAGACGATACAGACACACCTATCTTCCCTCGCTCTCTACCCTATAGTGTACCGTTATTCCGACTGGTTTGGCGGATGTACGCAGCGGATTAAAGCCCTTCAACACAAACAAAACAATCGATCAAACACCGTGGAACTCGGAGTCGGCTGCCTATTATCATCTCAAAGCCAAGACCATCCGCAGGCCTTCCTGTTAGTCAGAATAGCGTACCCATTGGGGTCAATCTACCTTGGCCTGAGCTTCTAAGTGGAAATACTAAGTATCAATTGAGCCTAACTTACCGTAGGGGCCTGCCCATCTATCTATCCATCCCCTGTCAACCTGAGCCAAGGACTGAGGCGTACGTAGTTCCCAAGTTAATATGATTCAACTCCCCGAACAACCACCAAGCCAAACCACCCAAACCCCACTAAACCAGCTAACCCAAACTCCAAGCCCGGAAAAATCACGCATAGCCAAGTCCACCCCAGGTACCGGAATATCCGGATCTACTCGCGCCAAAATAAACTATAGTGAGTCCAAGAAATCGAAAAGGCTTGGAGGTGGACGATTGAGAGGGGGCTGTGAGATTTCGGCTCATGGAGTGTATACCTAGCCGTATTCAACGTAGTTCATTACATGAAACTGACTGGGCTTACTCAACTCGCCGAAAAATCTATCGGTCAATCGATTCTAGGGTTTGAACCGAACAAAAATCAATCTGGAATTAAATGAGTAATCTATTTTGGCTAGATTGATAGATTGATTGATTGTTGATTGATTGATTGCCTTCCAGGGGCCGGGCGCCCGGCCGAATCAAATGGTGTATAGTACCTAGGTAAGTATGGGTTGCTGTCTAACTTGGGATACTCTACCGGTAGTTAGTTAGGGTGCATGTAATATGTGGGCGTTGGCGTAGGAACTGGGTAACTATGGCTGGCTAGCTGGCTGGATGAGTGAGGAAGAAAGGGCGGGAGCTCATACAATATGCCGCTCTGTTGGTTGTTGGTTGGCGGTTGTCGGGATGTCGGGCCGAGATAAGTTTCAGGTCACATCATTCATGTTGTATATGATGATGATGGGTTGGTGGATGTTTGGGGACTAGGGAAGGAAGAATCGGGCATGAGGGATTAAACTTGTGCCGTAGCAGGATTCAATTAGATTGAATTGATGCAAGCAGACGATCACTATACCGTGCGTGCGTGCTGTACTATATTTGGTGGTAATTGTGTAGAGGTAAGAGGTAGAGGTAAAGAGGCAAGGTGGTTGGTGGTGAACCGTTGACGCTAGCGGTTGACTTGGAGCCTAAGAAATTTCTGCCCGCTAATATGGCATCATGGATTGATTACTCTGCAACCCGCCAAGCTTACTTCTACTACAACAAACTTACTGGAAACCCGCGCAATTGACTACAAATCATCTCATTAAAACATCATGGGGGTATTGCAAATCCTGTTCATTTGCTGTTGCTACCATTTTAGACAAAAAGACCACATTAGAAAGCACAAACACTCATCGGACCGTCATCCAGGAACCATCTAAGCCTCGTAGAGGGTGTTGAGGAACTCCTTGGAAGCACGCTCGGGCTTGCCGCTCTCAAGGGGCTTCTGGCCGAGCTTCTCCTTGGAGAAAGCAGCAGCGTAGGGGTTGAGGCGGAGCATGACCTGCTTGTTGCGGAGAGGGTTCTTCTTCTGCACAACGGGGCGCTTGGTGCGGGCCTCACCCTTGGGAGCACGCAGAACGGACTGGATCTCAGAGGAGTTGATGAGACGGGCCAGGTCAGCGTTGGCGACCAGGTTGGAGGGGAGGAGGAAGTCCTTCTTGAGGGCGGCGGGGGTGGTGGTGCTGCCGTAGACCTGGTCAAGAGCCTCGAAAGCGGCGGAGGACCAGACGATGAAGCGACCGAGGTGGCCACCGGGGGCGAGCTGGAGGAGGTTGAGGGAGAAGACGGAGGAGGTCTCGACACCGGGGATGTTGCGGAAGGCACGGACGAGCTCCTTGCCATCAACCTCGGGGTTGTAGACAACGAGGGGACCGCGGCGCTGGCGGAAGCGGCGGTTCCTCAGCTTACCCTTACCAGCACGGAGCTTGCGGGACTTCTGGACCTTGACAAGGTCGGAGCCAGCACCGATGGCCTGGAGCAGGGCAACGGCAGCCTTGGTCTTGCTGACGGCAGCGTTCTCGAAGGTCTTGGACTCAACGACGAGGGGAACCTCGGGGACGTTGGCGACACGGTGACCGCGGGCGAACAGAAGAGAGGGGACGGAGGAGGCAGCGAGGGCAGAGGCGGTAGCGAAACGTCTGCATTATTTTGGTCAATTCCTGTCCGTCTTCTGGCTCCCAGCGCGAGGAATTCGATGTATCCATACCTCTGGCCAACGTTGACCTTCTGGTGCCACTTACGCCAGACCTTGGTAGGGGCGAACATGCGACCAGAACGGCACTGGTTACCGAAAGCAGCCTGACCAGCACGGTGAGTACCACCACCGGAGACACGGGGGATACGAGCGACAGCGCGACCTGCAAATCCAATCCCTATCAGTCCCTGAAAATTCTGCCCCCTTGCGATCGATCCAACGTACCGGTACCCCAGGACTCAGCGGAAGTCTGTTCACCAGCCTTCTCGCTCACGGCGTAGGGCTGTCTCTTGTTCTTGGCAATGCCGGTGTGCACCTGCCTATAGTTCACAATCCGTCAGCCTTTTCCATCCCGGTAGTCGAAAATTTTTGTTCCCTCCCCATCTCGGATTCTCTCAAAGATCGAACATACTGAACAATGTCAGGACGGATGGGCGCAGTGAAAACGGCGGGCAGGGGAGCAGTGGCCCCGCTGGGCTTGCCCTCGGCCGTGGCGATGGTGACGGTAGGACGAGACGCCATTGTTGTCGACGGGGTGTGGTGGTCGTTATCGTCTCGTTCGAGGTTGAAGATCGAGTATCTCAAAGATGAGCCTGCGCAAATTTTCGCTTAGTTCGAATCGCCCGTCGTGGGTGCGGCAAAGCCCTAGCCCTGATTACTGTTTTGGGTGGCCGCCAGCTGGCTTAGCTGCTGGCGCGGTCTGGATGCCTGAGGCGGAGAAAGAAGTGTGGAGTAATCGCGTTCACGACTCCACCAACCAACAACTACACTACCTTCTTTGTCTGAGTATAAGCAGGCCACCGGCATTGTTTGTATTCTTGTAAAGATTTGTTAAGTGACGATGATGTCTGACGAAGCAGCAGTGAGAGGTGAGTAATTGACAGTATCTGGTCTTTAGACGTCTATGATGGTAGGAATTATACTACATAGTCCTGTCTTCTCTCATGTTCAAACTTGTCCGCGAGCGAAGCTTGTGTTAACTCATGGTTATAGAGGTCGTTGCCATACTTCAAGGACTGCGAACAGGTTAACGATACATACTGACGCAGACTAAATCCCCAAAAAGCGATCTATACAAATGGATCTGGACTTGGCTGATCCAAACCCAACGCCTAGCTCTCCGTTTGGTTTATCATGATTTACGCGGTCGTCTACCAATGCTACTGAGAAAGATACTACGATATGTTCCATTGATCAGAAGTAATGCCAAGAGCAAAAAAAAGAAATCCATTGATACTGGCCAGCAGTATATTCTTATATCGATGTGCTGTTTCTTTTTAAGATCATGAATGTACAAAAAGAGCGGAGACCCCTAGGGGCCTTTCACACACGCATTCGTATCGTGGAAGGGAAGGAATGCTTAGAAGTTATCATCAAATTCGTTATGGAATGGTCGTGTTGTTTGAATGATCAAGCGTGCTAGTGGCCAGCGTGAGCACGGCGTCTAGCGCGCATCTCAGTCCCATCGCGCTTGGACTTGGCGGCTGCGATGGAAAGGTTGGCGCTCTGTCCCGGGGTGCACTGGGTGCCGCTCGCCATCGGCTGAGCAGAAGTCCACTTGCCATTGGCACAGCGCTGGAAGGCAGAGCCGTTGACGCAGTTCCATTGGCCGTCCTCGCTGCAAGTACCAGTGAGGCCACCGGAGCTCGAGGAGCCACTGCTGCTGGAGCCAGACGAAGAAGATCCAGAGGACGAACCGGAGGACGAACCGGAGGACGAACCAGAAGAAGAGCTAGAGGAAGAGCCAGCAGAAGCGGAACTCGCTGTTGGAGGCGCTGCATAAGCCGTGCTCACAGCGGCTGCGGTGGTCGAGGTCTTGTAAGATCCGGTGCCCGCGTTGGCATTGGCGACAATAGCACTAGTAACGGCAGCAGCTGCACTCGACGCAGAATCCGACCCGATGTTAGAGCTGGATCCAGAGCTTGAACCAGATCCAGAATCACCAGCACCACCAAAGGTAGCAATTCCCGAGCAGGCGGCGCTGCCTTCGGGTGCCAAGTTGCTGGCCTCGCCAAGGTACTGGACGTTGTCACCAGGCTGAGGGAAGCGAATGTCCACGCCTTCCTTAGTTGTGCAGCCGTTGACATTGGCGACAAACATGGGAGGGAAGTGTGATGAGCGAGGCTCCACTTTCTTCATCACCCTAGAGCGCTTGGTGCCGCCAGTCACTTCCAGAGGGGCGCAGTTCATATACATTTCGCGGTTGCCGATACGGTTGAACCAGGTCCAGGCCAGGGTGTATTTTCCAGGGGTGATACCCTCCGGGATGGTATAGCTGAAGGTGTAAGGATCCGCACCACCAGGGTTGGCCGCCAAGTTGCCAGCAACATTGGCTGGACAACCACCCTCGAAGGACTTGATAACCATCCACTCGGAGTCTTTGGTTGGCTCCAGATCTGTGGTCAAACTAATCTGACAGGAACCTCCACCGTGGGTGGCACTACCCTGGAAGGACAAGGGCATGCTCTGGCCAATTGCGGCCGTGTTCCACTCGGTAACTTCATAGGTGTTGGAACGCAGCTTGCAAGGGAAATCACTACCATCAGCCGCGAGGGGCGAGTTGTTCAAGGTATCCTTGCCGTAGGGAACGGGCTGAGACATGATCATGTGTCCGTTGACGGCGGAAATGCCGAGCAAGGCAGCTACGGCGAGGATCGACTTGGAGAACATTGTGGTTCGTAAAGTTGTATGCGTAGGCTGTTCGACAGTTGGAAGGAGTGGTGATAGAGTTGTTCAAATCGTGCCAGACGAATATGAACAAGAAATGAAGGTACAAAGCTTATGAGACCTGTTGAGAATGGGTTAGCCAATACCTTTTTATATATTGTACAGGCAAGTGTTAAAGATCAATAACTGATGCAATAGAGATGAGATTGTCGGTATAGATGACAGAGCGTAACACATAAACTGTGCACAGAGTGAAAATTACCTTAATGCAGACAGGACAATAAAGCGAAGTCCTCCGGTCAAAGAATGGCTGTAGCGGGAGATAGCGCCAATATCGATTGTTCTTTGTAAGGCTGAAGGAAGGAACGTCGGAGACTGCCACAGGCAAGACAACCGCAAAGATGCAAGTAAAAGAAGGAGTGTTGGGAAAAGAAAGACAGGACTAGCCTGTGAAACTGTCGAGCAGGTGCAAAGAAGAAAGAGAATGAAGGATTGAACGCCCCAGCGCGTGAGTGAGAGAATGAAGAAGAGAAAGAGGCCCAGCCCTGGTGTTACAGGGGGGATTATATACCATGATGTTTTGTCAATTGGAAGCGCCATGATTCAGGCGACAGGGGACAACAATCAGGGTTTCTTTTTTTGCATTCGAGACATGCATCATTGACCACCATTCAAGGTTCACAGTTTAGCGATGGACTTTTGATAGAGGTGAGTGGAGCAAAGTGCAGTACAATCCGTACATGGAGAGTACCTTAGGTAGGGAAGTACAGTACATACATAGAGTACATACTTGAGTACAGTACATCTTGTCGCACCATTAGCCCGGCGCTTCGGATCATTGGCCGTGGAAGGATCGATTGGCGCCGGCCCACTGCCAATCATCGCCTGCGGGGGGGTTCGAGTTGTCCGTCCCTGCACCGATCAACTCTTCAGTCTGCGCGTTGATTGACCAGCTTGGATTTCACCGAATTCAGGTACAAGAGTTTGGGGATACGAGTAATCTTCAATTCTCAAGGTTCCATCCTGATTGTCTGTCCAACTGTCGCAACATCTACCCTGCGCACCCAATCATCGCCAGCAGTTAGACATCTTCTCCTCTCCTCGACTCCTCATTGCTTCGCGACTCACAATTCACGTCTATCTCCCATGGATCAGCAGCACAAGAAACCGGAGTCTCAGACCCTTACTTCCACCTTCAATCCTCCGCTCGACGTGGGCCTTTCAGCCACTAACGGTCGATTATCCTATTGACCTGTTCTGTCTGCAATGAGGTGTGTCTTCGGCCTCATCCCTCTTTGGGACCAGATCTACAGCGCATTTCCGTCCAAAACTACATCATCGCATGTGAGTCCAGAATCTGCGATAACACATTTGCCTCCCACCACTGTGATCATCCCTTCTCTCAGCTTTTTTTTTCCTATTTACATGTCAAACGTAAAGTCCATTGGTAACCATATTGCCATCATGTTTTACCAGTCACAATATCGGGACGAAATGACCAACTCGTCCAACCAATCCAGGCGAGCCAAAAGACACACATCCGAAGCCGATACGACCAAGAAAAGATTACCCATCCTCCAATCAGACCTTGAGAGTCATCTGCGACTGAGTTTTGGGGTCTTTCCTATCCTTTGGGTCTTCAGTCCCTGAGTGGTCCGACTTGGCGCTTGGTGGCGAACAAAGTCAAACATGATGTCTTACCCGTGAACTATATTGATCACTTGGGCGGCTTGGGCCACTGCCCAAAGTAAGTATCGCCTGCTCCTATTTTGAGTGTATCATGCTACAGACAAAAATATTTCTGTGGTTGGGAATCAAGGGACCGAGGTAAGAACCGAACAAGAAGGTCCTGTACCTTCCCAACCTTCCCAACCACCGCCCATGGTTCAAAGTCGATCCCCGCGGACCCTTTCGGCGTACAACTCTGGAAGTGTGGAGTTTGCCTTCCTGTTCTCTGCTGCCTGTCGGATATCCCCGGTGAAATTGGCTGAAACTTCCACTCCAGAAGTCAGTACCTTTGTGAGCTATGTTATAGGTAAACGAGTGCGCAGGAGCCTGCTGTATAGTGCAGAGGCTACACCGAGCTCCTGCGCGTTGGATTGGACCTGCATAATGCATCACATCTCTCGCTTACTTGACTTGGGCGATCTCAACTCACCTCGATAAGAGGAAGTCGAATACCTGACTGGTCAAGCGAGAGCATAACTACTCCACTGATTCAGGCTTCTACACTTACACAGTCAAAGATCATCCGTCGCCTTCGGCCTAATGGGCTCATCTTCCACATCAACGCCTTGTCCATACCCAAACCTAACCTCATCGACCGGACCAGCTTGTTGTACTTCATACAAAAACACCAGGGCGACTACCTACGGCGGCTGGGTTTGTGTCCGCGGGGGACGGAGTCAGTAGACATCTGAAACGTGAACCCGGCGCGGGAGATCGCGGCGTCAATTAAGCGACGGGGTCTGCTTCATTTCCAGTCCGCCCTATGAAATAGATCTCCCAGGTCTGTAGGACGCTGAGTTTTGGGTGGTTTCTTGGATGCTAAGGGGCAAAGTGAGTAAGTGTAGCTGAGTAGCGCGATGGGATTGGCTACTGCTTTAAGATTGCTTTGTGTGACGCGGGACAGGTACGAGTCTAATTTCTGGTGACAGAATTATATATTCTTGGTAAGTGTATCGTACAGTCTATGTATGTACATGCTCGTAGCAGTTTATACATGAAGTTCATGGCTTTCGCCTTGACCTGCCAATGGATTAGCAGCAGCATTCTTCGAGAGCGCTGGGGCTCCACTCATGGAGCCTAACTCCTTGATTCAACATCTGCGGGACAGACATGGCTCTTGAGGATGTGGCGCAGGCAAACGACGTTTCAGCAACTGCCGTGCCAGGATTGAGGTTGACGTCTCCGATAATCTGGGGAGACTAGTGGTTCGATGCACCTGTCGTGTTGCACCGGCCATTGATGCATGGATGCAATCCTTATCCCAATAGATCAAGGCCATGTCAAGGGCCGGTCTGTGAGCATCTGATAACGCACCATTTCGTTCATCTCGCTTCATGCAGCAGGCCAACAGGCCCTATCTGCAAGACGAGAACCCTCGCAAGACATTCGACCCTCAGACCATCGTCAATTCACTCATCACTGTATCAAATCACAGATCATTTCTTCCCCTTCTTCTTACCCCCCTTCCCATCCCCACTGCCTCCAGACTCCCTCACAAATCCCCCCTTAACCAACGCATCCCTCCCCGCAGCATTAATGATCCTAAACCGATCCGGGCCCAGCAAAACCCCACCATACCACCTAGTCACGACCACGACGACATCCCACACATCCATCAACTGCATCAGATGCAACAGTCGCCCACCAGCCGCCGTCTCCCCATCATCATCACAATCCTGCACAATCGACACATCGCCCGCAGCATCAGCACCAGCACCAAGAGCAGTAGCCGCCTTATTCCCCGTCAGCGCAACCTTCCTCTCCCTGATCCTCCACGCACTAATATTATGCGTCGCGCCCGCGACCTTCTTCTCCACCGCCAACAAATAATCCAGAAACCCCTTCGCCTGCTCCAGGCTCGTCACCCGCGCCGCCCGCCCCACGAACACGGACTTCTTCTCCGTGATCACATCCGAGAGAACCCATTCCGGTGGAGCGGTTAGCCCGAAGGTTTCGTGGAGGTGGAGGGCGCTCGTATCTGCGGTGTTTGGTGCGATTTCTGTGGGGCCTGTGCCATTGTTGCTGTTTGTAGATGGATTGGGATTGGGGTTGGAGTTGGAGTTGGGATTGTTGTGGACGGTATCCCCGCCCACCCCTAGTTCCGTGAAGGTCGTCTCCGCTTCGGAGATCAGGTCGAAGAGGCAGACGGAGCCTGGCGTGTAGCTCCGAGAGAGGATGTCGGCGAGCACGTCGACGGCTAGCTTGCCTTCGCCACGGGCGGCGGTTGAGGCTGTGCCTAGGATGCGCGGCGGGGTGTCCGGGTAGGTTGCTGGGAAGCTGAGGAGGAAGGAGAGGTGCGGGTGGTTTGGGATTTGGAGTTTGAGGGTTGTTGTGCTTGTTGTTGTTGTTGCTTCTTCGGGAGTGGTGGTGTTGCCCAGGTCGAGGGTTGTGGTAGTGCTGCTGGTGCTGGTTCCTGTGCTGGAGATTGTGATGGTGTCGGGGTCGTAGATTGCGTTTATGGCTTCGAGTTCGTCGGCCAGATCTGGGTTGGAAATTGACATCTTGGTTGCGTGAGGGTTGTGCAGGGGATTGTGGAGGATAGCCTGGTGGATGTGCGACTGCGGCTTTGATTGCAACGGTTGGTGAGGGGAGATCTGATCTATGGCTGAGGGGGATTTAAGAGCATCAAGCTATGTGGAGGTGATAATTGTTGAATCTGCTATTCTTTCCCAATCAGGCCTTATAGCTCAATGGTAGGGCGTCAGTTTTCGGTACTGAAGGTTCTGGGTTCGAGTCCCAGTGGGGTCGCTTCTTTTTTGCTTTTGTTTTCTTTGTTAGCTGTCGATCTTGCGTCTAGCAGTGTTTGAGTTGTAGAACTGGGGTAAAGGCCCAAAGGGCGCACACGCCTTTGTGGAGGGTCTACTCCGTATTCTTGCGGACTATACGGAGTTCCTTGTTCTGTGTTCTCCATTGGACAGTATCGACAAAATGAAACTCAACAACCCAAGCCCATCATATTTACCGCCCTCTCCAACTGCAACCCCTGCAGCATCGTCTCTTCATCCTTTATTCCATCCAAGTTCTTCCTTTTCCAGAAAGTCCGGAACCCCTCTACTAACCTCCGAGTAATGTCGGAGATCTCGTCTGCTGGCATCGCTGCGAAGCAAAGTCGGAAGTACTGCTGCGACCGAATGACCGCCGCAGGGGTGGGAGCGAACAATGACCCGGGACCCACCAGACACAAGAATGGCTCTTCCATCAAATGCAACCAGAGCGCCTTGATCAGCCTCTCGGCTCCATAGGTCTGCAGCAAGGGATGTGTCTCGATGCTGACCTTAAGCCAAACGAACATGCCCCCAGTGGGCCAAGCGAAGTCAAACATCTGCACCTTATCCAACACCTCCCAAGTGGCCTCTTCATCCTCCGAGTGAGCACAACCGGAACTCGTATCGACCAGATACTTCCCTTCTTCCAGGACGGTGCACATGTCGCGCATGCGCTGCTCGTAGCTCGCGCGCAGCCCCTCCAGCCACCGCACCCAGCCATCCATCTGCCAGGCGCGCTGCTCGCCCTTGCTATTTTTACTATTACTGCCGGCCGCCACGCCGTCGGGGGAGTCAACCTGCTGCCCCAGAATTAACTCGGCCACCATGGCCTGCACGAACCCAGACGGTTGCTGGGTGCTCGTCTCCGTGATACGCGTCAACCGCTCGATGAACGCCGGCGGAGCGGTGATCCACCCCAACCGACACCCCGGCGCAATCGTCTTGGAGAACGTGTCTAACCGCACGACGCGTCCGTCCGTGTCTAGCGAAAGATACGAGGGGATCAGCGAGTCCAGAAACGCGTACCCCGATGACCGGCCGTGCGCGTTGTAGTTGCGCGGCTTTGGATGGACCGCCAGCGGCGAGCCGCGATATTGGGCCTCCGTGGCTGCTGCAGACGGGTACTGGAGGTTCCAGTATGGGTCATCCTCGATGATGAGGATGTCATACTGCTGACACAACGAATAGATCTCCTTTCGTCGCTCAACGGACAGAGTCCCACCTGTTGGGTTTTGGCCGATTCTGCAGCAGAGCACAGATTTAGCTCCATGTGTGGGTGGAAGACAAAGTTGGTTGAACTTACGTGATGGTATACATCAAGTGCGGGCGACGTCCTTTCTTGAAATCCCAGTTCTCCAGAACATCCGCCAACCCGCCTTTGCCATGGGCGAGCATGCCCTGCGTGTCGACGGCAACGGTGGCGACGTTGACGCCCCGGGGCTGGAAGGTCTGAATGGCGTTCATGAAGACGAACTCCTCGCAGAGCACGCCCTCGCGCTGGTTGATATAGTCCCGCCGGGGGTCCCAGGCGGTGGTGAAGGCTTCGACGGCCTTGGACAGGCCATCGGTCGCCCCCGTCGTGAGCAGGGTCGCCGGCCCGCCCGCGTAGGGGACGTTAGGATGGAGATGCTCCCGGGCGAATTCGCGCACAAACGTGGCCAGGGCCGGCAGGCCCTCCGCGGTGCCATACTGCAAGGCCGTGGCGACATCGATCTTCCGGGCTAGACTGGTATTCGGGGTTTCTCGCGGCACGACCATGCGCTCCGTCGAACGCACGTCATCTCCGGTCGTGCTAGGACTTACCGGAAACCGCTGCGGGTGGACCACTGTGGCCTCGAGGGTGTCGTAGGGGAAGTATGACGCATTTGGCAAGCCTGATGTCGTGCGCGGTAAGTGAGGGGGAAGGAAGAATCAAACGCAACAGAGCAGAATGAAGTAATCAAAGAACAGAGCGAAACTCACCACCCGCCAAATTCTCAATGTCGGGCCGAAGCATATACTTATATAGGCTCTTCACGAGACTAGGTTCTCGTCGCTTGGTCACGAGAGAGAGATGATGCGACAAGTCGAGCGGAGGCGACTTCTGGAGAGTGGAGTAAACCATGATGGCGGGAATCACCGGCGAATATCTTCACAATTACTCATATATCGACTTATTTTCAGCAGGGAGAAGATAACCGTAAGCATTAACAGACCGGAAGCAAAGTAATCAACCCACTGGTCGCTCAGCGTTCGAGTGGAGTGGAGAGGCAAGGGTATATAAAACCGGACGTTATCGCAGTGCTTGATAAGCAAACCAAGAACAGCGGTTGGAGATCCACTCGGAGGATCCAGAGTCCAGACAGAACTCCCTCTTCCCCCATGACGGAACGGACCCGTTTGAATGGATTGGATGAGATAAGTTGCTGACTTAGTCTCCGTAGCCAAAGAGGGCTCGTGCTGTGGTTTTGGCTCTTTTTTGCTGGAGGGCGTTGGCTCGTGGAGAATGGAGATTGCGATAGATAGGGTTGGGATTCAAATCCTGATTTCTTATCCGACGAATCCCGCGGCCAGTGGCTGTCTGACAGGCTAGACCAGACTTCGAAGTGTACAGTACCTTGCTTTCCTCTGTCTGTGACTGTGTGCTATCAAGTCCATTCCCCGCAGATTTAACTTGTGGGTCATTATTATTGAACCGAGTGGGAACGAAGTCTGGGGGTGGATGTTCTTGTTTCTTTTCGCCCGGGAGTTGATTTCGGGCTGGTGTTTGATTACTGGGGTTATCGGAGTATGGGCTCTTTTAGTGTGTTCTAGTGCTGTAAGCAGGTCTTTGAGTAGTTAACTTGGAGAGCATTGTACTGCGACATACATAGAAACTATGATCCTTGGTGTATACAATTGCCCAAGAGGGGCGATCGTAGGATATATATGGAGGGGATGATGGGTGTTGACGGTTAAATATTCTAGCTGACTACTACTAGCAACCTGCCAAAACATACATCATCATGATCCATCGTCACCCTTTTTTGTGTATATAGTTGGCACCGTCAGCCACTTAGCAATAAATGATACACCTGACATATTCTTGGTGAAAATAACAATTTCGATCATTCAAGAAGTCATTTAACCACCTCTCTTCTGGCAAGAACTGTAATTATATTCAGTAGTCTAACAAACCCACTGGGTATACCTCCTCCACGCAATCCACCCCACTCACTCGCAGAAGCCATCCACACGGTTTAACCCACTACCTCACAGGCGATGACCTATTCTTCCTCCGGAAAGCCCAAAAGGCCGCTCATCCACCTCGCAAACACTCCCCAATTCCGGTAACCGGCCGGCCTGGAAATACTCTCGAACGAGACGACCTGAGCGGTGCCCTTGGAGGGAGCACTGTAGGAGCGATGCTGCAAGGCCTTGCGTTTGGTTCTTGTTTGTGTCTTCCAGAATTTCGGGAGTTAGGGTTGGGTGGTTGAGGTTGAGCGTGAGGGAAGATGTGAAGGGGGAGGGTGGGAGTTTTAGTGCTAGTGCAGGATGCTTGTGCGTATCTGTGGGTAGTCTGGAGATGTTGGTTGGACTCGATGGGGGTCGTTGTTGTTGAGGCTCGGTGGGCCGTGGGGATGGGATGTTCGTGCATGATTATTCTTCTTTACTGCGTGTTGGGTTGGGTGATTGCTGGGTGGGTGCTGGGTAGGTAGGTATTCAGTTATACTACTGAATGAAGATAAGGTGAAGAAGCAACCACTGGAATGAAATGAAGATAAAGTGGAGGGAGCTGAGAGAGGACCGTAGAAACTTCTGTATCCTTGGGGGGTGGTGTTTATTGACTGGGTTGATATGGGACATAGATAGACAGGGGTGTGGCTCCTGGTCTTGCAGTTTTAGTACTATATTTGTATAGGCTGAAATTAACTCAAGTGCTGGATGATGTTTAGCCGGGGTTTACAGGTGCCGAAATGCTGGAGGAAGCGCAGGACTAAGAATCCACCACATCATGAAGAACAACCATTGGGAGATATGACTGTATGTATATTCGAGACAACCCAACTTCTCTAGCCGAAACACAGTATCTAAAAATAAGAGTACATTGGTCCCCAAAAGAAAACAAGGGTATCCCTACTTTAACTCACAAATCCCGTCTCCCCGTAAAGATATTTGCATCAACGCCTAATTACCTTCAACAGCAGCCGCTGCTCCGCGCCCACGGCCACGACCCCGGAATCCATTACCTCCACGACCACCACCACGGCCACGGCCGCGCTGGTTTAGCGTTTGCGGAGGCGGGACCTGGGAATAGTTCTTGGGCCGGAAGTTCGGGTTGGTCTTCATCACTCCGGCGTCTGGATCGGTGCTCTCGACCGAGTGGTATCCGCCGCGAGTGCGACCCATGCCTCCACGACCGGCACCGCCGCGGCTCCCGCCTCGTCCCCGACCACCACGGAATGCGCCATCAACGGTCTGGTTGCCGTTGGGCTGAGGGCGGAAGGGCAGGGTCGTTTGAGCGCCGACGCCGTTCGATGCGCCTCGGCCGCCACGGCCACGACCGCTCATGCCGGTGAGTGCGCCGCGGTACGAGTTGCCCAGCGGCGCAGGGGCGGTAGCTTCTCTCAGCTGGCCCTGTCCGGCGGGTCCGGTAGGGGCGCCGTAACCGGCGACGGTGAGAGGGGTAGGCTGGGTTTGTTGCTGTGCATCCGCTGCACGAGTGCTAGCAATGAGCTGGCGGTAAGAGACGTTCAACACAGACGATGCGAGCACGGTCTGTCCGCGGAAAGGCGAGCAGCGGTCTCCGAGTGTCGTGCCGCTCATGAAAGAGACGTCGAAAACGACATCTAGTAGGACGGCTCGTGAGGTTCGGGTGAGTCCGACGACCGTTCCTCGAGTAGCGATAGGTACTTTACCCGAGTCTTGCGCGTAGACCACACGATCGCCAAGCTTAAACGTCTGATTTTGAAGTCGCTGCTCAACGTCGGAAGGCCGCAGAAGGGCGCTTCGTGGAACACCGCGGATCTTCTTGGGTTGCATCTGCGGTTGGCTCCGGACAAGCTCATCGGCATCCTGCTCGATCATCTTCACAACGTCCGAGTCCAGCTGTTCCGCCTCCAGGGGAACGCGCTCAAAGTTCTTGGCCTCAATTGATTTAAGCCAGTCGCGGATCTCCTGCATCTTCAGCAGAGCGACCTCTTCCGGATAAAAATCAGTGGGCGTGTACCGATCATTCTGAGGATTGCGCTGGATTCCTGCAATAAACTCGGGGAATTTGATCATATACTGCTGCAACAAGTCGACAGCCTTTTGACTGAACTCCCACCCGGAGTCGCCACGGCGCGAATAGCCAAGAACCTTCTGCTTGCGGGCTTCGAATTTGAGATTCAGACCCAAGTTGACCCGCTGACCCTCGATATCGACCGAGAACGAGGATGTAATCTTGGCCAAGACGAGGGGGTTCAAGCGCAGGCTCCGGGCGATGGCGAAGGAAGGCATATAGGGGCAGAGTCGCTCGGCGTTCTTGGCACGTTCTCGTCCAAACTCGGGCTCCCGGCCTTTCACTGCCGCTATCATACCATTGACCTTGCCATCGTCGTGCCCAGTGACATGCACCGGACGTCCATAGTTGTAATCTCCTAGGAAGAATGCCCGAGAACCCTCGGGAAATTCCTCCTCAATAGGCAGAGCGCCTCTCTCAATGAAGCGTTCATCGGGGTTAATCACATCATCTACAACCAACTGCAGGGCGTAGTCAGTTTCCTGCCCAGAAATATCGCCAAATTCTTTGATCGTAGCACCCTCATCAGTCTTGATCAAGCCCTTGAGCAACTGTACGTGTACCATGGACTCAACTGGACCGATGATGGTACCGAGTCTCTTGCTATACGTTCCTTCAATCTTATCGGCTTTCTTCTTCCATTGGTCAATCTGGGCTGCGGTGTGAGGGATAGCAACCACGTGTTGCTCACCCTCTGGCAGAAGATAATCGAAAAGCTCATCCGACACACGGATGACAAGCGCTTCTTGCAAAAAGGGATAGCCGACATGAACCCGTTGGCCGAGTTTCTGCTTGGCCAACTCCGCGCTCGATCTGCTTCCAGGATCAAGCACAGTGATGACCATGCTCTCGTTGCGGCTTTCCTGCTGAAATACACAGACTCCGTGGAATCCCAGCTGGCCAACATGGGGCAAGGTCTTTAGACTGGGGAACCCAGCCAAAGCTGACGCCCCGAGGTGTACTCCGTCTACCAACCCGATGTACGGCTCAAGACCGTCCATGGTAGGCAGATCGAAGACGTTTTCAATACAGTGACAGCTAGGGATATCCGGGAAGACGCCAGGAAGAGAGGACGGGTAGGTGAACTGCACATCTGGCGAATAGGTGAACTTTAGACTGGCGCCAAAGCCGTTTCTTGCCTTTTCTTCGGGCGTCAACAAATGTTCTCTAGTCGCCAAAGCAGCCAGCAAGCGGCCTTCATCGATGAAGGGGATCTTCACAACAGCCTCCCACTCCATCTTCTTTCCATTCATGTCCAATTCGAAATCGCGGGGGTAAAAATCAATAATCGGCGAGTCAGGTGAGGTCATCAAGTCATGATACGCAGTAGGCACAGTTTTCTTGCTGCGGTCAGGTAACACTCCCATAAGCTGCTCATAGGGCCTGAATGGCTTTCCAAGCCGGAAATTCGTGTCGGCCTTCAGGCCTTTCTTCACATCTGTGTCGAGTTAGTGATCGGTCATCGATTTCGCACACCTGGAACTTACCTGAAATCATTGGGGCATAGTGATACTTGAAGAACCATGGCCAGGACGCAATGCCTCTGTAGTAGTAGTACAGAACCCACTGAAGACCTTGCACGTAGTTCTCCGTCAACTGTTTCATCTCCTCGTGGCTATCCAGTCCCCAACCGAATTTACCCACATAATACTGGTCCTTCCATTCTTGGAATTTTTCCTCATACTTCTTCTCCGCCGCTGCTTGGGCCTCTTCAGTCGATAATTCCTGAACCTTGGCGTTTTCGTACTTCCGGATAATCCTTTGTACAGCCAACGTAGCCTCCTCGTCGTCATCCCCACTGTCATCGTCTTCAGTAGCAGGCAGCTGGACTCGGATGAAGCGATCGCCCTGCTCATCGGCGACGGTAGACCAAGGCAGTCGAAGGTCACCTGCGAGCTGCTCGACGAATTTGCGATCGCTGGCGGGCAGCGTAGAAGGAAAGTCAAGGGGCTTCGTCTCCGACGCTTTCCCAGGTCGGTTTAGCACGTATTTCTTCACCTCCTTGAGAAGCTCCTTTTGAGCAGGGGTGAGTGTGAGCCCCTTTGGCTTCTCATGTGCCTCAGTGGCGCCAGTCCTCTTGGCTTGCAGCCATCGTGCGTCAGAGAATTCGGCTTCAAAGAACCGATACTCAACGCTGCTCAGAGCGTCCAAGAGCATGCCCAGCCGCTCCATGTGGATGACACCTTGTTCATTAATATACCCACCCATCTTGGGTAAGATCTCCTTATAAGTCTTGAACATCAGTGCCAAAGCACCCTCATTGATGTGCAAGTTGGGCAGATTGGGCAAGAAGTCGTTTCCAACGAAAAACGCCATCAAGATGAAGTCATCAATGACCCTCTCCATGTCGAAGGGAAATTCTAGAACGCCTTCTTGTTCTAATTCCTGGAACTCCAATTCCAAATATTCTCTGACCATAGACAGATGTAAGAGATAGAAGTTCTGGTGCTCAAGTTCCTTGGGCTTCTTCGAAACCTGGCGGCCGAAGGTGACCTCTTCACGGAGGAGGCAGAAATGAGGGTCGTGGCTCAGCAGACCCAACATGATAAGATCGGCATCGAGTCCGTAGAGACAGTGGCGAACATTGGGATCGTAATCAGGCTGTGCTTTCGCATGCCTGATATACTCCATGATCTTATGCTCACCCTCACCGGGAGTCTCATGACCGGAAAGCACAATTTCGACTCCCTGCCAATCCTTATCCTCCGAGATCTTCTTGTTGATGAAGTATTTCAATTGCTCGGTCAGTTTGGCCATGAACTCTGTACCCGGAGTGATGCAGTTGCTGTCAAAGGGATCCTCCTTGGGCATCTCAATGCCCTGGGCGATCGCCTTGTCCTTGGCCACCTCAGCGTCCAGAGCCGTACGGAAACGCCGCGCACGCTGTTGATTCATCTTGGCCCGGGGAGCCACACCGTCGACAGCCATGAAAAATAGCTTCTTCGGTTTGATCTTGCCATACAAATGTTCGATATAGTTGAAAATAGCTATGAACATCTTGTCCTCAGTCATGCGAAATGTCGGTGAATCACTGTCTTTGTGTGTACAGTTATGAATAATGCCGTTCATATCGAGGTACAGGTTGTCGAATTCGGGGATGCGGTTCTCGGCGATCAGCAGCGAGATGGCGGGATACCGCTCGCTCAGCCAACGGAAGAACTTGGGAACACCCATGGTGAATTATGTAAATAGAATCTAGCGTAGAAAGTGTAGGTTCTAGAGACGAAGGAGTGTCAAGGGAACAAAAGCTGCCGTTTGAGTCGTGATCGTCGAAGTAGTGGTGGTCGTCAATTCTCAATGAAGCTCCAAGCTCGGAGGCGAATCATCCAGCGCACGGCGTAATGGGGCGGTCGCAGAGAAACGGAAACGACTGGGTATCCTCAAAGAACTATATTGACAGATAAATTCCAACACAGAAAGGAGAAAAGGAAGAAGTAAGCTAGACGGAGGGCGGCGAAAGCGCCAAACGGCACGAGAGGAGGAATGAGGTGTGTAGTAGTAGTGAAGAGTCGAAAGGTGGGTGAAGGCAACCTCATGTCCGATGATTGAATGACTCTACAGCGGGCTTCGCCTCAGGCAGACCCCCCCTTGGCATCATGTGAGCTGCCAAGCCCCTCCCTGTCCGTTTTGGGATTAGTCTCTCGGGCGGTCATTAACGCGCCGCCAACGGGCAAAGTCGCGTTTCGCTCAGTGCGAACAGAAAGAAGCTCACTCTTTGCTCTGCTGCTTGACCACCCTGCAAACTTTCAAGTCTGAACTTTCCACCAGGCTGTCAATATCGTCCTTCACGCATACTACCTCAAATATAACCTCCACAGGGTCGCTCTATACAGCCATATAATCTCCGGTTAACAGATACCATGGAGCCTTACGACGACAGTAGGAAACCCTCGATGAGATGTGTTGCGCGAACGTCATTTCTAACCCTCATGCACTTTAGCTTTTGTTGAGGAACAGGAGGAGCAAGAAGAGGAGCGCACTGAGGAGAAGGTTATTAATGAAGGTATGAATCATCTTAGCTTTGGATGATCGGGCAAGCAAATGGAAACTAAAGGGTGTTACATCAGAATATAAAACGTGGAAGAAGAATGCCCCGTTTCTCTACGACATGATACTCAGTACGGCGCTCGAATGGCCTACTCTCACGACGCAATGGCTTCCTGATAAGCAAGAGTATGAGCCTCTAACCGGGTCAAGCTTCAATTCGTCCTGACACAACATAGGGTTCCTGATAAGCCATATTCAACTCACCGTCTACTCATCGGCACCCACACATCGAGTGATGCGCAAAATTACTTGCAGATCGCTCAAGTACAATTACCGAATCCCACTGCACCTAACCCAGATGACTACGATGAGGGACGAGGCGAGATTGGCGGCTACGGCGGCAGCTCCAAGAAGGCGCCAGTGGAGATCAAATTCAACATCGTGCAGAAGATCGACCACAAGGGCGAGGTCAACAAAGCTCGCTACCAACCGCAGAATCCCAACATCATTGCTACGATGTGTACAGATGGACGAGTCATGATTTGGGATCGCTCGAAGCACCCCAGTACGCCGACGGGAACAGTCAACCCTCAAATGGAGCTGCTCGGCCATACGCGAGAAGGATTCGGCCTTAGCTGGAGCCCTCACACCGCTGGCCACCTCGTCACGGGTAGCGAGGACAAGACTGTTCGTCTTTGGTAAGATTGATAAGATTTCTGGCTGTTGATCTGGTGGGGTTGCTAATGCCAATGGCAGGGATCTGACGACATACACCAAGGGCAACAAGGCACTGAAGCCGGTTCGGACCTACACACACCATTCATCTATCGTCAACGATGTGCAATACCACCCTCTGCACTCTTCTCTGATCGGAACGGTATCCGACGATATCACCCTCCAGATCATCGATATCCGTGAAGCCGAGACCAACCGCGCAGCCGCTTCCGCGGAGGGTCAGCACCGTGATGCCATCAACGCTGTCGCATTCAACCCTGCTGCCGAGACCGTCCTGGCGACCGGATCGGCTGACAAGTCCATTGGTCTGTGGGATCTTCGTAACCTGAAGACCAAGCTGCACGCCCTCGAATGCCACAACGATTCTGTCACCTCGCTGTCTTGGCACCCGTTCGAAGAAGCTGTTCTGGCCAGTGCCAGCTATGATCGCAAGATCATGTTCTGGGACCTCAGCCGGGCTGGAGAGGAGCAGACCCCTGAGGATGCACAGGATGGACCCCCAGAGCTGTAGGTTTTTCCCAACCCCATTTCATATGTCTCGGGGTGAATGAACGCGCTGACCATAATTTTGCAGTCTTTTCATGCACGGCGGTCACACCAACCGCATCTCCGACTTTAGCTGGAACCTTAACGACCCTTGGGTTCTCTGCTCTGCTGCGGAGGATAACCTGTTGCAAGTCTGGAAGGTGGCCGATGCGATTGTGGGTAAGGATTTGGAGGATGTGCCGACTGAAGAGTTGGAGCCATGAGCTGGCGTTGACTGAAACATAAAACGGAAGTCTACATTATTGATACCTATCTTGAGCGGTTGACTTGCTTCTTGTCTTGCTACACGCGTCTCACTGATACAGTCAACCGGAAGTTTTAATCCGGAGAGCGCTTATGTAGATGGCCTTGTCCCTGGTTCACTCTAAATACTTATTTTGATGCCTCATGTAACAATGACCAATTATTGCAAAAAGAACACCCTGGGAGTTCTGAAAGGATCGAAATAATGGCAGTTTAAGGATAAACCTCTGAAGTGGCTCATTTTCAGTCACGGGAATAACATACTAGGTACCTAGTAGCTGGTCTACACCGGCATCAGGGCTAGCTCCCGATAACGTGTATCAGTGAATCAGTTCCTCTTCCACAATGTTTCATGTGCCCCGACCGTTGGCCCTGATAAGCTAGGCATTGGCATGCGCAGTGGGTGTCCAACGTTGCGAGCGCTATGGCCGAAGATGCTGGTGCAGATCATGCGGGGTAAAGGCGTGCAGCTGCCAAGCGAATTTTTTCGAGTCTTGGCCACCCTCTGACACTTGGAGGTCCGTCTAGAGAGGGTAAATGTTGGAGTTTTCGAACGAGCCTTTTGTTAATTGTAAATAATTGCTCCCATTCCTCCAATTTATTCTCCTCCTCCGGCCTTTTCGCAGTCCGGACTTCGGGGCCTCGAAGGATGGTGAAATTAGTCTAGATTGTCCTAATCCGCACTAGCCCCAATTGCCCCTCGTGTCAGCCGCTCATCCAGCTGGCTGATTGGATGATAGTGCGGGCGGTGAGAACGGACACCTGAGATCGGAGGGGGGCCATTATTTCGCTCCGAAGAGGTAACGCCGTTCAAGCGCCGCGAGCCTTATTTTTTTACTTTTCTCATCGCTCCTCGAAGGGAAACAAACTTGTTGATTGTTTACCTTGTCATGTGTCGGATTAGGTGAACTCTTTTCTGCCATATCCATCAACTTTGATAGGGACGTGTTGCCTAACCAATCTCCTCTACACACTTACACCCATACATCATCCCACATCCCACCTCCCACCTCCCACCTCCTTCCCTCTGCTTTGAGTCATGGCCTCCGGAACCTCCCCTCCCCATGGCCCCAAGCCCAGGTCCGCTATTCCCTCCCACATGCTGAACGGCGGATCTCCTCTTCATCTGTCCACGGGCTCCCGGGATGCTCGCGAACGAGAGAGTCTTAACTCCTCCATCCGTTCGTCTTTCGTTCCCCGCGTTCCCGTGGAGTTCGCCGACCTGCAAGAGAACACCCGCCCTGTCGGAGAATCCAGCAACTACCAAGATGATACCCCTGCCGGTTCTCTCACGACCAGGTAGGTCACCTGTCTCTTCCTTGCAATTGTCCCCATACTGATGCGCCACCTAGACCTACATTGAGGGATCCTGCTCGTGATGCCAGAGATGAAGCCGGTGCCTTGACCCCGCCCGCCAACGAGAGCAGACCCGCCAGTCCTTACACCCTTTTCCCTCCCATTGACTTCGACGGACTGAGCTGGCCCTGTGAGTGACGATGTATCCTCGACGAGACAGACCGTGTCTAATTCGCTTCTTTCTTAGGCCCCGGTACCCGCGCGAGACTTGAGTCCACCCCCGAAGAGAATGAAGAGCGCATCCAGAAGCTCGCAGGTGCTGTGAGAACTATCTTGGAGTGCGTTGGAGAGGACCCGGAGAGAGAAGGATTGCGGGAGACTCCCGAGAGATACGCCAAAGCTATGCTCTACTTCACCAAGGGATACGAGGAGAACGTACGGGATCTTGTCAACGGTGCTGTTTTCCACGAGGATCATGATGAGCTGGTTATCGTCAAGGATATCGAGGTGTTTTCGCTGTGCGAGCACCACATGGTTCCTTTCATGGGAAAGGTGAGATGACTATCTCCAACAAGTTACAAGCCTCGGAATGCTGACCAGAATCACGAACAGATGCACATCGGCTATATCCCCGACCGTCGCGTGCTTGGGCTCTCGAAGCTAGCTCGTCTGGCAGAGATGTTCTCCCGCCGTCTGCAGGTGCAAGAACGTCTGACAAAGCAAGTTGCCTTGGCCATTTCTGAGGTCCTCAAGCCCCGGGGTGTCGGAGTCGTCATGGAATCCGCCCATCTGTGCATGGTGATGCGTGGCGTGCAGAAGACTAGCAGCACCACGACAACTAGCTGCATGCTGGGCTGTATGCGCTCCAGCGCCAAGACTCGCGAGGAGTTCCTCAACCTCTTGAATCGCAGATAATGTCTTTATGCCCATTCAGCTTTGCTTTACGACGCACTTGTTACCCCTCTCGTTTTAACACTGGACGGTTTCATGATTCAAGGAGTTACGGCGGTTCTTACCTTTCAACAGGTCATTCATTGGGCATTCATGTTGGCAGTCTTTCTTTTTGTAAATGTGGCACGGAAGAGTCGCATGTTTTTCTCCACCGTTTGCATAGATTCTTGGCCTTGTCTCGAAAGACTGACCAGGAAGAAACCACATACTTTCCCTAGCACTCTTGTCATTGCTTCTGAGGCTTTCGCGCGGAACACTCGATAAACAACAAGAATACAGGCTGCCCCTCAACATATGCAGCACGGAGGACATTGTGGCGGTGTGATTTGGATGATTCAACATATTTTATTAATATCTTTTCAACTCGATATCAGGATCTTGCGGGTACGGCTGGGGTGGTTATGCTTGGATAATGGCGACTGAATGATTGAAAATCTTCGTGTACAGTGGAGACCGAATGTATCTGAGCCTTGCATCTATCTTGGAATGTATGATGCTTGGATTTTGCCTTTCTGGTTATTTCATGGACAGAAACATATTATGAACTTTCCCAAGCCTTTGGGTGACAATCAATTGCTACAAAGATACTTGGTAGACTCAGGTCATTAATGTCTCGTTCACAGTATTACAGGTGCATGGATGTAAATCACAAACATGCTTGTTGCTTTCGTGGGGGACGATAACGATAGCTTATCTGCTCATCATAAGGTCTAAGCTTCTTGCTTGATCCGTTAATGTGTGCTGAAATGTATCATCTACAAACCCAATTCTGCAGAGACAACACCCACGATGGCACTGGCAGATTCTATGTCGATGAATAAATGCTGGTAGCTTTCTTCATGATACCGTGACATAGACCAAACATCAACTGTGAAGCCTAGGATTGTGGAAGGTATCACAACTACCAGGAGGTTGCCTGTGTTCTTTGAGTTCACACTGTGAATAAACAAGACTATTCAATATAGCCATGACTAACTCCAGGTCACGCAGTGAATAATTCCAGTAGAAATTCGCTCGGTCTGGTGGAGTATATAGGTTGCCATGGTATTTTTCTCTTCTCCATCTCTCACTATCAATACATAACAAGCTTTCCTCTTCCATCCTTCTTGAATCAATCATCCAGAAAAGTTATCAGGCAAGGTCCAGAAGCTTGGATACAACCTCTTCCTTTATCCTGTGTCGACTTGAATACGAATCCTCTGTCCTGACCTGACCAGAAGCGAAGTAAGTGTCTCATAGAGTGAAGTTTACACACTCTCTACAGCGTGTTAGTGACAGAGCACTAACTTCGTTCACATTACAGTCATACACTCAGCACCTCTACACCTTCCTGGTGACAACCCTTGCAGATTGATAGTGGCTGTTACCATGGTAAGGATGTATACTCACGCTGAACTCGAAGCCGCCGAGGGCCTGCTCCTTCTGTGGGCGAGCGGAACCCATACAATCACCTCGCGTGACGGCCAGGGAGCTACAAATGTCAATCATCGATTAGAGACTCTTGACGATATTGAACACGAGGATCACGATCTTCCGATGAAAACATGCCATGACGACGAGGACGAACTGCTGCCTGACGCTCCTGATCAGAGTCTACCTCACCCTCAGTCGTGCGCTGCTTCTCAGCATGAACCGAGCATCACCCCTAGCAACCAAGCACTCGATATCCCCCGCTCTCTTGTTCCCATCCATCAGAGTCTTCAGTCGTTGAGAAGCGTTGCCTATGGATCCTCAGAAGGCAGCGTTCATGGTTTTCATCCAGGCGTTCCTCCCTCTCACGACGAGGACGCTCAACAGTATGCACAAAGCGACGAGCAGCGCCACTTAGCACGCATGATGATTCTACACCATGTTAAGAGCAGATCGCCGGGAGATGCTGAGGCTGCGCGGCATGTCTCTAGACTTCGGGTTCTACGGTATGCTAGCCGCCTGAGCCGCGAACAGGAGGTGGAGAGGGCCGAGCGAGAACGCGCAAAGAGCCTCTCCGCGAGTCCGTTTGGCGTTCATCGAGCTGGTGGTCTGCGCAACACCTCCTTCGGTTACCAGAGCCCTGCAAACCATATGCCACCTCCGCGCAATACACAGAATGGGAGAAACGGCACCACCGGCCACCAACCATCGAACCAGCCTCCGAACTCAACTGGCAATGCCAGCGACTTGACTGCAGCCGTTAAACTAGAAGAAACCATACCGCGTGTCGTGCCTGCTCAATCGCTGCAGAAGTATCTGATCCGGCAGCAGATCATCGCGGGCGTTCAAGCAGAGCAGATCACGCCTATCCGTCCCCAGAGCATCGTGAATCCACCCTCTGCGCCTGTGGTGCTGCAGATCAAAAATGACAACGTCACTGTGCCTGATATTCCCCCTGCGCAATTCAGCGGGCTGGTTAAACCTCTTGTGATCATGCCGCGGCCTGCTCCTGCGCTCACTGACGGACCGGTAACCGCGGAGACTGCACTGCACAGCCATCCTGTGAAGATGGACATTGAAGCTGACGACAAATCTGCTACTCCGGCTGCCAACAAGGATGACAAGAAATTATCGACACCGCAGCGTCCAGCAAACTCTCGTTACCTGACACGCTCCGTTGCAAGACGCACCCGGGACCAGAACGGGCAAACCTCTGCAAATGGCGCTCCTATCAAGAACGACGCCACAGCAGATGCAGCAGAGCCAGCGGCGGTCAAGCATGAACCCAAGACCAGTCCAGCAGTAGCGCGCCCACCACGCCTCCAACCCGACATATCAGCCTCGGAGAACAACACCACTTTCCTCCGCGCGGTGCCCAAAGAAGAGCACACCAAAGCCACGCCCAACGAGCAGCGGCAGCAGCAGCAGCAGCAGCAGCAGCACGACCTCACCCACCCACACAAAAACTTCGACCTCCTACACGCCCTCTCAACCCAGCCCTACCTCACAGTCATGATCTGCGACCACCTCCTCCCAAGCGACATCATAACCCTAATGGCGATCTCCCAGCCCATGCATCAAACCATCCAAACAAACCTCACAATGATAACCACGCACCAAGTCGACAACATCAACACCACCACCCAGCACCACAACCGCGAACCCCCCATCTCCGACTCCTTCCCCCTCCTCTGCTACCCACGCCATTACTACACCCATCCAGCCCAAACCAACCACATAACCCCCAAACTAACCTACGCCCAAATGCTCCTGACCCGCAGCACAACCATAACCACCATCACAAGCACCCTCCTCCACGCCCGCATCTTCCTACCCCAGCAGACAGACCGCATCCTCCACAAACTATGGTTCCTAATGGACATCCCGGACAACCACCGCCGCGAATGGACAGTCCGCAACCGCAACCTCTGGTCAGATCTCGATTTATTCCTGGGTATCTTCTTCGTGGTCCAGCTCGACGCTTACCTGGAGAAAGTCCGCGGGTTCAAGAATCGATGGGGCCTCGTGCGGCGCGTGTGCTTTGCGCAGCGCTCGCTCGTCGTTCTAGCGGATTTGCTGGTCGGGAGGGGTGTTGGGTCTGGGGATGAGGGGGGTATGGGTTTGCGGATGGGGCAGGGCGGTGTCAATGGGGATGGGATGCTGCCCGAGGAGGAGGATGTTGGTCCCCTGGGCTTTGAGTATTATGGGAGGAAGGTGACGGGGTCTGGTCATATGGTTAAGTTGCTTAGGCCTGATGAGAGGATTATGCGGGAGGCGCTGGGGAGGGGGTTGGATTTGCAGGGTATGTATAAGGGTGTGTTTGGGAAGGGGAAATCGGAGGTGTTTGAGACTGCTGAGGTCCGGGGGCAGAGGATTACGTGGGATGAGCAGATGAGGTTGGCGACTGTTAGATCCCGGGTTGATTGGTTGCGGGTTGTGAGGTTGGATTCTTGATTACCCGCTGGCGAGTTTGTGTGCTTGCTGTGATTCGGGGAGGTGGTGAGCTGGTGGATGGGATAGGTGGGTGGTTGTTTTGCGGCGATGGGATACTGGGTTTGTTGAGTCGGAGGGATAATAGTAATCTGAGAGGGAGGGGTTAATCTGGTTTTTATGATGCTGTGGTTTGTTGAACAGGAAGAGAGAAGGATTGATGCACTGGGGATGTCTTGTACTTTGCGTATCTCGCACTTTGTGATTGAGATGATCTGATGACAGTGGATTAAAGTCTATGAAACACTAGTACGCGCTATGTATGGACTAAAGTATATGGGGGGTTCTCCCCCGGATACGCTTATATTAAGGTATAAGGATGTAGGTATGCCAGGAAGCTGAAAGAAAGGGGGGTTCGGGGGTTCTCCCCCGGAACGCATGTATTGGATATTCTTGTGAAGGGTGTGGATAGAGGGGGGTGGTAGTCAGACATGGTGAGCAGGATGGTCCTAAAGCTCAGTACAAAGTACCGCACTCCCAGCTCTCGGCCTGGTCAACATCGCCCTTGCCCTTGTACTTGGCCAGGCTGGGCCAAGGGCAGATCGGCCGCTGCTTATCCACACCATCGGCGACATCATCGTTTTTATACTTGGTCGGGATCAGGTACTCCGGAGCGCGGTCGTTCTCAACCCAGTCCACCATGGCGAGGATCAGGTCGTGCTTGCTGTCGTTGAAGCCGGGCACGCCGTAGACTGTCCCGGACAGCGAGCCGGCCTGGCTGTCTCCGTTCATGTAGAAAGGGGCGTTCTGGTCGCTGGGAGTGCTGGTGCAGTGCTCCATGCCCGGAACAAAGAAGAAGCGGTAGAAGTCGTCGATCGGAATGCCCTGCGGCCGGAGAGCCTCGTGCACATGGTTGTAGAAGTACAATGAGGACTTGGACGCGATCGAGGGATCGGAGTAGCCGTGGTAATGCAGGAGCTTGCCACCCTTCTTGTAGAACTGGGAGATGTCGAAGTCGTCGGCGGTCGCGTTACCCGGGTTCAATTTCTCGGACAAAGGCACGAGGTCCGGGTTCCAGTCCTCCCATGTCCAGTCTCCTCCGATCTGGAGCATGTACTGGATGTACGTGAGGAAATCGTCGTCCAGGATTGGGGCGCCAACCTCTGTGCCGAGCGTGTAGCCGGGGAAAATGAAGGTGTCGTTGGCTTCGACCCAGGGGTTGAACAGCTTGTTGACAGTCGTGAGTTGAGCAGGCGTCAGGCAGGTATCGTTGGATGAGGTGGCGTTGCACATCACCGGGACAGGATCGAAGACACAGCCGAACGGGTTCTGGAGGATGCTATCCTTCAGCCCGTCCTGAGGGTCACACTGCTTCAGGATCTCATCCTGCACCGCTGTCATCTGGGCATCCGTAACATGGTGATCTGCGGTCTCCGGTAGATTCCAGATGGCTGTAAGTACATTCCATAGCTGTTGGTGAGTGGTCCACCAAGCTGGCGCTCCCGCGATGACTCCGTCAAAATCGTCGGGAAACATCTCAACCTCCTTCAGGCCCTGCTTGCCACCAGCGGAGCATCCACGGTAGTAGCTGTATGTGATGTTGTGGCCGTAGTATCCCTCCGTCACTTTCTTTCCATTGACCACAGCGTCGTGGAGAGCACGGTAGCCCCAGTTGGCGAGGGCAGCTTCGTTATGGTACCCGAAACTGCCGTTATTGCCCTCGTGGCCGGTGTCGGTGGAGATACTGGCGAAGCCATACCATGCCGTGTTCATGATGGAGGACCAGCCAACCGACCCAGAAAATTCGCCGTTGCCAACAGCCATGAACCGACCGTTCCAGTCGTCAGGGAGCACGATGCCCACACTGTGCTGGGTGTTGTTGGGCAAAGTGATGTTGGCCTGAGCAACACAGCTGTCGACAGAGACCTCGTAAGGGTTATTGCCCGTAGGGAGGAATGTCAGCCCATAGTTGAGCTCAATGGGAGGAGTGAAATTGGCCCCCTTAACATAATGATCGGCATAGAAAACAGTAGAATTCTTGGGGAAGAACGGGGCGATGCTCTCAACACTGCAATTCCTCTTGGCCGCTGCCAGCGTGGCCACTGTGAGAAGAGGAGCGGCTGCAGGCTTCATTGCTGCGATAGGATTGGGTGAAATGTAAAGTGATTCTCAGAAGAAAGAGCGGATTGTGCTTGTTTGTCCTGGAAGAGCCGGGAGGAATCGCAGTCTTTATACCTCTGATGACGCTACATGGCTCTCAAGTAAGGGTAGACCAAACCAGGTGAGCTTCTGGAAGACATCCAGACAAAGATGACGCCTTCATCTTCAATAACCTTGAAAGGGCCTGTGTAGGCCATCACGGCGTATCAACAGCCCTATGCAAGTGCTATATTGACACATTCTCGACGGCACGGCCGGTGGTTTCGAAGCTGATCTGCAGAAAATGGCTGGGAAGAGGAAAGTCTCCGCTGCAGCAGAAACGGAAGTCAGGAACCATTCAATCTTATCTGCCATGCTAGATTATCATTGGTCCGTTGTAAAGACGATGGTAAGCTTAATTAACCATTTTGCTTGTCTTTGAGGAAGCTCCACCTCCGCTGCCGTATAATTAGAAACGGATGGAGTGGGTAGGATGACGACGACTTTTATCTTCGGGCGTTATGGTTCCTTCAACCTGAAACATTGGCTCTCTTCGAGAAGCATAACTAGTCAGTCACTGGCCGATTCCAGAACAGCTGGATTCGAGTCCTGATAGGTAGTCATCTATATTTCATAGTTTCTCCGGGCACTCTGACTATGGTGGAGTCTCGGACATGACTGGACAAACCCGTCAAACACGGAGGCGACTAATTCCGGTCCCGGAGAATCATACACGTGACCAAGCGGGATGAACTTCTGAAGAAACCCCCCCGTCGTTTCCGGCTTACGACAACCCTTGACCTGTCATCAAAGTCAACAAGACACAATGTGCCTACCAGACCAGTCCCTCGTGAGCCCTCTAGCTAAGGAAGAGCCAACACAGTGTCTTTGATTGTCATGATCATCTTGGGAGGTTTTTGAAGTGATATTTGTGAATGCTCGACTCAACCCCTGCCACGTACATTCCCTCCTTGGACATCGGACCTGCCTGAGCTGGGCTTATTGTTCTTCCGCATCCCGACCGCCCACTTGCTCGTCGTGATCGACCACATCTCGACCCCCTTTCAACTCAATCCTCTTTGATGGCAAGTCGCAATCGGCTTAGTATAGCAACCAGCATTTCCGAGAATGTGTGCGCTCTCGACTTCCTGTGCGCCGCGGCCAAGCGGTTTTGACTGAACGGGAAGCGCGGACCCCGAAGCCGGGACACCGGGCTCACCTGATGTCGCCTCATCCTACTATGGGCGTCTAGGTACGTACTGCCTCGGACTTCAGATGGCTGAGTATCTATCTATCTTATTGCCCGAATCCCTGGACTTCGCGTGTGATTTCGGTAGACTACAGTTGCTTCTTTCCCATCTTGAGCTGGCGCTCGCTTCACGCGAAGCTGCAGTCTCCAGTGTGGCACACCGGTGGAAGTTTCGAGTAATTGTCAGGGAGCCTGTCCTTTAATCAACCATGGCCGTGGCCCCTTTTCCCGAAATTTTGTCGCCTAAGCTGGATCGCTTCATGTCTATCCGCCGCTGGACCAATGTATCCGCCTGCGGCTTCCATAAGTCACTCAACCGGTCAGCGAGCAGGTATAACAGCTTAAGATTGATACGGTCGACAATCTTCGCCAGGCTGATGGCGATTCCGGATTGCTTACCTTACATTTATCGACGTTTACTAAGTCGAACTGGATTGTCTAACGACTGAGCATTACGGAATCTCGACCTTGTTCAGTGCTACTGTGGCTCGAACTCAGTTGGATGGCTTATTGTTGATCCACATCGTTTTCCATTTGGGTATATATGGTTCCCGTAGATAGGTCCCTTGTGTTCTTGACACCAAGGGAATGTGCTTTGCACAGCAAGTGACACGCGGACAAGCTAGAGGCAAGGAGTTTTGGTGAAGAAGCGGGGCAAGGCATAAAGGAGTTGGCAGCAGGACGACCGATCATGAACCGAAACCCAACTTGAAAAGATCACAAGAGAAGGACCAGAAAGGCGACCCAAAGCCGGCTTCATTTGCATCGCGACGCGACCCTTGCAAAAGAGAAAGTCTTGCATGCATAATCGCATCAAGCACAGCACCCCCGCAGAACTGTCATGAAAGAAGCTCGAGCTCTGCCAGGCTGGCTGAGAGCGCTTCTCATTCGGCGGCAATCCGACTTGGGGATTTCGACATCGCAAGTCGGTCCGGTCCCGGGACCGCAGATCAAGTGTCGACAGTGCTGAGAGCAACACCCTGCCTGCTGTTCATCATGTGGAGTGGGTGAAGTGCCCCCCGTGAGAGCGACTCACTTCTCGTAGTAAAAGCCACACAGCAATGCTGGGACTGGCGGAACATGGGTCTTTGGCTCGCCCAGAAAAAGTCACCCACTCTGACTTGGATTCACTCTTCACTCTTAAGAAGAATGAATGCCCAGTTCACTTCCCGCCGATAAGTAGAACCCCATTCATCACCACACTTTCTTTCGACGGGTGGTGTTCTTCGTATTGGTAGTCCGCCCTGGGAAGAATTCCACACCCCCTCCTCTTCTTGTGAAGTCACTCTTCACTCAAGCGGATAGCATATTAAACAGGAACGGAAAGGTACGTCTATCCCTTCCCTTTCCTTAATCCTCGAGGTCCATCTTTCTTATTGGCCCTTCTCACAACTGAGAATAGCTCTCGGCTATTGACCATTGTCTTTTTCTTGACAGTCCGCGTTTGCTTCTCTCGTGCTCCTCAACATCCACCGAGTCCTTCGATCATACCCGGAAAAACCAGTCTTCCGCATCACCCAATCCCCGACCCTGAAGAGATCCTCTGAGAAACGCGGCGACACACGCCCGCCCCCCAAACCCGAATCGCCTAGACAAGATACAATACACTAGGCTCCACCGGACTTTCTCGCGCTGACATCTACATGCGAACCGTCTCTTCCTCTAGCGGGCCGGTCGTCTTGATCCCTGCTGCTTCCTTTCTCTCCTTTTCGATTGGAACTAGATGCAGCTGAAGCAGCTTACATGGCTGGGTCCCGCAGGAGTCCGGTGTTGAGAGACGAGTGGAAGGCCACCAGCGACACTAGAGATCAGAGAGATCGGGAGAGGAATCACCGCCCTCGTGGTTCATATCGTGGGGGTAGGGACAAATTTCGCGATCGGGAGCCTCGTCGCCGGCCTAAGGAGGGCAGACCGGATTATTCGCTACGGTCGCCGCCACCGCGTTCTCATCCTCCTTACGACCACGATTCACGTCCGCACCGCGAGTTTTCACCTCCTATCTCTCGCCGTGGCTCATCTGGCTTTCCACCCCCTGACGCTTACCCTGGCCACCAGTCAGACCGTCACCGTTCACCCCAACCTGTGGATCGACCTGATTCGCAATCACATCGATCGGTAGAAACGGAGAGACCTGTCAGTAAAGACCACCGAAGAAACGACTCTCCATCTGCACCACCCCCTTCAAAACGCAAGAGGACACGGAGTCCTTCGCCTGGCGGGTTCCACCCGCCTTCGAACCGACCAGGACATCGCCGTCCTTCGTTCAATCCGAACGACGAGCTGGACAGGGGGTATCCTCCGACCAGGCGAGGCCGTTTCCCAGGTCGCGGCGGCAGTAGAGCTGGCCGGAGGCTTTCACCACGGCGAGGAAGGGAACGTCGTAAGGCCGGGGGCGGCCGCCCGATTTCCCCACCGAGACGCTCCCGGTCGCCTGTACGCGGAGGAAAGCCATACTCACACCCTCGGCGACGACCGCACAGCCCGTCGTTTGAAGACGAGCAGGAGGACGAACGCCGCTACCGCTCAGTATCGCGTCATTCGACTCAGTCTGTCGTCTCAAGATTCTCCGGAGCCTCCCGACGGAATTCAATAGCCGAACCCATGATGGACTCGATGAGGCCAAGCCGTGCCTCACGGGGTGATTCACTAAGGTCTCCTTCTCCTCGCCGAGACATTCCAATTGCTGATGTCAATGCTGCCCGTGGGTCTGCGGAAGGAGAAGCTACACGCGATTCGGCTCGGGCAATGCTAATGTCTGATACTCCCAAGCACCAGCGGCAGAGAACCTCTCGGCCATTTGCTGATGATCCTCATCATCCACAATCAACCCACAATGCGGTGTCTTCTAACTCCCATCCTGATTCTACATCTCCATATTCGAAGGATCGCAGTGGTTGGAATGGGCAACAGCCATCATACCAAAATTCCCATGGGTGAGTCAATCGATGTTCTTTCTATACCTTTCAAAATCTAACAATGGCGTTCGAGTAGTCGCTCTCCTCAACGACAGGATGACTTCCCCACAGGAAACTCGCAGTACCAGTATCGCCATTCTTCACATAGCCGTGGCCCGTCACCCTCCGATGCCCCAACCTATCGCGGTGAGAAATCGGGGTATCGAGGCGATCATCCAGGAAGCATAGAAGGGTCTTCACCCCGAGGAAGAAGTAATTTCAGCAAATCTCACTGGAATACACCGACCTCTCGAGGCCAAGGTGATCCGTCAAACCCTAATGAATCGTACGGACGGTCGTCACAGAGTCCCCCACCCAAGCCAGCAGATGGCCAGACAAGGTCCGGCGCCAACGATGATGGTGATCAATATGGACGTTCAAGACATGAACCACGAGGAGATATAGAGAGGCCCAGAGGAGATTCTGACAATGATGATTCTCAGAGAAACCCGCCCCTGGGGATGCAAACATCTGCTGCTTCGGCGACCCCAAACAAGGGTGGCAAAATAAGCTTCGCTTTCAAAGCGAAAACTGCGCCAGCTCCAGCTCCCAAGCCCGTTCCCGATTTGGCTCAGAGGATGTTGGCCCGAGAGCCACCTCCGCGTGCCGCCGAGCCGCCTCCACGCAGCAGGATGCCTGTCGGCCCACCACCAAAGTTCAAACCCGAATCTCGCTTTGATCGCCGTGAGCGTGAGCGCGAGCGTGAGCGCGACCGCGACCGCGACCGGCGTGATCGCGACCGAGACCGTGCGCGAAACGACAGAAGGGACTTCCGAGACTCGCGCAACTATCGCGACACGCGAGAACCTCGAGGACCTCGAGAGCCCCGGAGTATGCGCGAAGCCCGACGGGACGACCGTCGCTTCGATCCGCCTCGTAATGAGAGACCACGAGGAGATAGGAGACAAGACTTCCGTCCTGACCGTCGTCCCGAACGTTCTCCGGAGCCGCGAAAGCAAACCAAGATCATGACCCGAATCAAGCCACGCCCGGTTCTTTCCGAGGAGTTCGCCAACTCGGACTCCGTATACTATCGGAAGCCGGGTAATGAGTCCGTCATTGGTGCAGGAACTTACGGTAAGGTCTTCAAAGCGATTCATGTCTACACACAGCGGAAGGTTGCCCTCAAGAAAATCAGGATGGAGGGTGAGAAGGACGGCTTCCCCGTGACTGCCGTTCGGGAGATCAAGTTGCTCCAACATCTCCGCAACCATAACGTCGTCAGCTTGTTGGAAGTTATGGTCGAGAAAAACGAGTGTTTCATGGTGTTTGAATACCTCTCGCACGACCTAACGGGTCTGATCAATCACCCTAGCTTCGCACTTACTGAAGCCCACAAGAAGGACTTGGCCAAGCAGATGTTTGAAGGCTTGAACTATCTTCACCACCGGGGCGTCATGCACCGTGATATCAAGGCGGCCAACATCTTGATCAGCAACCGGGGCCAGTTGAAGTATGCCGATTTTGGCTTAGCACGGTTCTTCTCCAAGAGTCGTCAACTAGATTATACCAACCGTGTCATTACCATCTGGTATCGACCGCCGGAGCTTCTACTTGGCGAAACCCGGTACGGCCCGGCGGTCGATGTCTGGAGTGCGGCCTGTGTTTATGTTGAGATGTTCACAAAGAAGGCTGTTTTTCCGGGCGAAGGAGGAGAGATCAGTCAACTCGACAAGCTATATAATTGCCTTGGCACCCCAAATCGTGCCGAATGGCCAGACTTGGTTGAGATGCCTTGGTTCGAGCTCATGCGGCCCACCGAGCGAAGGAAGAGAATTTTCGAGGAAGTCTACAGCGAAATCCTCTCGCCAGCGGCTCTCGACCTTATATCTCAAGTCTTCCGTTACGACCCTGCGAAGCGACCGACCGCCGAGGAAATATTGGCACATCCGTACTTTACCTCGGAGGAGCCAAGGCCTCAGCAAGCTATCGAGTAAGTGTTCTTGTCACGTCTTGACTTTCGAATATGGCTGATATAATCTAGGCTGGAGAACAATGCAGGTGATTGGCATGAATTCGAGTCGAAGGCTCTTCGCAGAGAAAAGGACAAAGAGCGCCGTACGGCGGAATACCAGAGGGACAAAGAAAAGCGCAAGGTAGCTCCTCTGGCGCCTCAGAGCGACCGGGACACTAAGCGCATCAAGGCAGATGCAGCCGACCGCCAGGCGGAATCCGCGCAACATGCCGAGTAAAAGGTTGTTGCATCACATAATGATTGGCTCGGGGAGCTACATAGCGCTTTATCCCTGTGCAGGAGACACGATCTTGATGTTCCCATATTTACGAATGTCCTTTTTTCCATCATATTTGTGCGACGCGGTTGGAACGCACTGCATGCATTTGACGTCCATGTCTAAGTGGCTCGGCAGAAGGTGTTATGGGATTGCATTCGGCCGTTCATCTCTGGTTGCTGCTTGATTCCCTTTGCGAATTGCTACATGTATAGCATTATTTCAACAGATGATTCAAACTTCGTTACCGAGGACCTGTCCACATATGCATGTATCAAACAGGCGACAGGTGTTGTAGAAGACCAATGTTCAGCCCGAGAGCCATACAGTTCACTATGGTTAGGCCTTGTCAACAACTCAGCGACCGTAGCATAGGTAGTTATCGCGAGCATCAACGATTGCTCTGGACATCGCATTACGTCAATCAGAAATGCCTTTTCACCTCACACTCTACCAGCGCATAGCCCAAGCGGGCATTATCCACGCGGTTGAGCACCTCGGATTACCAGAGTATGTGAAATAAGAGCTTCATCATGGACGAGATCAGACCAGACCAGTTCAGTCTGACTAAGGGCACTGCAACAGTGAAAAGTGACGCACCGGCTCAATTAAATCTCTACGAATGCCCTTGCATTGAGGGCATTTGGCCGGGGGTCCCGATCAAGAAGAACGGTGGACAGACTTTGAAGTACAGATAGGGCTACGAGTACTACCAAAAATCTAGTAGCCACAATTCCAGTCCGGATGTGAAGTAGGGGAATGTCCCGTCATACAGGTCATCAACGCATCATGGAGCCCAAAAAGAGAGCCCTCGTGATGATGGTTTTAGAAGCGGGGTCTTGATGCTCGTTCTCGACACACTCATCGGAATCGCCAGTGCAGTGGTGAAACAGTGTGCAGCCAGCGATGATTTGAGTTGGTGGTCTTGGGTTTTATATGAGAAAAGAAAAAAGGAAGGGAAAAACGGGAGGAAGAGGCAGGTTTTATATTCCACGAAAAATGACGGGCGGAGATGGAAAAACCACGGAGGCGGAAAAGAGATGGGATCTGATTTTGATTGGTTAGTAGAGGAGGGAGGAGCTTGATGGCAGAAACTGTTCTGTCCTGCACTTGAGTTCTCTCTCCCGTTCCACTCACTGCCGTTCTCTGCGCTCTGCTCTGCTCTCTCTCTCTCTCTCTCTCTCTCTCTCTTTGCTGGCTCTTCTTCAGGTTTCGTACCAGGTTTAATTTCCCAATTCCGCCGCCGCATTTCTTCCACTTCCACCACCACTTCCACTCCGATCTTCCTCCCTCCCTCCCTCTACCTCAAATCCCACTCACTCTTCGCCCACCTCTACAAAATAGCTTCCTTTTTACAATAAACTAAATCTTACAGATCACATCCCCACATTCCTATTCGTCACGTTCACGATCACGATCACGATTATCTTCTTTGACTTCTTCTCTCTCTTTGACCAAGTTCTTCCCCTCTTGTCTGTCGCACGTTCGCCCCAATCCGAACCTAATTGAACCTAATTCCTTAACCCTGCCTACATCCTTCTACCTCTATACTACTTGTTCATTGTCCGATTTCCGCCTTTGAGATTTCACATTTCTCTTCGTCCCTCTACTTCCGTCTTCCCCGCCCCATCCTGTCCTTCCTCCGCTGATGACCGCTCCTTTTTTTGAGCCGTCTCAGTAGCTAGTACATCCATGGATAACGCAAACCTCTGGACCCGCAGATCTAAGTATGTCACTTTTTCCGCGCTTGTGATATGGCTCGACCGCTTGGCAAGGTAGACTTGGAAGACACAGCTAACCTGTTACTTGTTCAGCGCTTCCAAGTTGTCTCTGTCGATGACAGGGTCGGACGGCGCTAGAGTTGAACTTCCCCGCGCATCAAAACGGTTTGGCCCAGATAGCTCCCACGGTGGTCGATCTAATCCCTTCAACGCCCTCTCGCCTCTGTCTGGTGGCGTTTCCTCCCCTTCAACAAACGCCTCCTCCGCATTCGGTCTGGGCTCCGGTGCCTTTGCGTCGTTCGGAGCCCCCAAGACACCCGGTGCTTCCGACGTCAAAACTCCCGGATTCGAGAAGCGGGAAAATCCCGTCGACCAGGAACTCGAGAGCGCCAAAGCCAAGGGTGTACTCCCCGCGATCAAAGAGCATCCGCTCAAGTCTACATGGGTGATCTGGTACCGCCCGCCTACACCTAAGTACTCCGATTACGAAAAGTCTACCGTCCCGCTCGCCGCAATATCCTCGGTCGAGAGCTTCTGGTCGATCTACTCGCACCTCAAGAGACCGTCGCTCCTTCCCACCGTCTCCGACTACCATATCTTTAAGAAGGGTATCCGTCCCGTTTGGGAGGATGATGCCAACAAGAGTGGTGGCAAGTGGGTGGTGCGGTTGAAGAAGGGTGTGGCGGACCGGTATTGGGAGGATTTGCTTCTGGCTATGATCGGGGACCAGTTTGCGGAGGCGGGCGATGAGGTCTGCGGAGCTGTTCTGAGTGTGCGCAGCGGGGAGGATGTGCTGAATGTTTGGACCCGGATTGATGGGGGACGGAACATCAAGATTCGGTATGTTGTCTTATTTTCTATCTTGGTAGCTTCGATTCTGACACCGTTGGCCGCAGGGAAACCATCAAGCGTCTACTCAACTTCCCCTCCGACACCAATCTCGTCTGGAAGAGCCACGACAGCAGCATCGCCCAACGGTCGGCGATTGACCAGGCGCGCCAGGACAAGGCGGGTAACACGGGTCACCACCACCACCATCATCACCATCATAACCACAACAACCAACAACATCAGCAACAGCAGCAGCAGCTGGGGGGCGATCGACGACGAGCCCCGACGACGGCCACCGATGAGTTGGATAACAAAGGCAAGGCGGCGTTTTCTTGATTCGTCCTGCTTTGATTCTTCTCTCTCTCTTTTCTCTTTTCTCTCTTTTCAGCCAGCCTGGGTCATATGGGTCCTGTATAGTAAAAGAAAAAGGAAGCCCTTTTCTTCTTTTCTTTCCACACAAAACTCATTGGGACGAATTGGGATCGGGGGCATTTGGGGCGAACATTGCGTCTGATCTGTTTTTTTATTTTATTCTTTGTTATTATCTGGAGGGTGTTTGTGTCGCATTGTCTATTTTCTTCTATCCTCACTAGTTCCAAATGTCATGCGAGATGCTATGCTATGCTGTGCTGTGCTATTCTGGGGTATCATCTGCTACCTTATGTTATGGTCTGAATGGTGGGATCATGGATGTTAGAGATGGTTACTTGATGGGAACGTTTGGGATGGGGTATGCGTTAGTAACTACTGGTATTACTGATGATTTCAATCAATCGACCGTTGAGGCTTCAGTAGCTCGAGAGAATCTATCATGGCCGTTCACCGTCCACTCTAGTTCTAGTACTATGCGTATCTGAAACGGTCGTTGCTCGTAGCCTTGTGTTTGATATCACCGACTAGAACAGGTCGGCTGCGATCGCGATGCATGGACTTGCAAGTGGAGGGTGTCTATTGGGTTTGCCTTCTGGGAGGGGTTATGCTCCCATTCTGCTCTTCTGCTCTTCTGTTCTTGTCATCGTGAATACCTTGCTACCTATCGTTCCGCTACGAGTATAGGGCAAAAAAAGGACAGTGTAGAGTTGATACGGAGCCCTCTATCTAATGCCAAACAACGGAGGGGCTGTGTTCAAACCCACCTCCCTACCTCTGACAGCGGGTAACAACACCGTGCTATCATTCTATCAATCCATGAAATGGCACGGTGCGTCCTTCTTTTACATAGTTCAGAACTTACATGGCGCTTCACCTCCGATCAAGTGGGTAAGTACTGTACAGTAAGTCAGCCGATAAGATAAATCGATAGATCTCCGTCCAGAACCTTGATGCATGCATGCATCCGAGCGGATTAGGGCTAGTGGGAGAAAAGACAAGGGATTCAGTCTGGTCATGTGAGGGGTCGGATTTCAGAACAAGTAGACTGTAATATATCGTATCGGTTTGTTGAATTGGGTTGGAAGGGATTTAGATAATCCGCTGGGATTGGAGTGTTCATTTGGTCTTGGGGAGATGGCTGGTTGAATGAGGTTTGGTAGGTGGTGGTCTACCCAGGATAAGTGTAGGGGTAGATCTCGAGATTAGCTCTGTACGGAGTATGTACGAGTACTTAAGTAGGTATCCCTAGTGCCAGTGCAATGTATTCATCCTTCCGGCGGGAGGTGTTTGTGAGGGGGGAAGAGGGGGCGGAAGCCGGCGGTGATAAAGAGAGAGTGTGAGGGGGGAAGACAAAAAGGTCCAGCCAGGATAAAGAGATTATAAAAAGAGACAAAAAAAAAAAAATAAAATAAAATAAAAAAGCAACGGTGCCCCGGTTCAGTTCCACAATGGCGGTGGGCAGAAATCCCCACCGCCTTTCTTCCCATTATGATGCATTTCTTGCAATTCACTCTCCCCCCTCTTCACCCACGGGCTTTTGTATGACGGTATGAAAACCCTTTAGACCATTCTGGTCACCCGATGACCGTTGCTGGGAACGTGCCCTGTTAATCGGAGAGCTGTGTTCAATTTCGGGGGCCCCGTCATCTGCCCACTTACGTGCTCCCCGGAACAACAGCCACAGTAACTTTCACTCACTCTCTCTCACCTTTCCTCTCCGCATTCAAATGCGCCTTTCCGCTCAGTACGACGGACTGAGGCGTCCGTTGCATCATTGTGACTCTGCCTACGGGGCCTGAGCTTCTAAGCATATTTTGTCGTCTATTTTCTGGTGATTACACTACCGGGGCAGGGATCGTGATGGTTCTTTCGTAAGTACATACATACATACGCCCACATCTATACGCCTTCCCCACCCCCAACATATGGGAGCAATCACCAATGCGCAGATTCCAGACCCGACGAGAAATCGCATCGCCCCACCATTCACAACCTGAATTCATATGCCAAAGACGAAGCAAGACTCCTTCCCACCAGCAGCCAACGGTACGCTCCGATTCGCGGGCCTTCCTCCATGTGGGAGAGACGCATAGGACTCATACATACTTGATATCTAGACCTGACCCCAATGGAGTGGCGATAGTCCCCGGACAAGCTGGAAAAATCATGAAGAAGAAAAAGGGAGTGGTGAGAGTTTACTTTTCCATATACTGTGTGCATGCGCGAGTCAGTGGCCCCGGGGCTAATCTTTCTTTGCTCAACGTCCAGGACTCCCCATACGGACCCATCGATCGAATATCAGGGAAGACTCGACAAAGCGGGCCTGTCCGTGCAAGTAAGCGGGAACCACGTCCTTATGGTAGGCACACGGAGGAAGACTCGACGGCGGCGGCGTCGGGAAGGCCGCATAAACGTCCCCGCCTCCGTGCGCAGGAACCGTCCTCGTCGTCGTTGACGGGAAACCTCCTCGCCCTCACTGACAGGGGTATAGAGGAGTACCCCGTGCTGGAGATACCCCCCACTGCCACGCATCCGTCACGTATGTCTTCCACCTCGAGCCAACTCTCCAAAACGTCAGCGAGGAAGGAGCGGAATAACTCATTGTTCTCGAAAGAGTATCGCGCCGTTGAGGACATGATCCATGTCCCGCAGCAGCAGCATAGGAAGGGTGCCAAGTACGGCAAGAAGCCGCCCGCTTCGGCGTTGCCCGACGATGTCCACGAGGAACGCTTTACAGAGAATGCGGCTAGCGAGAGGCGTCGGCGACCTTCTTCCGATGGCGCTGGCATTTTCAGGACCGATAGACCGGATCGCGCGCCTAAACATGAAGTTTTTAAGGGCGTGGAGGTTGTTTCATCCAAGGAGCAGGACGCTCATCATCGCATGCTGGCTTTGGGCCCCCGTGTTCGACATGGTTCTACGTCTCCTACGGAAATCAGAGATCTCTCCGACACACATGATAGCACTGACGAATTGGTGGCAGTCGAGGTCACGAGTAAGAAAGCCACGGATAAGATTCCGAGCGAGAAGGAAGCGGTTCTCGCGAAGAAGCGTCAACGATCGTCACCGTCCGACATCCAACCGACTGATTTCAGTCCTTCCAAAACTTCGTTCAAGAACAAGCGTGGTTTGAAGAGGAAAGAGCCGAAGGCCGCTGCTACGATAGCAGACCCGAGTTCAAAGCCATTCAAGGTTGTCTACGCCCACTTGGGCCATGAGGAAAAGCATGCCTCTGATCGCCAGGGAATTGAGCTTGTCATGGACGAAAAGCGAAACAAACTTTCGTTACATATACAAAATGATCCGGCAGGGGATTTTGAGCTACCATTTAATCGAATCAACAGAGTGATCAGTGGGACGTCCGCGAGCTGCAGGGTTACGCTCTGGTTGTCGAAAATAGAAGGGCACCATCAGAGGGTAGACATGGAATTGTCTTCGCCCGAAGAAAGGGTACGGATTTGCACTGGTTTAAAAGCACGAAATGTCACCATGCAATTCAGAGATGAGTATGCTTACCATTCTCACCCAGGCTCGGCCTCGCTTAAATACTAACTGCAACAGGGACTGGATGGAAGGCTCTTTTGAGAAATATGGGAAAGAACAAAAGCGACACCCCAACGGACTCAAACGACCAGCGTCTGCGAGTCCGGAGAAAGTGGTCGAGAGGCCAGTAGAACCGGTCAAAAGAATGCGACTTGCAGACTCCTTGCAAGACGAAAGAGGAAACCCCACAGTCACCGCCCCCGGGAAACCGCCCGGCCGCTCCAATTCTGCAGCCAAGTCCAACCCGACTTCACCGGACGTCAGTCCTCGTGCATCCAACCCATCCTCCGGCCTAAGCGTGCAGATCCCAGTGAAGACTTCTTTGCTTACTTCAGCTCGCTTGTCCGATCGCCAGACCAGAGCCATGTCGCGTCGTTATCCATCGACCACTGTCGTGAGGTGAGTCTACTTCCTCTTCCTCTTCCTCTTCCTCTTGAGGAAGCCGCTCACTAACACGCGCTAGTGATGATGATAATGAAGAAGATCACTCGGCACAGTCGCAGTCCGATGGACCTATCAAAAAGTGGCATGAGTATGTTACACCCTGCTGTCACCATGTGGCGATACTCGATACTGATCTTTGTTAGACCCCTTGTTTATCCACGATTCGGGAAGAAAAAGGCCGAGGTGAATATGCAAGATCGCGACCGACTTCGCAGAAATGACGAGTTCTTGAACGACAATCTCATCGAATTTTACATTCGCTTTTTGCAGGAGCACCTCAGTCGGACGAACGAAGAGGTGGCCAAGAGAGTTTACTTCTTCAACTCATTTTTCTATGATACCCTCATGAATATTCCGCGTGGGAAGAAGGGTGTCAACTATGACGGCGTGCAGAAGTGGACGAGAAATGTCGACATTTTCAGTCATGATTTCGTGGTCGTGCCCATTAACGAACATGCTCATTGGTACGTTGCGATCATATGCAATCTACCAAACCTGCAGGAGCTCTCCGAGCCGCAGATATTGGACGAGCCGCTGTCTAGCGAGGTACAGTCCTCGGCTCAGCTCGATAGTCAGGTGCAAGAGATACCGGAGACTCCTCCGCCTCAGGCCCCTCTCACTGACGAAGGGACTTCGACACCTCGTGATGGTGATGCAGAGCCTGCGAAGGAAGAACAGACTCGTCATTCGCTGGCTTCGATGAGCTTGGCGGACGAGCCCCAAAATAATGCTTCCAAGGAGGCGACGCCGGCGGACGAGTGGCCCGAGCGCGAGGAGATGTCGTCCCTTCCTGCGCAGAAGTTTCCTCATGCTGAGGCAGAGCTGCCATCTTCGCAGGCAGCTAGCTCCCAAAGCTCCGCCAAACCCACCGAATCGTCTGGTAAAGCAGGGCGAAAACCGCCAACGAAGCGGACAACTAAGTTCGACATCACCCAACCCACCATCATCACATTCGACTCATTGGGCATGACTCGCACACCGACCTCTCGGATCCTGCGCGAATACCTCTACGAGGAGGCGAAATCCAAGAAAGGCATCGAGATCGCCGCGAAGTGCATCCGAGGGATCACGGCGCAGAAGATTCCGCTGCAGCCCAATTTTTCCGACTGCGGGTTGTATCTCCTGGCGTATATGGAGAAGTTCGTGCAGGACCCGGACACGTTCATTCGGAAGATCCTCCAGAAGGAAGATGTGGAATGGCCCCCGCTCAAATCCGGACACCTCCGCAAACGACTGCGCAAATTCCTCGACGCGCTGTATGATGAGCAGGCGCAGTTGAGTCGACAGGAGACGGGTGCGAAGGAGACGATGGCGGATCGGACACCAATTTGCTATCTTCTGGGGTCTTCATTGGGATCGCCGGAGGTGCAGCGTAAGATGAAGACGGTGGAGTCGCCCGCGAAAGTCCCTGATGAGCAGGCCTTGACATCGCCGTGCAAAGCGCCTGAGCAATCTGGTTCACCGTCGCCGGCTAAGAGGCCTAAGAAGTCGGATTCGCCGTCTCCGTCCAAAGCCCCTGAGAATCACCCTTTGCCGGAAAACGGTGCACAGGTCTGCGAACCTCAGGTGGAAACTGAGGAAGCCGCAGAAGCAGAGACTGGCGATAAGGAGACAGGAGCGCGGGAGGAACCCGAGGTTAGTCTTGTGTCATCTACACAGAACAAGAAAGAGCCCTCTAGCCCGCGCCCGGAGCCTCGGGAGTCCGCTCCAAAACATGTTTCACAGGAAGTTATCGAGGTTCCAGACAGCCAAGAGCCGAGCACGTCTCCCACCAAGATTGGGTTGAAGACCACCAAGCCACACATAGTGATGACCTCTCCATCCAAGATCAGGTTGGAGGCTACCAAGCCATATACCAAAACCACATTCCAATCCAAGGCCATTCCGGAGACCACCAAGCCGCACACACCGATCACCTCCCCGTCCAAGGCCAAACCAGAGACCAAGCCATATACCCCGCTTCACCTATCGGCGCTGTCCACCGAGTCCGAGACTAAGACGCATGGCAATGAGTACGGGAGTGTGCTAGGCACTCCGGTCGAAACCCAAGTCCCCGGGACACCTTCGAAACCCACCCTAGTCAAGGACAGTCCGTCGAAACCACAGTGAACACAGCATAGCCCGAGTGGGTTTTCTCGGGATTTCTTTCACTCCGAATTTTTTTCTTTTTGAACTCTGCATTTCGACCTCACTGGCGTTCGGAAAATTGTGGGATACAGTTAGCAGTAGCATAGATACCAGATACCAAGCTTGCTTGTTGCATTTGTGTGCGATGATGGGAAGGGTGTTGTCGATGTGTCGTCATGTCATCATGTCTTGTGCGTGTATATAACTTATGAAATGTTTCAAGAATCAACGATATACAGAATCTAGAGCCGACGACTCACTCTTACTATGTACGCATGTTATACTCTATACCTTTGACAGACTACCATTCGCACTCATCGGCCTCCACCCACCAAGCCAGTTTATCCCGTTTGAAAGCCTCGAAATCCCACTCAGCATCCTCCAACCGCTCTCGCTCCGCCGTCCAAACATACGTCAGCGCCTCGACTTCTTGAGAGGGTTCAGTAGTGTCTGGTAGCGGCGTAGTATGAAGTTCCGTCCGCACATCCTGCTCCTCATCCCCCTGATCCTTTCCCCGACCCTCCCCCTGCTCCTCACCTACAACCCTAACTCTGACTCGAACCTTAGAATACTCTCCCCCCTCAAACCGATCCAACCGATACACATCCCCATCCGTCAACCCAGTGACCAGCGTCCCGAGGACTGAAGCTGTGCCGTTCCTACCCCGGTCATTCGCACAACCATCCCCCATGCCACCATCTGGAGAAGAACCGACAGGTAAAATACCAGGATAATCCGCTCCCCGCACCCGATGCCGCCGGTAGTGAGGAAGCACCGCCGGCTGGATCCGTAGGTACGCCCGCTGCCACGGTTCCGGATCTGCGCGGCCGTGGATTACCCGGTGTAGGATTGCTGGGGACATTAGGGTGCCTTTTTTTAAGGGTCTTAGCTGTTTGGATTTTGGGTGTGCGGGTTGGATTATAGGGGGAGGATTGGGGTTGCTTACCGTAGAAGAAGAGGACGTGGTCGCCCATTTCTAATCGAGGTTCTGGTTGATTGGGGATTGTATGGTGTGTTATCTCATTGGTATAGGTATTGTTTGTATTGAGGGTGGGAGGGATGGGAGGGGTATAATTTATATCTGGGAGGAGTTGAGGAGTCCTTCTGTATGAGTATGAGCGATGGTTCTTGGGGGAAGAGGAGGAGGAGGAGGAGGAGGAGGGGTGAGTGATATTAGTGTTGAGTGTATACACTGCACGCACCCGAGAGCTATCTTCCTATCTAGTCTTATCGATAAGCCAGGGACTCGACCTAGAGCCCACACCCGCACTAACCTATCCGGGAACCTAGCACCGCCACAGCTCCGATAATGTATTCCACCCGGGAAAAGGCCCAGGTGGCTTCAACTGATCTACTCCGCTCCGTCAATAGCTGAGGATTTCCATCAACATTCATCCCTAGGCACTGCGCGCTCCGCCTAGGCTGAATCCTTTCCTCCCCCCGCCACCGGATTCCTCTGTCTGATTCACTCGCGCAAACAATGCACTCGACGCTCAACCGCGCGCAAGCCGTCTTCGGCTTCTTCACGACCGTCGCGCTCGTCGTCGCCGGGCTGGCCGCGCTCTCCGTGCTGTTCTACCCGACAGACGGGGTGACGTCGCAAGTGAAGGTGCGGGATGTGAAGGTGTACGTTGCCCCAGCAGTCTCTGCACCAGGGAGGTATTGTTATAGTGGTGGTGCTAACATGTTCTTTTCTCTCTGTCTAGCACAAAAGGCCGTCCGCATTACTACTCCACGCGGAAAGAAGAATACGCGCAGATGCGCTTTGATCTGGATGCTGGTGCGTTCAGCCCTCAGCCCTCAGTCCCTGACCATATCCCCCGGAAAAGCTATCACACTAACCCCTTCGAATTGAATGGATATAGACCTCACCCCCCTCTTCAACTGGAACACCAAACAACTCTTCGTCTACGTCTACGCCTCCTACCCCTCCGACTCCCCCTCCTCCTCCTCCACCTCCACAAACTCCTCATCCAACTCCGCCTCCATCATCTGGGACACGATCATCCCTGCCCCAGAATCGGCATACTCGTTCGACGCCCTGCGCGAGCGGTTCTTCCCGTCGAAGCCGCAGTCCAAGTCATCCGGGCGGAAATCGTCCGCGAAGAAGACACCCCCCAAAGTGAAGGCGAAGGCGACCGCTAAGTCCGCCCCCGGGATCCTCCGGCTGCGCGATCAGAAGCCCAAGTACCAGATCGGAGATGTCTCGGGCAGGATGGCGGAGCGTAGCAATGTTACGCTTTCTGTGGGCTGGAATGTTCAGCCTTGGGTTGGGGCGCTTTGGTGGGCGCCGGGTTCTGGGAGTTTGCCCCGGACGCACGGTGGGGTTGGTTCTACGGGCTCGTTTGCGTTGCCTGCTTTGAAGGGGAAACAGCAGCAGGCGCAGGCGCAGCAGGGGAGGAAGGGTGCTTCTGCTGTTTAGTTTAGTTTTAGGTTGGGTTTGATGGGTTATGGTTATGGTAGGGTTAACTCTGTTCATTAAAATATAACGATGATTGATTCGGTATCGGTATGCATTAAACTTGAAGGAAGGATAACGCGGGTTCATTCAAAAGATCATTCTCAGCCCATTATTGCAGTCGCTGTGCTGGGACACCCCGTCTGTCCCCACCCCATCAAGACCATCGCAGTCGCTCAAATAGTCCCATACGTCGTCTGATGATGCGCCCCCTGCTGGATCCGCTCCGAGTACACGCCCGGAGCCCGCCGCGGCGCCGTCGCCGTATCCGTGTTCCGGTAGTAGACGTACTCCAAATAGAAAGCGTGGATGTGGCCCGGTAGGTATCTATTATTGGTCAGCCTGTCTCTTGCGGTGGGGGTGTCTGTTGGGTTGGAGATATGTAGATGCTTACCCCAGGATCGTGAGGAGAAGGTTGATGAAGAAGTCGGCGCTGCAGCCTGAGATGAGGAAGACGCCGAGTGGGGGAACTATTTGCGTGCTGATGTTAGTTTATTTACTGGGTTGGTTGGTTGGTTGCGGTGGTGCAGTCAGTGGTTCGAGGTTGAGTACGTACTGAAGATGGTGATTAGGATTAGGCATAGCATTGAGCAGGTTCCTGCCATTTTGGAGGTATAGAATAATATAGTATTTGGAGTAGATGGGGATAGGTGGTGTATTGATAGTTTGGTGGGTGTGTGTGCTGAGGATGCAGTAGTAGGTGCAGTAGAAGGTCGGTGTCTAGGACCGAAAGCGCACAGTCGATTTGCCTCGTTTATTGTTGCAAATAGTCACGGTCTCAAGGTAACTCCCCAGAAAACTCAGAGCCAGAATCAGGAACAGCAGCAGGAATATATAGATGGCCACGTTGTCGTCGTGGGCGCTGTTAATGCGTTTCATTTCGCTCAGCCCTGTCGTACGCCGATCAACGTAACGTCACTGGGACGGGATGTTGGCGTGCTCTTGACCACGGTGATTGGAATGTGACTCGCCAGCGGCGGTGAAGATGTGAAAGTAAATAACTCCTAGACAGGGACAGCATCCCTGTTTGACGTCATAACATATGCCGTCTCGCTTGGCTGTTGTTTATTAGTGGATGCTAATCCCGGGGTACCCTTGTGGGGCCAGCCACTGTGGCTGATATCATACTAAGTCAACGATAGGGATAACTAGAAAAAAAAATAAGTATTTAATCATATGCAGCTTAGCTTCGGTTCTACAGTTGTATGTATCGTGTAATAGCCTCATGTATACACATATCCTCCACTTTGTCGTCTGTCCACTTCATACAGCATCGATCGATGCCCGCGTCGTCACCTGCTCGTTTTGATTGCCCAGCTTGGAGATCTGGAGGAATGCATCCACCCCGTACCCCTCCAGGCTGTGCAGCTCCAGACTACCCGCCCAGTACTCTGCATACACCCGGCTCATCGGCAGTCCAATCCCCAGGCGCAGATCCGGACGCCGCGACGTCAACGAGTCCAATGAGCCCTCTCGGAAGGTCTCCTTGTCTGCATGCTTCCTCTCCGTCGGCACGCTGAGCTCCTGCAGCGTGGCGGCCATCGCGGGAACTTTGCCCAGATTGCGCAGATGAGACTTGCTGTGCGGTCCTTTGTTGAAAGACCACAGATACGGCAGCACCTCGCGCGGGATGCCTCCGCCTTGGTCCGAGACACGCATGATCACATGCTGCGGTGCCTCGCAGATGAGCACTTCGATCGGAGGCGGCTGCTCCGGCCGCCCGCGGTACTTCTCACTCACGGCCTGGATCGAGTTACGCAGAAGCTCGCCGATGATATATTCCAGATGGCTGAGCATGTACGGAAAGGTAGCGTCAAGGTGGCCCTGCACGGTGATTTCCGGGATCTTGTCCGATCCGGACGTTTGCCGCATCATATCCTGCGCCAGCTTCCCGCAGCGCTCCACCACCTCCCTGGCATTGCATTTGAGAAAGACCTCACCTACGAAGTCGGCGTTGGAGTCGGTGCGGTCCTGCGAGCCTGGGAAGTGCCACGGCGAGTTGAAGGTTTCGGTCAAAGCAAGATGTTGCTCTGCAATGACTCGACGAGAAATTCTCTATGCATCGCAGCTGTTAGATCGGTCCACCCAATGGGCCATTGGGGATGCCTACCGCTCTGAGAAGGGTGTTCATGAAATTGTCCAGGACTTCCGATGTCACTAGCTCGCGACACTCCAGGACGCCCATGGCTAGTTTCGGGATGACCACCAGGTGCTCCTGGAGCGTCTTCCGAAGGATATCGCAAAAGTGGTCATTGTCATCGAGGGTCTTGATTTCAGGAATGGCCCGAAATCTTTCAAAAGCTTTATAGTAGAGTTCGTATACAAGCGAAAGATGGGGGTTCGCCACTACCACGTATGGTAGTTTTTGGATGTCTCGTAGACGATGTGCAAGTCTGAAGGTGAAAGCACAGGTTAGTCGGATCTCCACACGCGAACCAAAGCACATACGACTGACCGAGTGGGAAGCTCCGTCCGCACGTAGTTGGCAGAGCTGATAAGGCGCGATTCGGTCAATGTCCGCCCGAAGAAAGTCAGCTGTCGTAAGCTGATGGGTCGAATGTCGCGCTTAACCCAGCTGCGAGAAGTCTGTATTAGCACGAGACAGCCGAGACAAGGTGGCGATGGGATGGAAGAACGTACTCGTCCAACGCTGTGACAGGTCTCCAGGGAGGGGGACTATAGGCCTGATAGCTCGAGGTAAATCGGGGAGTTGCTGAGCAGCTCCGGCGGAGGGCACGCCAGCATCGAGCTGGATGGCTCGGCGCCATATTGCGGCTGCTAGGGACGGATTGCACAGGCTTGATTGAGGGGGTGGCATTGAGTTACTCGCAGTGATACAGTAGGATGCGGTGGTCTGGAGTCAGACGATCCACGGGAATTCAGCAGTGGATAAAACTTCCCAAACATGGCGTGTCCAACGAGATCATCTTTCGAGGTCCACACGGAATGGCCTCAGCTCACCATGGCATGATTCTTATAGTCGGTAATTGTCCTTGGGAAGGAAATGGACAAATGCGATCGGCTTTCCTGGGCCGGGCGGTGAGAGCTTCGAAGAAGGGAAGCTGGCATGTGACGTGCCTCTTTCGGCACTCCAGCTTTCCCGATAGATTTGCTTACAGACTCTTGAGGGTACGAATTGGGAAAAATCTTCGGGGTGGGTGTGACGCTGATTGCTCTGAGTGGGAGTTTATGGAAGGATGATTGACCTGAAGAACCCCCAATTCCCTCCCGAGAGGCAAATAAACTATCGTCATAGTGGCTGTCGTGGATTGTTGCCTGAGGAATCAGGGAAGCAGGCACGCAGGCACGCAGGCACGCAGGTTGTCAAGAAGGAATATAGAACACCAGACGGAAGGAAGAGTCATGTTATATGAAAAGGCTTTCTTATCTCTTCCATGCACCTCTCCATATCCCGGATAGGCCGTTCTTAGCCATCTCACCGTCTGTCCTAGCCTCCTACCTTGCAGCTTTTTTCTGCCTGCCTCGGGTCTTAAACAGCGTGCAGTGGAGCGCTAAAGTTTTTCTACTGCACCAGCGGTGATATCACGGTTCGGTATGTGGCTCTCTCCGCTTGCTTCCATTCTGGTCGTGACCACGTTTTGTCGGTCGAACTCCCACCGACTTAAACTTATACTTTGCATGCATCTGCCGAATAGATAGAAGACTAAGGACAGTATCCTCCGGGCTGTCGCAGAAAGATAAGATTCCAGGACTGGATGGGGAGTGTCCCCGCTAGCCACGGCTGCCTTGTCCCCATATATAGTCATGGTACTAAGGAAAACCGGCCGTTGAGACACCGTCATTATGCATAGAACTGGAACGAACAGAACAAGTCCAATTAGCGGCTGTAGCAAGCAAGGAAACAGGCGCCAGCGACTGTAGCATTGTTTCGCGTTATCCGAAGGTTGTTGCAGTAGCCATCGAATGCCCTCTGCTTACTTCCTTGCGAGTCTGCGACCATTGTTTCAACGTAGTAGACCAAGAAGCAGAAGCAGAAGCAGAAAGCAGAAGCAGAAGCGGCTGTTCGGGAGAAGGTCTTAATAATAATAAAGACTGCTTGTGTCCCGCCCGCATGGCCCGTTATTATTGGGTTTTGGCAACTCCGCCACTAGCTTCAATTCAACTCCCTGTGGACAGGCTCGAGTCGGCTCCAGCCCAGATCTTCTTCGCTACTCACCTCACTTCCATTCTTCATTCTTCCCAGTTGTGGACTGGTGCATCCTTTTCGCCGACTGATTCTCCAATTCCCTTTCCATTTTCTTTCCTACTTCTTTCTCCCTGCTTTGGGCATTTCCTTCCCTCGTAATCTCCGCGAAGAAGAGTGACCCGCTACCTCAGTGCGTGGATCGCACTTTTTCCCTCACATGGACAACGTAAGTTTTGGTCTCAAATCATTTGCGTCTCACCAAACCTTTTCGCGAAGATCTCAGCCACCTTCCCATCCATCGGCAAACGACTGGTGCTGATCCTGAATTTTTTCCCGATCCCTTCAGGCGGCCGATAGTGATATGCTCGTCGACGAATATGAGCAGTATCACCAAGACAGAACCGACGATGTCGTCGTCTCCCGCTCCGGATCGGACGAACCGGAGTCGGAGCCCTCCGCGGATGACCGTAAGGCCCATATGATACCTTTCCATAATCCTTTGGCGCACCCTGCTGGCTTGCGATGGACTTGGCCCGGCTTCCCTAGGTCCCCGCCGTGGGACGGCCCTCCGCCGTCGGCAACTGCAACACTCCACTCCAAGTTCGAGAAACTGATCCTTTCTCCGCACCAGATGCAGCAATGATGGCTCGGGTCCTCCCGAAAGACCCGGATTTGGAAATTGAAGATGAGACATATCACACATGGCATATCCAGGATTGGCGGAAGTTGAAGAAGAAGGAGCACGGCCCGGTCTTTCAGTGCGCGGGCTTCCCTTGGTGCGTGCCCCAACCACTGACTTTCCTGCTAGGGTTGCCCGGCTCTGATAGCCACTCTGACATTTTCTCCGCAGGCGGATCCTGTTCTTCCCCTATGGAAACCATGTTGAGCATGCCTCATTCTACCTGGAGCATGCTTGGGACGGCGAACCGCCGGCAAACTGGTACGCCTGCGTGCAGTTTGCACTCGTCCTCTCGAATGTGAACGATCCCTCCATCTACGTTCACCACGGTAGGCCGGTCCTTCTTCCTCGATGAAATCCCAAGTTTGGCTGACGCGGATCACAGTCGCGACCCACCGGTTCCATGCGGAGGAGGGAGACTGGGGCTTCACTAGATTTTGCGAACTGCATAGACTTTTCAGCCGGCCGTGGGAGGGGCGTGGTGTGCCTCTTGTGCAGAATGATGAAGCTAGAGTCACGGCCTACGTGCGTGTGGTCAAGGACCCGACGGGTGTCTTATGGCACAACTTCCAGAAGTATGAACTCCAAAACAAGCCGGCTGGGTTGACTCTAATACCTTTCTAGTTATGACTCGAAGAAGGAAACCGGCATGGTTGGTTTGAAGAACCAAGGAGCAACATGTTACCTCAATTCGCTCTTGCAGTCCTTGTATTTTACCAATCGATTTCGCAAGGTATGCTTGTCCTTGCTGCCTCTTGTTGCCGCCGCCTGACACTGACCGCGTCCAAGGCCGTCTACGAAATCCCAACCGAGGCTGAGGCCTCACGTGACAACAGCGCTTGGACACTTCAGAGGTTGTTCTTTAACCTTCAGACCTGCGAGAACTCGGTGTCCACCACGGAGCTGACCGCATCTTTCGGCTGGGAATCTCGGCAGATCTTCGAACAACAAGATGTCCAGGAGTTGTCGAGAAAGCTCATGGAGAGACTGGAGGAAAGGATGAAAGGCACGCCGGCCGAGAAGGCGCTGCCGGAGCTTTTCGTTGGAAAAACGAAAACCTACATTTCCTGTATCAACGTTGACTACGAATCGTCGCGCGTGGAAGATTTCTGGGATATCCAGCTGAATGTTCGCGGCAACAAGACGCTCGATGATAGTTTCAAGGACTACATTCAAGTGGAAACCCTGGAAGGAGAGAACAAGTACGATGCTGGTCAACCCTACGGTCTCCAAGATGCCAAGAAGGGTGTCATCTTCGAGAGCTTCCCTCCGGTCCTACACCTTCACTTGAAGCGCTTCGAGTACGATATCAACCGCGATGCTATGATGAAGATTAATGACCGTCACGCTTTTCCTATGGAGTTTGATGCCACTCCATACCTCTCCAATGACGCCGACAAGTCCGAGCCCTGGATTTACGAGCTGCACGGTGTGCTGGTTCACAGCGGCGATTTGAATGCCGGCCACTATTACGCCTTCCTCAAGCCTACCAAGGACGGGTTCTGGTACAAGTTCGACGATGACCGCGTGACTCGGGCTACGGACAAGGAGGTGCTGGAGGAGAACTATGGAGGCGAATATGAGCTGGCCAACGGAGCAGCTGGAGTCAGACAACCCTACACTCGTGGCTTGTCTACGAAACGCTCAATGAACGCCTACATGCTGGTCTATATTCGCAAGACCAGACTGGACGATGTGCTTTTGCCCATCACCAAGGAAGACGTTCCTTCCCACATCGGTATGTCGACTGTTGTGCCCAATGGCAATCGCACTCACTGACATGTCACCAGAAAAACGTCTCGTGGAGGACCGGGCGGAGCAACTTCGCCGGAAGAAAGAGAGGGAAGAGGCCCACCTCTACATCAACGTTGGGGTGTTGACCGAAGAGACTTTCCAGGCTCACCACGGATTCGATTTGACAAGCAATGACTTGCCCGCCGACGATCCTGCACTCCCGACGCAGTACAAGGTATTGCGGGCTAAGAAGGTCGGTGAATTCGCAGAGCAGCTGGCAGAAGAGAGGGGCCTCAACCCTACTCACGTCCGCTTCTGGGTTATGGTCAACCGCCAAAATAAGACCACCCGTCCTGACCAGGTCATTCCGGATCCTAAGATGACTCTTGAGGAAGCTTACAACCGGTTCAGCACCAAAGGCAACCCTTTCAAGGTGTTTATGGAGGTTGGCAAGCCATCAGCCGATGGAACTGTGACCTGGCCCGATAAAGAATCGATCCTGGTCTTCCTCAAGCAATTCGATGCCCCTACGCAGACACTGAGCGGCGTGGGTCCCGTGTATGTCCGCAAAACGCAGAAAGTGAACGAACTTGCCCCCGTCATTCTCGAACGGATGGGCTGGCCCGTTGGTACCGAGTTTATGCTGTATGAAGAGATCAAGCATAACATGATCGAGGTCATGAAGCCCAAGCAGACCTTCCAGCAATCTGAGATTCAGGATGGCGACATCCTCACCTTCCAGAAGCAGATCAAGGAGTCTGAACTGCCACCAACAGCATTGTACACAGACGCGAAGCAGTTCTACGATTACCTACTGAACAAGATCACCGTCACCTTCGCTCCGCTGAAATCCGAGGAGGGTGACGAATTCACCCTTACTCTGAGCCGAAAGATGACTTATGACCAGTTCTCGAAGAAGGTTGGCGAGCATCTGAACGTGGAGCCCACGCACATTCGCTATGCGCCGGTCTTGGCAAGCACCGGCAAACCTAAGCAGTTCATCAAGCGGAACCCCAACCAGAACAACCAGACGCTGTACCACATCCTCAGCGGGCAGATGTCCACTTATGGGTACAGCATGCATCGCCAGGACGCCCTGTACTATGAGGTGCTAGAAACAAGTTTGAGCGATTATGAGTCGAAGATCTGTCTCAAGGTTACGTGGCTTCCGGAAGGCATCACAAAAGAGGTAAGTCTGGGCGAGATTGTCCAAGTTGATGGTACAGAGGCTTATCATTCCACAGCAAGTCGTGGAGGTTCTCGTTCCCCGCGATGGTACCATTGCCGACGTCATTGCCGGCGTGCAGAAGAAGGCCAATTTGGAGGACGACGGAGACATCCGTGTATATGAAACTCACGGAGGCAAGATCTACCGGGAGTTCCAACCGGACTCGAAGATCGCGGGTATCAACGAATTTGTGACCCTCTATGCGGAGAAATACCCCGAGGAGGAGCTCAACATGCAAGAGGGCGAGCGGACCCTCAACGCGTTCAACTTCGACCGGGAGGTCAGCCGACCGCATGGCGTGCCCTTCAAATTTGTCATGAAGCCAGTAAGTACTATCCAGTTCCTGAGGTCTTCACACTCGCTCACATTCGACAGGGCGAGATCTTCAAGCAGACCAAGGAGCGTCTTTCTAAACGAACTGGAATTAAGGGCAAGCAATTTGAGAAGATCAAGTTTGCTGTTGTGCCTCGGAACATGTATACCAACCTACGATACCTTGAGGATGGTAAGTGAGATCTGACTTCCTATCTGGTTCCATGGCTAATTGCTCGCAGATGATATCCTTTCCGACGTCGTCGGTGACTCGGACGACCTTCTGGGTCTCGAGCATGTAAATAAGAACCGCAGCTTTTGGAGCCGGAGCGAGTCATTCTTCATTCGATAGATATGAGGCTTGTTTTGATGGTATTGCTTATCCTTTGCCTGTTTTTGCTGGACAAAGTCCTCTTCAGTTGACTGGGGCTCATCGGGTTATCAGACTTGACCAACTAGCAGCCCCTGGTCGCGAAGAGTTGAAACTTTATAGTTATGTTATATGCCTACGAACAGTGCGGATGTTTCATATCCTTGCGATGGCAGTCTTGTTGTCTGTTACTTTAGGTAGAAGGGCGGGCCTAGCAGCCGTAGTCCCCCAAGGTCGCTCTAGTCAGTGAAATGAGTTGATGTATGATTTAATTGGACATTATTTGTACGTATTTCTGGGAGGTGATTTGGTCCCATCTTAGATTAGGTTAAGGGATCTATCTATCTGTCCGCTGTTAAAAAGGCTAAGGGGGAGGGGGTGCAAACACAGCAAACAGCGCGGGCCAAAGTCACAGCTGGCCAGAACTTCCTCCGTCGGTGTCGTGAGTTGTTTTGATCGATCCGTCCGTTTCTCCCTCCGAATCAAGTCGACCTTGAGATTGAGGGTCCTTTATTCCTGGTCATTTTCTTCTTGTACCCTTCTTCACAATGCGCTTCGCAGCTCTTGTCATAGGCCTATTGGCCACCTTCATTTCCTCGGTGGCCGCCACGGCGCTGACCTACCGACTCGAAGCCAACGAGAAGGCCTGTTTCAATAGCTATGTCGACCAAAAGAACGTCAAGGTTGCTTTCTACTTCGCGGTACGTCTCCTCTTTCTGGGCGAAATCATATGATTCTCGCTAGCCAGGAAGTTGCACAGCTGATCACGTTCATTTCTACAGGTGCAATCCGGCGGTTCCTTCGACGTGGATTACTCCGTGATCGCGCCCGGCGACAAGGTGATTCTGGACGGCACCAAGGAACGCCAGGGCGACTTTGTGTTCACGGCGCAGAGCATCGGCGAGTACCGGTTCTGTTTCAACAATGAGATGTCGACGTTTGCGGAGAAGATGGTGGATTTCGAGATTGCGGTACGTATTTTGACCCTCTCCTGTCTGTGTTGCGGTGGAGGTGGAATCATCGAACTAATCACAATCCCAATGGCGGTGTGATGGTGGTAGATCGAAAACGAAGAACGCGCCCAGCTCCCCTCCCGGCAAGGCGCCAGCCCCGAGCAGGCGTCGGCGCTGGAGGAATCCATCTTCAAGCTCTCCGCCCAGCTGTCGACCATCTCGCGCAACCAGAAGTACTTCCGCACGCGCGAGAACCGGAACTTCAGCACCGTCCGCAGCACCGAGCGCCGGATCTTTAACTTCAGTGTTATCGAGGGGTTGATGATGGTTTCCATGGCCGCGTTGCAGGTGTTTGTTGTGCGGTTCTTTTTTCAGGGGGCCAGGAAGGGTGAGTTTTCTTTTTTTCTTTCTTTTCTTGCGATAATTTGTGGGGGGGGGGGAGGGCGGTTGATTTTCGGTTTTGAGGGGTGGTTTGCTAACTGACTTTGATAATATGTATAGGTTATGTTTGATTGTGATGATCATGTCGATGCATATATTCGTTATTTTAAATCTTTCTTCTTTCTTTGTTGTGCTGTGGAGAAAAGAATTTAAATTTATATTCAATATTGTACTTTTTCTTTTCTAATTTTTTTTCATGGTCTATGGGGTTTTACGTCTAGATTGTGGTGTCCGCGCTTAGGTTCGGTCCCTGTTCTTGTTCGTTCGCAGTTGAGATCGACGATTTCATATTACTATGATTATTTGAGGTGCGAGCAACTGACTTTGGATCTGTGTTGCGGTCTGGGTGCGGTGGATAACGGCTATGGGCATTGGTAAGTGTGTTCCTGGTCTTTTCTGGTCATGTGCTACGTATATGAAAGAATGGACGATAAGTCTATACATCTTACCCAGCTAGCCCAGGAACTAGAGATCAAGAGTGATAATGTGGGTTACGCTACCTATGGGAACCTGCTTCTCGAGACCGGGAAAGAGGAGGGGAAGGGGAAGGGGCGAAAAGGCTGGCCACGGTGTGGTTGGTGTATGCCATGTGGGACTGCTGGACCACTCACTCCTGCTGCTGTCGGAGTTGAGATCCTGTTTTCTCTTTTTGTGGAGGGGGTCTGCCTGGCTGGGTCTGTCTGTCCGTCCGTCTGTCTGTCCGTCCGTCTGTCTGTCCGTCCGTCTGTCTGTCCGTCCGTCTGTCTGTCTGTCATGTTGGAGGAGAACAGGGAAGATGGACTGATGGAGGGGGGTTTTTTGCCATTTGCCATCCATCCGCGTTTGTCGTCATCGTTTGAAGGTTCGGGGTTCGGGATTTGGTTTGCATAGGGATTCTTCTAGCGGAGGATGGATTGTCATTCGTGGGAGCATCTGGGTCCAAAATTGGTGATGGGAACGATTATCGTGGACGAGCTGGAATAGTGGACTGGAGGATGGGGGTTGTTGTATAGTATGGTATGGTATGGTGAGGATGTGGAGGCGGAGGATTGAACTTGGGAAGGAGTTTCTTGCATGTTGAGGTAGGTTCTGTGATACTTGGATGTTGGCTTTGGTTTGTCAATCCAGGAAGAGTCTTGGTCCTCCGTTGGGGTTGACGTTGTGGATAGGCTCGGTGGAGGTGATCGATCTATAGCTATGGTGAGGAGAGGAAGGCTGTCAACTTGCTTGCGGGTGAGGATGCCGTCAGGATTTGGATTCGCCATCTTCATTGATGATCAAAGTACTTCCTTCTATCCACAAGTCCTCACGACAGTACACGAAGCATTATTCGCCATCAGTGCACAAACCCGGATGTCGCGTCAGACATGACATGCTCCGTGATAGCGAGATATCGTATAGTATAGCCTGGAACCTGTGAGAGGGCAAAGACGAAAGCGAACAAACCTGTTCCACTGTTTCAACAAATATTCCAACAGGGAATGGTCGCTCATTCGTCAAGCATATAGTGGGTTAGTCGGTTTAGAAATGAAGAATGGATGGACCATGAGGGAGGAATGACGGGTTAACCTAGTGACAGGGGAACTGGAAACCACTCTCACTAGGTGAGGAGAACCAAAACCTGTTTCATCATATCCTCATGAATGATTCAGGGCTTGGGCAGATTCGTGCTTACTAGTCTGTCTGTATTCAATACAATATGTGTTGCAGAATATCTTTGGAGGGATGGTTAACTGTGGTGTGAGGAGATGGCAGCGTCCGAGCCATTGTGACTGGACGACGGGATCTATGTGATGATGATGACGATGATGATGTTATTCGCCATCTCCGTCATATGCAGCCAGCGCCTGCAGTGCGGGATATGGATGGTTAGTGGTAGGTACTGTACCATCGTAGCTGTGACGCCAATGGCATTATATCCCATTGCGTCGTGAAGAAACTTGTGCAGCTTTTTCGCCATCCTTCGGTGACTATGAGTATGGTTGTTTCATATTATAGTACATGTATGGTATGCATGATATTAAGATGGCGAATTAGTGGGCTAAGTTCCCTGGATGTTTAAGGAGTCATTGGTCTCGACCCTCGCAGTAGATATCAATCAGTCTCATACGAAGGGATCGGCAGTCCGGAGACACTCGTAGATACTTGTTAGATGAACGCTTAACGTGGCGTCATGGGGGCTACTACTGGTTGGCCGAAGGCATAGAGTGAGCCTCAAGAATTAAGGTAGAGCGGAGGCTTGTTATCCACGTTGCGCAAGTCGCATCATTGGCGGGGGGCGGTTCCACGATGCGGTTATGACGTTTGAAAAAGGATTGGTGGTTGGTTTGCATTGGGTTTTAATACCCCAGATGACGGTGAGTGAAGTAGCGAGGAACGCGCTCGGTCGCTGGGCTGAGCTTGAGTCGAGAGTCGGGATGGTGCTGTTACTGCTGCTGCTGCTGCTGCTGATGATGATGATCTGGACCTGGTCCGGGATGGGAGGCGAGGAAAGTGATATCATCTTGACTGTTGTTCCTGGCCCTGCCAGCCTCGCGAGACTTTTGCCCTTTCTCCATTGCTGACTCTTCTTTATTCTTTGATAGCCCGAGAGAGGGTAATGCTGGGTATGGGGTGAAAATGTCACTGTTCATTATTTTGGTTATTTTGTTTCTGTTTGGGTTTGAAGCAGGGTTGTTGGTAGTTGGGGGGATGGGTGTAGCAGAGACAGTAGAGAGGGTTTCCCGTTTGCGCTGACTTCATAGGGCAATGGCTTTCTCTCTCTCTCCCTCTGGCCACTTCCATGCAGTGCAACCGTTGACGGTTCTAGAACATGCCAATCGCTTAGTCTAGTTTTTATTTGATTTTCCTTCTTTTCTTCCCTTTTCTTTCTTACTTAGTGATCGTCAGTAGCTCCATTTTGTGTTCACCCTACTATAGTAGAAAGTGTCAATGCACAGACTACTACCACACTACTCATATCTGTTAAAGCCGGTGGCTGTCTCACTTATGGCACGATGTAAAGTGAATTGCGGGTGACCTGTAACAGGGCAAGGATCGATCCACAGTAGGAACCATTGTCGAAGAAGTCCTCGGGCTACGGTTGCCATTGAATTCAGCAAGATACATTAAGGTATTGAGCGACATCCACAGTAAACCGACCACATCTGAGAAGCCAGTTGGCCTCTTCTGGAAGTCTTTGAGGTCGTGGAGTTGGGGCCATTGGGAAGATCAATCCACCCACTGCACCTCGGTTGCTGGACGGTGTAGACGAGAGTGGAGGCGTGGATCGGCAGCGTGTGGACAATCAAGCGGATATCTCATGCGCTGTAGGTCTCTTAGTGGCAGTTAACTGCCATTGTTGGTGGTAGACTGGAGGAGAAGCGTGGAGTGGTGTTGTGCTGTAGTGCTGTGCTGTCAATTGAGCATCTGATCTGATATACAGTACATCCATACTCGGTATCAGCCATTGTTGTCGTCAATAGCGGCCGACTAGCAACACGCCCGGAAAAGTAGTTCCATGCAAGTCCCCAGCTTTTTCGTCAGTGTGTTTACACTTTGCACCCTGGGATTTGTTCTCCCCTTATCCTCTGACCTCACTCTCGAGCCTTCGATCTCCGTTCTTCGTATCTACTCTCCTCTCTCGCCCTTTCCCCTCATCTAGAATTGTATTATGTCGTGTTGTGTTCCTCCAGCAACTCAGCCACTCCATCCATGACTCGGTGGCACAGGGCGTGACGTCACAGTACCGGCCTGAGGCAGCCATCGCGGCATGATTCCGAACCACAACGAATCTTCAAAACTTTCCTACACTTCCCAACGTGAAGGCATCCACGGGCCTTCGATGGAGCCTATCTGGTCCTCGGGAACGAATCACACTCCGTCGCACTGTGAGATCTTTCGCTCATGAGTTCAGAGTCCATCATCCATCCACTTATTGCTTCGGATTGATGATCGCTCCCCAAATTGGATTATCCCCAAGCAACACACACACCCACCGCCCCTTCCCCCCGATCGGAGGGCCATTTTGCCTGCAGCATGACCGACAACGCCTTAGCCCAATTGAGGGATGGCTTAATAGTTGAGAAGTTTGGGAGGATCTCATTCTCCTCCATCCTTCCCCCTCACCCCCGCTGCACAAACTAGAACTAGTGATTTCTGATCGCCCCCATTTTCTGTGCTAGCTTCGGCTATGATACGACACATCGTGTCCCAAGTTCTTCGTTGTTCCGCTGCCTACGCCAGCCCGCTGTCAAAATAGTATTTCCTCTCTACCCAAACAGCTCAGCTGGACGCTCATGTCGCGGATGTCCTGCCACCCCTTCCCGTCTGGTGCAGCGTCGATCTGCAGGGACGGTGCACTGCAGCGAAGACACCCCCCTCCAAAAAGCTAATTGTCGATCCCAGAACGCCATGTATCGCAGATAAACCAGTAGCATTCCACCGGTGACCTCATTCTGCTCCCAGGGATAGTGGACCGTGGTCCATCCGGGGGAAACGCCGACCCTCGAGCCAGTGGAGTACGGTTATTTCCGATCATCCCCTCTGATGTATGACCGGACGCCCCCCTAGTCGCCGCCGCCGCCGCAGCCCGTACCGATGGATTAAGGGACTTTGCCGGGGTCCGACTGTCGATTTGCAGAATTGGTCCCTAAGTGCAATGCCAGGCGCAGCCTCTCATTGGTGGCCGTGATGTCATTGGTCTCCTCCAGGTCGAAAGCGTAACCTCATCCGTGGGCATGGGCCTGTGGGTATTCCGTTTTGATGTGGACCATTAATGCAGACGACAGTTTGGAACCTACTGTCACAGCGTGCACCACTTGCTTTGCATGCATATTGACCACCGTCATTATTGTTATTGTGATCTCATATCGGCTCCGACGAGCTGATGGGATGTCTATTTAGGAGCTTCCCCGACGCCATATATCATCCCCTTTTCCATAGCATCTCTCTAGCCTATAATTGTCTTCAGCCTGTTCCACGTTCCATCTTCTATTGAGACGGACTAGTCCTACTCTGGGCATTCACGAATCTTCTTTTGTCTTTTTCTTTGCATCTTTCCCTGAAGTTAAAACCTGTTTCATCTTTCCCACTACCGGTCTCTGCCACAGGTGAGCCTCACAATATCCGGTTCTACCATCTGTAATATGCCCTTTCTGTATGTCTAGTTCCTTGAGTGGCTGCCGACCCCTTCGACATCGAGGACCGCTGTCGATGTTGATGGGGACTATGGCCCGCGGCTCTACATGAGATGCAAGTGATACCATGAGGAATGCAGCTAATGCGTGGATGATAGACAAGACACGATGGCTACCTCTATGCACGAAGAACAGCTCCGTTCGATGCCTCCCACTGCAGGCGAGGGCTGCCGTCCTCCCGGCGAGCACCACATCGTGTCCAGCAGCCGAGCCTCCGATCCTCATTCCTCCGTGGAGGACTACAACCGCGTCATGCTGGAATACACCCAACGCCGGATGGCAAACTTTGCCGAGTTCGAAGACCACAATGGCTCGTTCGCGAGCCGTAGCAGCCGCAGCAGTCAAACCAGCGGCAACAGCGGTTCCTCGACCAGTGGCGTGCTGGCCCGTCAGGCGGCTGGGCCGACTGCTGCTTCGGCGGGGACTCCTGATAGCTCCTAGGGAGGGCGCCGCAGGGCCGGCGCGGACTCGTTCTAGGTCTAACCCTTGGGACGCAGTCGAGGCTGAGCCTTGACTGGAGTTCGTTCCTGGGGAGCAACAACGGACCACACGAGTTTTCAACGTTATACGGAATGGAGTTCATGTTGGTGTGCTTCGGGAGGATCCGTGGCTGGGGATGTGTGTGACGCGATCGGGCCCTCCCAGGCGTTTTAATTGATGGATTAGCGAGAACGCCTTTTCTTAGAAGCGAAGCGAAGCGTTGCGCAGATAGAAGGGCGACATCACGAGCTCGAGGCTTGATAACTCTCTCCCGTGATTTTTTGTGCTTTTGTTTTTGATACCTCGAATCGAATGGATTTGTTTTCAAGTTACCATACGGATATTTTCTTAACAGCAGACTTCTTACTGTGCAGTCATGATTCGCGCTGCAGGGGGGGGGGTTGCTGCTGAACCGAGGTTTAGTTGGTTCTGCATTACTGGATAGATGCACTTTAGTGTTTTGTCCGTGTGCATTGTCGTCCCGACATTTATCACTCGTTTGATATACAATGATCCTGCATGGCAGTATCGAATTTATGTTCCTGGCCTGTGGTTAGATTGTAATCTTTGGCGTATCTAGGACTGGTTCCTCTTGTGGTTGTGATTAACTCGGAATTAGCCCTTGCATCGACCACTTTGGTATCATCAACACCAACATCAACAACACTAACAAAACCCAGAAATGCACCGCACACTTAATAGAGTAAACAACCAAGCAACGCTATCCACCCCTCTCCAACCGACCGACCTTCCAGATCCAATAGATGTGCAACATTCCGCATCATCTCACATTCCAAAACAAACCCCGTCCGGGAAAAGGACCACCACCAACAAACAACAAGGGAGGAATTCAGCCAGCCCTAGCTAGATCAAGGAAAGTGTCTCACAATCAGTAGCATAAGTTAAACCGCCACAATTCCTCATCCCCCTTCGTAAAGCAAGAAACAATAATAACAGCAACAGCGCCAACCAGCACACGCGTCGACCAACTCGATTCAATCCTTCGACCTTTTTTTTGCGTGTAGTTCTGACCCTATCCGCTCTTTTACATTCGATTCTTCTTCTCTGGTTCCACCACACCACCACCACCACCACCATTACTATCATTATTAGTTGATAATTGAGGTAGAGATTGAGGAAAGGAAAGATGAAACTCCTATCAACGCTCTTCCTACTCACGCCCCTGGCCCTGGGTATTCCATTCACGCCATACCCTGCGCAACCGCAGGATGAGCCGACGCTGCAACCGCAGGGGCATAGCCAGGGCCAGAATCAGGATAAGGGGACTGGAACCGCGATGGGGGTGAGGCCCCAGGGCCAGAACCAGAACCATACGCTCCCTTCGCCAGTTATCAGGCCTCAGTCTCCTAAGGAACCGCTCTTGGAGCAGGAGCAGGAGCAGGAGCAGGAGCAGGAGCAGGAGCAGGAGGATGGGGATGGGGATGGGGATGGGGATGAGGCGCAAAGCAGCAGCAGCACCACCACCACCACCACAACAACGAACAAGCAGAATCACCACGCGCTTACGACTCGGGTGCACACTACGGATAGTAGCAGTGCTACCAGTGCTATCGCCAGCGATACCAGTGTTACCAGTGCGATCGCCAGTGCGATCGCCAGCGCTACCACGAGCACCACAAGTACCACGACAACAACAACAACAACAACAACGACGACAGAGACAGTAACATTCGTCAAAATCATCCCGCAAACCAGCACCACCACTAGCAGCAGCAGGACCAGCAGCAGCAGGACCACTAGCACAACCAGCAACAACAAGACCAAAAACACTCCCCAATCCCAATCCCAACCCCAGCCCCAACCCGCACCCCTCACCCTCCACGACCCCGAACCCGAACCCGAACCAGAAACCTCTACAGAAGAGCCCTCAGCCCTAGCAAACGCGATCTCCCTCCTGCCCAACCCCAACGCAGGTCAAAACCCGGATAACAGCCAAACGTGCCCGACAAGCCGACCCTCCAAGCAATGCTGCCAGAGCATCGAAAACCTAGCGGACCAGGTGATCCAGCCGCTGGGCCAGCTTCTACCGTGGTTGTCCGGGGTGGATATTTCGAGTATCATTGCTTTGGAATGTAAAGTCCCCCCTTCCCTCTGGGGGTAAATCGTTGGGGAGTCGGGGAGATGCTATGCTACCAGACTATCGTTACGGTATTGGACACGCTTGAACCGGATAAGCTAACACAGATTGTGTGAACAGGTACCGGAATGGACGACGCGGACCCGAACGCGGGGTGCTTTGATGCGGTGATGTGTTGCGAGGGGACGCCTGGGGTATGTATTCTTCTATTATTCCATTGTGGTTTACTGAGGGGTTGCTAATGCTGGTTGTGTAGCGGACATCGAAGCAGCAGACGCTCAAGGGGGCGTGTTCTAACTGGGACCAGGCTATGAGTGATAAGGCTAAGGATGAGGCTGCTACTGCTGCTGCTGCTGCTGATGCTGATGCTGCTGCGCAGCGGGAGGCGCAGGTGCAGGCGCAGGTGCAGACTAGCTCTTCTGCTGTTGCTGCGGGGGCGAGTGCGAGTGCGAGTGCCGTGGCGAAGAGGCAGCTGCCGTCGCTGGGGAAGTTGCTGGGTGGGGATGGGGAGGTGGGCGGGGTGCTGGGGCACAAGGGGAGTCTTTTGGGGATTGGGGGTGGGCAGCCTTGATATCTTGTGGAACGGGGTGAAAGATGGGGTCTAGGGGTGTCTTTATTACTATAGTATAGTATGTGTGTGTATGGGTGGTGTGGTTTATTTGTGTTAGATGCTTTAATTAAAGTTTGTTTATCTATATCAAGATTGAGGTGGCCAGGAAGCTGAAGGAAAGGGGGGTCCGGGGGTTCTCCCCCGGATATCTTTATATTCTAGTATTATATGTGTGTGTAGGTGGGTGGTTTGGTTATATTGGATATTTCGAATTGAAGTTTTGTTTATCTTATACTAAGGTTAAGTTGGGCCAGGAAGCTGAAAGAAAGGGGGTCCTGGGGGTTCTCCCCCGGATACGCTTATTCTGGGTATAGTATATAGGGTGGGTGGGTGGATTAGTTTAGTTGTGTTAGATATTTGGACTTGAAGTCATGTTAATCTGATGCTAAGATTGAGTTGGGCCAGGAAGCTGAAAGAAAAGGGGGGTCCGGGGGTTCTCCCCCGGGACGCTTATTTTCTAGTATTATATGTGTATTATGTGTATGGGGTGGGTTGGTCTAGTTGTATATTTTGAATCGAAGTCATATTTATTCTGTTTATTCTGCGAGGACTATCTGCCGCGCGGGTACTGGTTCCAGCCGCGACCGTGGGACGCATGCGGCGGTGGGAAGTGGTACGAACCCGGGGGCATCTGCTGGGCATACTGCGCGGCCTGCTGGTACTGCACGCCCGGGGCCGGTGCGCCTGGGGCCGACACGCCAGCTTGGTAGGGGGGTGGAAAGTGGGAGGTCTGCTGGGGCGGGGCGAAGGACATGGGCGGCGGGGGCGGGGGCCATGGGCCCTGGTAGTTCGGCGGAGGAGGGGGAGGAGCATGGGGCAGACCGGGGGGGAAGCCGGACTGGTATGGAGGTGGTGGTGGTGGAGGATAGCCCATTGATGGAGGCGGGGGCGCTGGTGGAAGGGTATGCGGTGCCGGCGGAAGACCTGACGAAGGGGGAGGCGGAGGCGGCGGAGGAGCATTGCCGTACGGGTTCGACTGGCGATAGTCGTGGTACGCGGCCGGCGGCTGCGGAGAATACGACCTGGACCGGTCCTTTGGCTTGGACGACTGCCACGAGCCTCCTCCGCGCGGCGGCGATCTCGACCTCGTGCGCGACCTCGAATCGTAGCGTCGTCTGCGCGGCGACCGACTCTCGCTCCTCCACCGTCCGCCCGCTTCACTCCCACTCTCGCTGTACCGACGCCTCTGCGAGCCCCGACTGCTGCGACTCCTACTGCGACTCCGGCTGCTGCTCCTCGCCCCCTTCATGGCGCGTTTCTTCATCTGCTGACAGAAGCCCCTCGACCACCCGTAATACGTCTCGCCCTTGATAATCTCGCCACTGAGCCCCTCGCGGATCACGACCTGGCCCAACTCATCCAGATCCACGACCTCATCCTCGGCATGCTCCACCCCTTCAGAAGCGCCATAGATGCCCTCCACCTCGCCCAGAAACCGTTTCAGCGCGTCCACCAGCTTTCCATCCGCGGGGCCCGCCAGGAACTGCAATGGCTTGATGGCGTCGCCGCGCAACGGCACCGTCTCATCCGGGATAATGTGCGGGATGAGATTGCCGGCCGGCAGGTCGTAGTACGGGGTGGCGGGGTCGCCGTGCGTCGCGGGCATTACGAAGGGGACATTCTTCTGCTGGTGGCCGGACAGCTCGCGGGCGGCGACCGCGATACTCTCCTCGACGATCAACGAGGTCTTGACGGGGCCGGACAGCGCCGCGTTGGTGACGACCTCGCGGAGCTTGTGCACGTAATCCGCCGCGTAGTAGCCATGCTCGCCCCAAATGTCCAGCAGCTCGTCCAGGCGGCGGTGGTGTTTCGGGTGGCGGTCGCGGTCGTAGCTGGCGGCGTAGCCCAGCAGCTCGACGACGTAGGGCTGCAGGGAGCCGGTGACCGTCGAGAAGGAGGCGGTCGTGGGCAGGTGGTATTTCGTGTGGTGGAAGATGTCGTTCAGCAGATATAGGATGTGGAGGCGTTTGCGCTTGCCGGAGGTCTTGTTGGGTGGTTGGTCGGGTTTATTGGTGTTGGACAAGGCTGGAGGAGCGACAGGGCCATCTTCAAAGGATGCGGACAACGCGACCAGGTACTTGGCCCACACGCCTACGCGGTTGGACGAGGACACCACTTGGTGGTCGATGAGCCAGGTCTTGCAGGTCTAGATGTGCGATCGGAGCCCAACAAACTTTAGTATGAGACTTGGGGGGTCAGGGAGGGCGAGAGGCGCGACGGCGGCTCAAACCTGGATGTTTGCCGGGGTGCATTGCGACAACGCCCGGTCGAGTGAGGTGTGGAATGCGGTGATCTCGTCGCGGGGTACGGAGGTCGGGTCTGGCCGCAGTAGACCCGCAGAGAATGAGGCCTTTGCGATGGCGAGTTGATGTGATGCCATCGCGTTCGACGGGGAGGGTTGAGGAGTAATGTTTGTAGTTGGAGGAAGTGGGAGAGCGGCCGGCGGTCGTCTTCGGCGGTTGCGGGAGCTTGAGGCTGCTACACGTGATCCCGTTCGCCCTACCTAGGCAGTATTAGAGAACAGCTGAGCGAATGAGAACTCTATAGATACTGAACTATTTGTAATTCGGTGGTAGAAAACTAAATCACATCCCATATAAACTATGCCCACTCATACTATATATAACATGAATCATCTATGAAGCCAAAATTGTACATACATGCCACAAAGTGGCGCAGAAGCGAAGCTATTATCATCACATAAACAGAAGCCATACCATCACGTAATCGCTACTCTCTGGGTCAGTTGCTTAGTGTCTGCGGCGGCCGTGGCCTCCGACGATGGTCCGGCGGGACTTGTGGGAAGGCGAGGCTGTGATCGTGGCAGCATGAGTGGCAATGTGAGTGGAGGTCTTGTGAGCGATTAGAGTGGAAGTGGCGTGGGCAGCGGCACTGCTGGGGTGCGCCTTGGAAGTGGCCGAGCTCGCATGGTGGGAAGAAGAGCCGGTCTCCTTGGAGCTAGTCTCCTTCGTCGAGGTGGTCTTGCTCGTGGTCGTGGTGGTCGTGGTGGAGGTAATCTTGTCGAAGCCAAAGCATTTCTCGGACAGCGTGGTGGCGATGGACTGGAGATAGAATTAGTACACATACTCTCACAATCACCCGGCAAACTTACCGCAATGTTCCAAGTGCTGATGGGGTTGGCCTCGTCGCTCGCACTGGCGAGGTCCGCAACAAGGTTGACACCCGCGGAAGGAGTCACCTCGACAGCGTAGTGGTATTCAGAGCTATCCTTCGAGCAAACACCCTTGTTGGCTAGGACATAATTAGCACCCAGAAAGAATGGTCTTCAACAAGAGATTACTCACAAGCCTCAAGACCTAGGTCGGCTCCAACGTAGGGCTGAAGGTAAACACCAGCTTCCCAACCGTGGTCTACATCGCGTTAGCATCGTTTCATCCTCCTGAAAGAATCAACATACTGAAGACTTCGAGCTCAAGCTCGACAGACACCTTGCCATAGATCTCGACGTTGGCCTCAAGCTTGGCGTCGAGAGTGAAGTCCTTTGTGGTGACCGAAGGCGACCATCCGCTCTGATCGAAGCTGATCTCGTTCTTTGCATCTTGGTCGAGGTTAAGCACCGCCTTTGCAGAGTCCTTGATATCCATCTCGACACCCATGCCAATAGTAGCTTCTCCATCGATAGGGCCGATTGACCACCCAAGGGCAACCTTGACCATGGGACCGATAGTAATTATTTTCGGGATGTTGATTCCCTCAACTGGGATAGTGACCAGATTGAGTTCGTCAGCCACTGACTTGGTCAAGTTCCCACTCAACTTGACCTTAGGCTCGATATAGGCGGAAACACCTTTAGGCGAGAGTGTGGCGCTACCCTTCAAGCTGTGGGTGAATAAGTTGAGCAGGCCGCTGGCAAAATTCCCGTATTCAAAGACCAGGTCAAATTCTCCCGCAGTTTTGCACGTGGAGCATCCGGCACTCAGCGAAGCGCCCTCCTTATCGAAGAGAGGCTTGTCGCTGAAGGAGAAGTCCTTTTCAATGTCGATGGTCTTATCAGATGAACCCCTCTTTCTCATGCTAACGCCTCGCTTGGCAATGGCGATCTGCGAGTCGGTCTCAGGTTTGGCAATCTTCACAGCATAGTTGCGCACGGAATCCTGCCACTCGGTCACGTTGCCGGTGAATCTGGCAGTGTTGATGTTGTCACGGAAGCTGGCTCCAGTCATGATGAAGGGCTGTCTGATGGTATTCCAGCCACATTGACCGGCACCCGCCACCAGCATGACATAATGAGCATCTTCCTCGTTGAGCCAGTTCCAGGCATTTTTGGCATAAGTGTATGAAGCCGAGTCTTGGAATGCAACGGTCACGCTAGCAGTGGTGCCGTTGGTGCAAGTAACGTTCTGAATCATGCTTTTGAACGCCTCCATGGCGAGAATAGTCTCGTAGTCCTCAATCATGGCGACTGTGAAGTTTCCGAGGATATCGGTTTCACTTCCTAAAGCGTTCGCGTTAGCCACAGGGATGCATCATTAGAGATTACAATAGCTTACCACCACCCCAGAAGAATGAGTGCTGGTTCTGGAGATCCAAGGCAGAAGACGATGTAGTGGAACCAGACACCGCGATTTTCATCTCGGTGTTGGTAGTCGTCGTCTCGTAGGAGTCGATCTCCTGGAGATCCATAGACAGAGCGCGTTGATACAAAGCGTAGGCCACGAGGCCAGACGCCAGACCGTTTTGGAAAAGTCTGACCATTTTGACTGACAGCCAGGTCAATAGTCGGAATGAATGAATGAGTGGATTGGGATAATCCCGAGAGAGTGTCTATCACTATAGTGATGAAAAAGAATGACTATCCCGTGGGACAAAAAAGAGTGACTGAGAGTGTAAGTGATGTTTTGCGTGGATTCTTTGATCTCGCAGACTATCTCCGGTCTTATAAACCAGGCCATACTGTTGGCCCCCAAGCTGATCGGTTCAGGATGTCTTGGTGGTCTCATGTCAGATCGGCTCACCTAACTCCTTCCATTAGGTGATCCTCTATCCGCAAAGAGTGTTCTAGAGCCAGACCTCGAACTGCAACGCTTGAGGGGCGCAGTCGCGGGGATGTAGCGGGCGATTACTCTCGTTCCTGGTCAATTTGGGGGCGGATGTATAGAGCGTCACGGAGACCCATAATATCAGCCGCTGCCCACATCACTTCGCACGCACAGGCCCCAGTGCGTAGATTTTGTGTCCTCGTGTTACTTTAATATGAGATACAAAGCTGCTTTCTGACTTGTGCGTCTGACTTGTGCGAGGCCATAAAGAGTTCGTGTGCCTTTCTTGGCGTCATAAGTGCTCCTGCCCCGAGGGCTGACTGTCCAGCTAAAAGGACAAGACTATTTCCACAACAGGTAGAATTGTTTCGAAGACCTCGGCGGCCTATTGAGCAAAGGAGACCAAGTATACCAACACAGGTCAAGCATTCTGATGCATGGGATAGGCTCAGAAATTGCTTGGCTCGGATCCATGTAGCCCCCACTAGCAGTTTGCTTCTTTGGACGACACCACACTGCCCAAATCACTTCCAGTCGGGCTTGAGATTTACCCCGGGCGGTTGATATGAAAGTGATAGGGCAATGGTTGTGATGCTCTGCGAATTGACATGATGAGTACAACCGCGGCGGGCCGAAGAGCGAGTTGGACAGGGTATCCCACGGTCTCGACAAACATGATTGTGTCTTGGCTGGGCGATGTCCCTGTCATGCGAGAGCAAGGTGACGTGAGGCTGAGTGATCAGCTCACGGGCCGATGGGTCTTCTGCTTATTTTCAGAGGACGGGTTGATCGTGCAACGAATGGAACCGTTTTCGCCAGTGTCCGGATATTAACATGGTTGCTCTTCTCTCTAATCTGTTGCTACTTTTGCATAGTGAGACATGCCATGTCGAAGACCTAGAAGTGATTAGACCTGCTCTCAGTAGAGAAAAATTGCTGGACACTAACTCTCATCCCCAAGATTAGGAGGTGGCCCCCACGCGGAAATGGTACCTTTAGGCCAGCGTGGCTCAGGATGAACCAGTGTTTGAGCTTCTGGGGTCCAAACCGGGGGAGATGGAGTTGGGTCAGCATCTTAGTCCAGGTCTCCACCGGTCAGATAGGTTAGTGAAAGGGGCACTGCAGGTACGCAGCAATAGTGGGAATTGTTGTTGTAGGCGAAGTCCGCCGTGGCCCGTCAGGGTCCATTGTGCCTAGCCCGACCGCCCGACCTTTTACTCCAGGCTTATACACCTTAAACATCTCGCAGGCATGCGCGCTGCTCAAATCCAATATCGTATTGACATTGGGGTCGGTATTATACATCGGAGCATGACTCAAGCTGAACTGAATTCGCACCGGCCGACCTTAGGGAAGATCGAAAGGCCATATCGATCGGAGCGTCTCCTCGTCCGTTACCGGCTCATCATCATCAACCTCCTCATTCAACAATACAGCCTCTAGCATTCCATCAAAGAGCTCTCGATGCCTCAACTGCGTCGCCTCCCATTCCTCTACAGGCACCCAGCCCCCCGAATCCGAATCCAGCAAACCTGACAGATCACGTTTAAGATCCTGCGCCGCAACAAAGAGCCTATACTCCTTCTCATGCTTAGCTAGTTCTTCTGGTGTAGGTAGTGGGAATGGGCATTGGCCGGCAAAGCCTAACTTCTCCCAGTTTTGCGCGGTCTCAATCAGCTCACGGCGTAGGGCTACCGCCCCGTCTTTCCATGTCCTGTAGCTGTACCGGAACGGGCGGAAAAGGCTCTCATCCATTAATCTCGGACCGGAGAGTGCAGGTGCTAACAATTGGGAGAATGACTCGAATGCTTTGCGGTACAGCCCATTACTAGACCCGGCTGATAAAACAAAATCCGGCATTTCGTCTGAATACCAGAATGCTGGTTCGATGCTAGTAGCCTGCCAATCAATGATACCGGTGATGAGTGTAGGATCATCTTCTGAAACGAAAATGTTCCGCTTGTGCAAATCCGGGTGAAATAACAACGGCGACGCAGATCGTTGAATGTCTGGGTTTGTGCACATGCGTTTCACCACGCCGAGTGCGCTTTCTAGAAGGCTTCTGTGCTCTTCGACAGAACCATGATAGAAAGGCTTTCTGTTCTCATCGGTTGCGGAATGAGGAAGTCTTGCCACACCAGCATCAATCAGACCCTTGCAAAAGTCATCAAGAGTGCTCCCTGGCTACAGTTCAGTACCTATCTTCTCGCATCCTCAAGAGCAGAAGAATTCTTACAGGGCCCGCGATTCTGCCCTCTGCCATAATAAGACGGAGGATCCCCGAGTTTGTAGTCCGAATATCGAGTACCACAATGCGGCCCGAGACAAAACGTAGCGTCTAAAGGCTGCATGCGCTCTGCGCCCACCCAACTATTATTGAGATATAGACTCCCATAACCCGGGAACTTGAGATCAGTAGCGTCTTTGATATGGTGAACAATAGCTCCTATGCACCGGACTCGCTGGTCGCCAGCCATATCCTGCCATTTTGTCTGCAATGAATCACCGGGGGCATGCTCCATCAGGATGTATTCACTCCCAATGGCGTTATCCGCAGCCCTGGCATCATCGCTCCAGTCAAGGATTGTTGGTATAGGGATACGTGTGTTTGCTTGCACTAAAGGTTTCGATGGTCATTCTACAGCTCTTTACACGCCATCGAGGGAAACTCACGATAGCGGATTGTGGCGACTTCGGAATTGGTGGTTAACCGTGCCGGGCCGGCAAGGGGGAACGGTAGCCTGGCCACTACCTTGGTTGAATCGCTCAGAGTGAAGATGAAGACCCGATTGAAACCGCCCTCGATCTATTGGCATGCGGCGATAGAATCGGCTGTGGGATTTTGCTGAAGGACTCGTCGGCAGAGGGCATTGAAGTCAAAGGCGATGTACCGGGAAGCTCGCTCAGAATGGACTCGTCGAAGCCATCGCCCACTGGTATAGGAGCAAGGGTCGATCCCGAATGCTCTGTGGGTGTAAAAGCGGTGGTGTTTAGATCGAGGCGGACGGGCAGTCGTACATAGTCCACATCTAGGGGTAAAAGAACGCAAAGATAGTGCTAGAGGTTTAATGATCCTAGTATTAGCTGTAAAGCAGGGTGGTGAGAGTCTGTGTATCATCTTACACAGAAACGACTTGGAATTGATGCGAGGCTAGTTATTGACTTTCGTGTTCAGGTACGCGCGGTGTAACGAGGTAAGCCTCGGCGGCAACCTGCAGCCTGGAGGAGAATGTATATTTCCGCCTGAGGCCCGCCAGCCAGCCGGCCGGGTCTCAGCCACACTCCTTTCGTAGGGTGATACAATTTGAGAACTTCACTACAGCATGTCATGTCGAAGGGCGTTAGCATCGGGGTACTACAGATCGATGAGGATTGGTTATGCCCTTTAGCCCTGTCTTTACTAAACTACACAAGGCAGAGAGATGACTGTCCTACATCCGAGTATTATATTCGGCAGTCTGTCAAGCGCAACTTCAAACCGTTAGAACATGTGGCGGGAATTGAGGCATCGTCTCATTCTACTGCCTACCCAAATCCAAGAGTGCATTGCCAGAGTCTTGCGCATCATTAGACCTCCGAATGACTTAGTGAAGGGTCGTGCAATTACAATGTCAGTCAATTGGCTAGCGGCATAGAAAGGGAGAGAGCATGGCTGGGCCGATGGTTGGGGAAGATGCCCCCAAGCCTCTCATGGCGACTAACCTTTTTCTGGCCTCTGTCAACCTGTTCCTGGCCACGACAAGCTGCTTGTACCCTTCATTGACAGAAACATTGCCAACGTGTTACCCCTGAACGCCTGCAGGCTTTCTATGAGCAGGCATAAATTGGCGCTGTCAATCCAGGCCAACCACCACTGTTGGTATACCCTCCTGATCCAGCCACGCGAGGCATATGTCCTAGGTGATTTACCTCAAAAGACCTGTGTAAACCAGGAGCCACTTGTTGCACTAGATCCAATTCGCCCTCGCCCCGCATCAACTCTCCAAGTCGATCGTTCTCCGGACCCTCAACGCCTTGCGGAACTCAGATTCAGACCTGCGAAACATCCTCAAGAGCGGGGAGCACACCATCTCCTCCTGCTCAGTTCTCCACAGCTTATCATTCTTTGCTTTCAGAGCCGCCGATGGATCCAACGCCTGACTCAACTGCTCTATCACCAACAAGACGATTAAAGCCATTGATCTCTCCCAGGGTTTGGCGACTTCGATGACCCAGCTTTGAAGCCGTAAGAAGGATTCCCTCGAGACTCTTATGCTTTCATGCTGACGTCTTGTAGAGGATAAATAATCATTAGCAAGCAGCCATTTCAACGAGAGAAAGCTCAGGAGAAGCCGATCCACATTTTCAAGCTCCACAGCGCGCAACAAATATGATGGTGAGAGTTCCTCAGTAGGCAGACTGCCAGATCCGCGTGGCTTTCCCACTCTATCAATTAGCTCTACTTTCTGCAGTAGAGCAATCTCGTTCTCGAACTCGCTCCCGAATTTTCGGATTGCATCTTCGTCGGTCAAAAACCGAAGGTCTCCTTGAAGAACAAGCTCTCTGAGCGAGCACATGGCGAACAATCTCGTAGATTTTCTCTGCAAGAGTAAGTGTACCACTTCCTGGTGTCCGTATCTAGTCGCTATAGCGAGTGGTGTTCGACCACGGCCGTCCTTTGCATCACTGTCTGCACCCTGCTTGATCAATAGCTTCATTACCGATAAGTGCCCGTTGCGAGCAGCCAGTCAGATAGGCGTAGCCTGCAACCGAGCTTTGCCATTGATTTCTGACGCTTTCGTTCTGAGAAGAATTTCCACGATCGTCGAATGCCCCTTCTCAGCAGCATAATGTAGTGGTGTATACCCTTAAATATCGGTCAGGCTGACATCGCAGAACTTCAGCAAATCCTCCACGATTGAAGAGAAACCGAGTTTCGACGCAAGATGTAAAGCTGGAAGACTTTCCCCGATTAGCGGCAGATTGCATATCTTCATAAGGTCATGTTCATTCGTGTAACAATAGATAAAAGAGGGTTATGTTGTTCCTTGACAACCCATCCAAAGAGTCCGTGTATAAATGAATGCCGAGAGCGGCCACCAGAGACCCAGGGATGGATGTTCCACGCTTCGTTGAAGCATGTTGCAAACTGTGTGAAATCTCCCCACACTGGAGAGTCTGGCCTTATGTCTCTTGTCTGCAGACCCCAGTTTGACACGGCGTAGTTGAGGAACCTATATTGTGCGCCTGGGGGCCCTCTGCGTACTGGGCGAATTGGTAGGTTGACAGAAACCTTTTGGTTCCGTGGCGCACGAAAGAGAGATACCAAAGAAGACTTCAAGGCGTCACCAGCAAGCAAAGCTGGCATAAGTACCGCTGATCCTGAAGATGTACGATCATGTTCTTGCTTGACAATCTGTAAGCTGAAATCCGAGAAAGAGAGATAAGCAACGCAGAATTCTCCACAACCAAGGTTTCCTTGCGCCTCATTATCCGGATACCGGAGATCGCGATCGTCCCGATTACTCAGAAAAAATTGCTTGACTGACGAGTGTGCAAAGCGAACACATCTATCAGTAGGGTCCAGGACCACGAGATTAGCACAGCAGCCGAGAACAAATTCCTCTTGAGGTACCTTTGCATGATCCCAAAGAGTATCATAAATGTTAAAGGCTACAGCTTCCTTCAGTTCTTCGACATGAAGTGGTCTAGTAGCAAAGCTGACCCATCCTAAAACCTTCGAGGCCTTGATATCAGAAGTAATTCTCCTTGTGCACAGCTTGTACGTTTCTTCTAGGTCTTTCGGCAGCTGACATAGAGCGGAGCGAACCTCTGCATCTGTAAAGCATGTCGACCACAATATTTCGATGATGGGATAAACCCATAAGAACCAACTCGAGTCAGTCAACGTACATCGAAATCGGCTATATTGCTGACCTACATCCCTGAGGCCTCGGCCAGAAGTACGCGCTTGATTCCATCCAGTAGAGAACGATCACTGGTAAGCTTTCTAAGCATAGACTTGTCATCAATGCTAGCTTTGATGTAAAATTCGATATCATGCGTGACGTTGTCGAAAGTGGTAATATGCAGGGCCCAAGGCATGAAGGTGACCACGTTCACGTATCCTGGTACTTGGTCCCTACTCAGCAACAAGATCTTAGCTCCATGGGGTGGTGTGGCAGAATTGAAGGTTTCTCGAATCAGCAGCAATATCTTTTGGCATTCTTCTTGTTCGCGTGCGTCAAGTCCATCGATCACGTAGATTGTGTTCGGAACATATGGAAACAATTGCCTGAAGATCTCGCCAAGGTCGTCAAAGTCTGGCACTGTTCGGTCTCTTCCAAAATAGCGCTCCAGGTCGCGAGTAACATTTCGGGGGAAGACCGGAGACGACTTGAGCAAAAGTTGAGCCAATTGCCTTCTCAGACTGGAAAGAATATATGAAGCCTGCAATGATCTATGATGCTCATTCTCGCAGTAGAAAAATACCGTGGGAAAGTGACCATGGATATCATCGACTGCACGATACTTGACAGCCTCGACGCCGGAGGCCGCAATTATTGTTTTCCCTGAACCAATCTTTCCCGAGCACCACGAGCTGGACTGTTCAGTTCCTGTGAGCCATGATTTGAATGTTGTATGGTTCAAAAACCACTCATTTGTTCCCGAGAGTCACTTATGAGCCAGTCTCCGGTGGACCTTGTTATATTCGTAGTCAGAGACCCGCTGAAGAAGCCTTCCAATGTCTAGGTGGTGGCCGTTCTTGCTTATTTCACCTGGAATCGATTCCGGCTCAGTTGGAATCCTGAGGCCATATTGCAACAGCTCCAAAGCCACGCTAGGTGGCGGTATGTCGACCACTTGCTTTGGGTGGATCATGGACAGAAGCTCTTTGGTATAAGCAGCCGCCGTTGCAGCCGTATACCCCTGCCACTGCTTACTCTTATGAGAGTCAGCATAGTCACAGATCCCTCGGATTACCAAGCAAGGAAAAGTATCCATCAAACCAGCTGATTCCATTTCGAAGCAGAGAATCCCAAGCTCTTCCGCCAGTCGATCTCTTATACGAGCATTCTTCATCACCTGATTAGCAGAAGCAATAAGGCCATAATGAATCATGGGTTCATTGCAGCCTCGCTCAGGGCGATTATCTGTCTCGTGAAATCACAGTTTGCGCAGGTACTATCCAAGTCGCTATGGTCGTAATCGGACTCAAACAACACATCCTGGTCCGCACCACGGTAGGTGAGTTTCTCATTCATTTTTGGGGTACTTGCACACCATATCAGATAGTATGGTGGGGATATTGCTTGGCCTCATCAAATGCTCTGCCTGCAATCTGGAGATCGCCGTCAAAAGCACCGACGGTGGTTTGTTAAGCATGCCGACCCTTTCAGCACGGTTGTTGTTCAAAGTCTTTCTATAGTCATACTGCACGATCCCACCATAATCCCTCGTTGGCTTGCTGACTACCACATCGCCAAGCCGGATGTCGAATTGTGATGGAACTCCACCACCAATACCGACCATCAAGCCGAATCGTATGGACCTGAATGTAAACTAAACGTGACTAGCGATGGTCGCAGCTGATGTTGTAACATACACACCGACAGGAAGGCATACAATAACGATGTTATGGCTGTGTATACTGCCGAAGATATAGGTGTTGTTATCACTCATGTCAGTGGGCAGGTCAGGATGTCTCTCGTCAAGCATTGCAGTCGCGGCCGCCATTTCCAAGGGAAGTGCAGAAATCCATGCGATCGTGTAGTCATAGTGACTGTACGTTCTGTTGAATGTCGTCATCTCAGTACTTTGAGCCAAAGAGGGCTTTTCCTCGGAGGTCGATTGTCATGTGTCAACGTGGAATGTTGTTGCTGAGGCTTTCCTGACTATACTACCGGGGTCACTATATCGGCGTCTTCACAGGTTGAGAGAATCGCCTCCTTGGCAACCGTCCAAGAAAGTGCATACCTGCCTTGGAAATGTATATGAGGGATCACCAGAGGGCTTGAAGCTGCATCGTTGGGTAGGGATTGAAGTTGTTAATGTGTGTGAGACTGAGGTTGAGGGGAGCTGATGAGCCCGCCCGAATAGGAAGGATTCATGCCTGAGGTATCTACTATAGGAACATGCTGCATGCACACAACGCGGGGAAAGCTTGCATTGAGTCTTGAGGTACCACAGGCACATTATCTTGGAACTCATTTACCGATCAGCGCCTAGACTGTGCCAATCCAGTCCGCCACTTGCTCAGGGTGTCATGTTCTCTTTCTGAACTGTCTTAAATATCCTTGACCGAGCAATTAACCAAAAATGCTCTGCACAGGAGTTACTGGTATTGGTCACATGGCACGAGCGGTCTTTTGAGAAGTTCGATGCTGTCGTCATCCAGAGGTGCTGTGCAGCAATTGACTTCCTCATTGAATTCCCCCTTCGGTTGACAAATTCCGACGTGACTCGAGCTTGGAATCCACGAGTCATTGCTCATTCTCCTTTTTGAGGAGTCATTGAATAGGCAGGACATTAGGCCGCCATCTAAACTTTGTCCCTGCGCCATGATGTGCGTATGTGTATCCAATTGAACCGTCAAAAGGGACACCGCCTGGGCCGGATAGCCATCTCCCGCCATCAGACAAACAGTGACCAGACCCCAAATTGCCACGGGCCGGGAGGATGCAGTGCAGTTCAAGTGCCCAACCGCACCAACTAACTACCGCGATCACCGCCTCCCCCCCGTTGTGCCTGGCCGGATCTCGAATCGCCGGGCCCCGCATTTGGAGTCTGACTCTGTTTCTATTCTCTCCTCCTCTCCTCTCTTCGAGTCTTCGGCCGTGACTCGTTGATCATCTGCCCCTCTTTGTTAATGGCTGATGGCGTGAGCATGGCAATTCGCATTCCTCACTGCTGCACCTGCACCTTGGTTCGAGGGGGCGCTGAGGGGTCAACGACAACAGCATGGCAACAAGGTCCTCGCCCCTTATCCACTGATGGCTGTAGGAAACTAGGAATAGACCGTTGCACTGGTGTACCTTTTTAGGTATCTGAATCCTTTAATCTGGCACAGGCTGGCCAGAAACACCAAGACCAATGATGCTACAGGAAATTGGCGGTTACGCAGCTGCTCAGATGAATTCTGACATGCAGGAGTGGTGGTGGCTTGAAATAGTAAGAATGAAGAGTGCACCTCAGATGACTTTCCAGAGTCCCAACTGCCTATGCTGCAAGCCGATCGTGTTTCGGCTGCTGCAGGAGCCATGGAGCCATGACGATTGAGGACCGTTTTTCCGCGTGCGCGCTATTTCTTTTTCCCTCGCTGAGCCTAAGGTTCGTAACTTCGCAGGTCGTCGAGTGGGCCTCTTGACCCTCTGGACCCTCCCCGCAACTCCTCTCGAAACATGGTCCGTTCGGCTCAAATGTAGGCTCATGATCTGATCTCGGGATTGCAGAGTGACTCCTCCCACTTACATGTATAAATACCTCATGATTCCCACCTGCAGGGTATCGAATTCCAGTTAGACTTGATTGTTTCTCCTCTATAATCGCATTGAAGCTGCTGCACCTCATCTACAACACATTGCGCTCTGCCAGCAACCTGCTACCTGCTGGACTCACCCATACATACAGACATACACCCCTCAGACTCGCCATCCTTCGCAACACCCCTCCTACACCTTAAATATTAATTCCGTGCGCCTCAGCTCCCACCACAATGATTGCCATTCAAATCGCCCGCCCGACCATCCGGCATTTCTCTGTGCACCGTCCTCGACCAGACACTCGCACCTCCCGCTTCATCACCAGCTCGTGTCTCTTCTCGGCGGTGGTTCTCCCCTTTGTGCCTCCAGCACTGGAAAGTTCTCGGGAAAAGAGCAAAGGCTACCCCAACCACAACAAGTGAGATTTCCAACACTTCAATGCTTCCGACATGTTTTCCTCTTTACAACCTCGACTAACGGATGTATCATCCTTCTATCAGGCCACACCCCCCACTCTGCTCGCATGCTCGCTAGACCGGATATATCCGTTCGGATTTAATTTTAAGCCTACTACAAGTGGGGCCATACTTGCAGCGCGTACATCACCCAACTACGAGAACCGCTCATGTTATCACGCCATCCCTCGATTTTTTTTTTCCCTCCTATCGCATCATTAATTTCCTTGCTCTTTTCGGGCGTACCGGTGCCGGCATATACCTTTTCAACTCTGTCTCAAACGACATTTTCGAGGGAGTCGCATTATGAGAAACCCCCCATATTCATTTTCAGGGGGCAATTGGGAGTTGTCTGGCGTCTCGCTTACGAACTTTTAATATTCCTTTTGTGCTGGCGTGCTTCCTGTGGCTTTAGGGGTCTCACGATGACAATGCAGATCGTGTCTAGCGGGGCTTGCTTTGCCTGATTGAGGGGACAATTCTGGACAGGTTCCAGGACCATGCTCGCTCGCGGGACGATGTTTCTTTCGTCTTTCCTGCGGTCTTTCTTTTAAAATCACTACTTCAACTCCATCACTCGGTGGAATGTTTAGCGCTAAGCTAGGTAGTGAATAATGATGATTACGACGATGACATAGCTTCCTACCGGCAATATAATCTTGGTGTTCTTATCAATCGACGTTCTGCTGCGAGGAACGTCAGGCTCGATTCAGTAAGAGTGGAGTTATATCGATCAACGCGACACTTCTTTTCTTATCCCCCGGATTCTGCGCGAGATCCAAGGTAGAGGGCAGAGGGAGTTAAGCTTCTTACCAGCCAATCCCTCCCCACGAGCCAAGACATGCATACACATACACGCACCAAACAATCACCACCCTAGAGGGGCACCAACATACGTAGGAATTATGGTACACAAAAAGATGTCACACTTTTCTGCCCCCTCGGCTTTGACTCTTAGATCCCCGCCGCCCTCTCTACTTCCTAACTTTCTCCATCACCCTCCACACCCAAGCATTACCCAACGACCTCAAAGACGATTCCCCTTGGGAGGTCTAAACGGCTGCGCGGCCTCATATTTCCCCTTCTCCACTACGCGATCGGCCTCGGTCTCAGGCTCGTGGCGCGTCGCGGCGGGATCGTGACTGGCCTCGGCGCTGGGCGAGGCGACGTCGTCGGCGGCGTTCTGAGACCGGGCCAGTTGGGCGGCGCGCTTCATGCTCGGGTCGTCGGAGGGAACGGGCACTGAGTTGCTTTGTAGTGCCGCGGCGGACTGGCGCCGATGTTCCGCTTCCATGGCAGCCAGCTGTGCTTTGCGTTTCATCTCGGTCTCGAAGCGGGATTGTCGGTCGGCGTTGATGGATTTCTTAGCGAAGTAGTAGGCTCCGCCGCCGGCTGGGGTTCAAACGTTCGGTCGGGTCAGTTTTGCGGGGACGGTTTATGATAGGTGAGGTGTGGGAGCTGCTTACCGACGCAGAGAGTTCCCCATCCGATCCTGTTTGAAGCGGAAGTTTTGGGTTGTGTTAGTGAAGGCGCATCTTCAGGGAATGAATTGTGATTGTGATTGTGCTTGGTGTGATGTGTGGCTGCGGGCTTGCCGCATGGAGGTAGGTTTGTTTGATTGCGCCTTACCAGGTCGATTTGATCTAGATGGTAAGCAGAGTGAGGTCAGCGATGCTTGGAATTGAGATGGCGAGGTGTAGATTAGTGCATACTGTGTTCATTTTGTGTATAGTGACCTCTTCTTCACGCTGTGTCAATTGAAGGGAAATTGAAGATGAAAGACGACGGGGAAAGCGAGAACTACGTCAATTCCATCAAATCCGAAGCTCTCTCTTCCTTCGGCCGAAACACCGATTGACCACTGACCGCCCACACGGCGCCGACGCCACATGCAATTCCCATCCCATCGGCGCCTCAGGCTGACAAACCTAGAGATACCAGGCCGAGTCTCTTTCTTTGTCCGCAATCCATCTATCTTCTTCCATATCCTCTCCCATCCTCGCTCTTCAACTCTCTCGCCTGTCTACTGTCGACCACCGCCATATATACCAGCAGTAAATAAATCAGCTGGTAGGTGCTTTTCGTCCGATGGGGATATGGTTATACTTATTTAATGGCTCACTTAAGGCGCCGGTAGTCTGTCGGGAGCAATCGACCCTTCTTGCGGCGCCACGCGGAATACCCTTTGCACAATATAGACGATAAGAGACAAACCTGAGGACTAATAGCCTGGCATCGTGCACATTATGCCGCCGGTCAAACGCAAAGCTTTAGATAGTATGCATGCCTCAATCCCCGGGGTGTCCGTCAGAGCGACGATTCTGACTCTATAGGTGGTCGGTCGAGTCGAGCCTCCAAGCGCGCCACTCCCGTGCCCGACATCAGTAGCGGGGACGAATACTCGGACTACGAGGATGAGCTCAAGGAAGATAATTTGAAAGGTAAGCAAGCGTAGGGGCGTGATACAGCCAGCAGAGAGCAGGAGACACCGCAGAACGTTCACTGACGTCACTCTGCTTTTCTTCAAGATGTCGTCGAGAATTTCAACATCGAGTCCTTCAGCAAGAAAGGAAGCGGCGCCATTCAAAAGCAGGACCCCAACTTCGGATACAAAGACTTCTCCTCCCTGGCGCTGAAACCCGACCATGCGAACCGTCCCCTTTGGATCGATCCGCTGAAAGGCACCATCACCCTGGAGAGTTTCTCCCCGCTCGCTCCCCAAGCGCAGGACTTCCTCACCACCATCGCCGAACCGCTGTCTCGTCCGACGCATCTACACGAGTATCGGTTGACCGGAAACAGTCTGTATGCCGCGGTGTCGGTTGGGTTGCAGCCGCAGGATATCATCAACTTCCTCGATCGCTTGTCGAAGACGCCGCTCCCTGAGACCATCAAGTCGTTTATTATCGATTTCACCAAGTCGTATGGCAAGATCAAGGTGGTGTTGAAGCATAACCGGTTCTTTGTGGAAAGTACGGATCCTGCGATGTTGCAGATGCTGCTCCAGGATGAGGTTATTGGACCGCAGCGGTTACAAGGGTCGGAGGGTATCATCCAGCAGGCCGCGCCGAAGATGGGTGGGCTTGTCATCCCCGGTACCAAGGACGCCGCCGGAGTGATGCAGTCCACGGATCAGAAACCGGCCGAGGATACGGCAGGGGAGGCTCGACGAGAGGACGATATTCTTCTCGCGATCCGCGACGATGATGACGATGAGGAGCAAGCTCAGGTGCATAGTTTTGAGATTCCGAACGAGGCGGTCGAACCGGTCAAGGCGCGCTGCCAGGCCATGGGTTGTCCAGCGCTGGAGGAGTATGATTTCCGGAACGACGAGATCAATCCCACGCTGGATATTGACTTGAAACCGAATGCACGAATCCGAAGTTACCAGGAGAAGAGCCTGAGTAAGATGTTTGGTAACGGACGTGCCAAAAGTGGAATCATCGTTTTACCTTGTGGTGCTGGTAAGACACTGGTGGGTATCACGGCAGCGTGTACGATTAAAAAGGGCACCATCATTCTCTGTACTAGCTCGATGTCCGTGGTGCAATGGAGAAACGAATTTCTGCGGTGGTCGAACATCGACCCCGGCGACATTGCTGTGTTCACATCGGACAACAAGGAAAAGTTCCGCCGGTCGACTGGTATCATCGTGTCCACCTATTCCATGGTGTCCCAAACGCGGGCGCGGTCGCACGATGCGCAGAAGATGATGGACTGGATCCAGGGGCGAGAGTGGGGTCTCATGCTCCTCGACGAGGTGCACGTCGTGCCTGCATCCATGTTCCGAAAGGTCACTTCCGCCATTGCTTGTCAGAGCAAGCTTGGGTTGACTGCTACCCTGCTGCGTGAGGATGACAAGATCAAGGATTTGAACTTCCTGATCGGCCCCAAGCTCTACGAAGCTAATTGGATGGAGCTTGCTGAGCAAGGGCACATCGCTAAGGTACAATGTGCCGAAGTATGGTGCCCTATGACAACCGAGTTTTATTCAGAGTACATGCGGGAGAAGTCCAGGAAAGCGGCTCTCTTATACATTATGAATCCACGAAAATTCCAGGCGTGTCAGTTCCTGATTGACTACCATGAGAAGCGAGGTGACAAGGTCATTGTCTTCTCGGACAACGTCTACGCCCTCGAGCGGTATGCGCTCAAGCTGAACAAGGCCTACATTTACGGTGGTACGCCTCAGAACGAGCGCATGCGGATTCTCGAGAATTTCCAGCACAACGAGCAGGTCAACACCATCTTCTTGTCCAAGATTGGTGATACCTCCCTTGATTTGCCCGAAGCCACCTGCCTGATCCAGATCTCGTCGCACTACGGTTCACGTCGTCAGGAGGCCCAACGGCTCGGACGAATTCTGCGAGCCAAGCGTCGTAACGACGAAGGCTTTAACGCTTTCTTCTACTCGCTTGTGTCAAAAGACACGGACGAGATGTTCTATTCGTCGAAGCGTCAGGCCTTCCTTGTCGATCAAGGCTATGCCTTCAAGGTGATCACCCATCTCCAAGGCATTGAGAACCTGGAAGGTCTCGCCTACGCCACGCCCGCGGAGCGTCGCGAGTTGCTGCAAGAGGTGATGCTGCAGAATGAGACCTCCGCAGAGGTCGAACACGTCAACGACGACCTGTTCTCCGGGCGTTCGGGCGGCGCCCGGGCTCGCAAGGGAGCCGTCAAGCGGAGCGCCGCGACCCTCAGCGGATTGGCTGGTGGCGAGGACATGGCCTACATCGAGTACAACAGGAGCCGCAACAAGCAGCTCAAGGACAAAGCTGGTCATCATCCTCTGTTCCGGAAGATGGAACGCGATCGGTTGAAGCGGAAGAAGGAACTGGAGGACTTTGTGCGTTAGCTTGTAATTTAAATTACCACACTGCTACCTATATGTTGGAAAAGGCAAGGAAAAGGCAAGATCTATGGCAGAATGAAATAGCTTTCAATATGATGATGGTTGAATTGAAAGACCAAAAAGCTCACACTGCAGGAGTAGCCGTGGTCAACGAGACCAGGCCTCCCTTATGCAGTGCTACGAAAACCCCCCTTATCCCCAGGGTTTTCATGCCAGTTCTTTATTCCCAGGAGGAGGGAGGAGATAATCCTGCGTCAGGATTGAGTCTTCCACTCCCGGGATCGAACGCAGGGCCGAGGGCGTTTGACTTTCTACGCATGGCGATTTCCCCACTACGCCACCGGTCCTGCTGGTTACCGAGTAGATCCCGTTTGCGGAATATGAGGTACACAAATCTACCCATGCTCAGTATCTTATTCACGACAAAACGCCGAACTTCATACTGTGCTATTCTGCACCACCTGTGCAAGTATCCCAGCCATGCCACCACGCACACTTTCTTACTCCGTGCTCAACCTTCTACTTCAACTTATCTAATCGTCTCATCGATATATTTCATACCCTCCAAGTCAGCGAATCTACAGCATCTCTATTTTTACCCATGACAACCCCGACCGCAGCCCCCAACCTCCAGATCTAGATCGTCATCCACGGCCCATCCCACATAATCAACGGCACAGACACAACTCCGAAGGCCGAGCAGATTCATAAGCCACCCTTTCTACTGGTCTGCATTGCAACATTGGTCACGAACCCCCTAGCCCCGGACTCCTCGGATTTCGGTCGAATAAGCTTCCCCTGCTCTGAATCAGAATGACGTTTCATCCACGGAAGCTCGCGCTTGGCTTCTCCGCCAAATCAAGGCCAATGTATTGTTTTTCCCTGTCCTTACAACAAGCGACCCTTTCTCCAGGTTCCACACCCATCAGACTGATTCGCTGAAGCGCTTGACAGTCAGGTCAACTTTCTCGAGTACTGACCAACCTCTCGCCCCGTCTAGACAACCCCCCCTTTCACCCCTCTGCTTAGATTTACAATCGAGGACTAGATGCGCCGGATTACTATACAAACTGGATGCAGGGGCTTCGTCGTGTATAAAAATCGTGTGGTGTCGCCGCAGATACTGAGTTGGAGTCCTCACACCCATAGTTCGGTAGCTCGGTATACCACCGCAGTTAGCAGCGCAGCTCTTTCTACTCATACTACGGCTACAACAACACCAACAACCTCGCGCACACCCAGGTCCCCGCGCAACGCAAATCGACACACAGCCCAACTTATACTCGCAAAGACTCCAGCACTATCTCCCCTCCATTTCGAAGCAGGTCGTCCCCTGAACCGCCCCCGCGCAATCGCAACAATGGCCACAGCCCAGACAATCCACCTGTCCCCCGCCGCGCACCCAGGCATCTTCTCTGTCCCTGCTTCCGACACCACGACCGAAGTCGGAATCACCGAGGCGTCCGCCCGCGTAGCGAGCGAGATTCTGCAGGATGATCTTGAGCGCCACCATGTCTTTTTCAATGACTCGGGGTTTCACAGTAACTTTCTCCCTTCCCTTCCCTTTCCTTCCGTCCCTTGATGTGGTCTTTTGGCTAAGATTGGGCGCGGATAGATCACACCGTCCACCATATCCTAAGCATATACGCGCTCGGCGCATCCCCCGAGGAGATCCGCGCCGCGTACGAGCGGGATAAAGCGTATCAGCGGGAGGCGATCCCGGTGGATGAGGCGGTCGTGGCGTCGCTGGCGGATTCGGGCCGCTTTTTGGAGCTGTTGGGGCGGCAGAAGCATTATTCCAACTTTTTGAGATTCTTTCAGAAGAGAATTGAGAGGGATGGCGTGGAGGGGGTGTTGAAGGAGTTTTTGTTTAAGGGTGGGGAGGATGAGGTTGCTAGGGCCATGTTGGGGAGGTTGTTTGGTGGTAGGTCTTTTGTTTTTGTTGAGTTGCTGGGTTAAGGGGTACTTGGATGCTGACTGACTTCTTGCTAGGGCTTGTTCACCCGTTTATTCATCTGGGGTTTGCGATTGAGTTCGAGCAGCCGGCTATTGTGGCTGAGGCGTTGGCGCAGACGGCTGTCCATGAGGATTGGACTGGGCCCATGTTCTTCTGGCCGGCCGAGGAGAGGGCCGGTGGTGTCGGGAGACGAGGGGAGAAGAGTATGTTGGAGATTTTGGACGAAATCCGGAAGGATGAGAAGCTGGCGAAGTCGGTGCGGTGGGAGGATGGGAATAAAATGAGGGATGGGGTTTTGGCTCGAGCCGGCGAGGAGATGCTCAAGTATGCGGCTGAGTATACGGTCTCGGCTGAGCAATTGGAGGAGAAGGTCGCGGAGATGATCAACACTGTCGGTGAGCGGTCCCTCTTGAGATTTATGAGCGGTCATGGTAAACTGATCGAATGTTGTGTCTAGTGTACTACACCGGTGCAGCGCAACGCCCCTCCAAGCAGATCAAGTTCGACTTCTTCTACCTCCACAGCCTGAATTCCTCCATCTTCTTCTCCAAGATCATTTCTCTTCCATTCCTGGATACGAAGACCAAGCTGCGCCTGCTCGAATGGAAGGGTCGCTTGGATCTCATGCTCTACGTCTCGCGGGGTACACCGGAGCTGTATCTCGATGAGATTACAAAATATCCAACCTCGCACAGCTGGGAAACGATCTTCGCCTACTGCAATCGGCTTCCGGAGGATGATGGCCATCTGGCCAAGCTGGTCCGTGCCCTGGCAAACGGCGAACGGGCATGTCGTCCGTTCGAGAACCAGCGCGGATGGCCGGTCAGGGGGGACATGTGGCTGAGGATTGCCAATATGGGTAGGTCGTCAAACATTGTTCAGCTCTTCAGCATTCACGGTTGGCTAATGGGATCCACTTTAGCAATGGACTCAACATCCGACCACGATCACCATGCCCTGTGGGTCCGATCCACCGGGTTTGAGGAAGCCTGGCGCGAATTTGATGGGCGAACCAAGCTATAGCCGCCGACACATGCGATGGGCCGATGCCGTCATTGGCCTTGAGTATCGGTTATTGAAGGTTATGTTGAGCAGCGTTGGTGAAAGCGTCAGTAGTCACGCTAGGATTAGCATTAGCAGGACATGTATTCCGTAGTAATCATATGAATCTGCATGATTTCAACTCGTTGCTAAAGGAAGACAATGACACCATAGAAGAAAGGCGAAGAACCGAGAAAATGCGAGTTTGGCAGGTTTGCAGCCATCGGGCGATGGATCACGTGGTGATTGGTGGGGGCGATTCCCCCAACAAATGCTTCGAGACTCCGCTTTTATCTTTTATCTACTCGCTCGCTCTCCTCTCTCCCTCGCTCCCGCTTCGCCTCTATTCCTGAAAGCTGTGCTTTCAATTCTACCTGCTGCCCATCTACTTCTATTCTCTCTTTTCCTTTCATTCTCAATCAAAACAAGTCATACATCATGGCTGGGGACGGTAATCAAAACTGCAACCAAGATCCCCATTCCAGTTCCCAGAACCGTCTTCATGACCAACACCACCACAATCACCATCATCCCCACGGCTGGTCCGAAGATGACAACCCGTTCGTCGCGATCCGGCGTTTCGCCGACGAACAAATCTCCTCCGTACTCCAATCCGTGACCGGCCTCCCTTCCTCCACCAATGCTCCCTCCGAACGCCTAGCAATTCTCGATGACGATGCCCGGTACCGCCAACGAGCCACCGAAGCGGGCAAAGACACCAGCAACGTCGCATCCGGTGAAGCTCCTCACCGTTCCTCTCCCAGCCAGACCACTACCGATGCTCAAGCTCAAAACAACAAATACGCGTCGCGCCCTCGATCTGATTGGGAAGACCCCTGGGCAGCTGCGCACCATCACTTCCACCACTTTCCCCGCAACTACCGCAGCGACGCAGACTTCTTCTTCTCTGACTTCTTCGACCAAACCTGGCCCAGTGACCCGATCTCCTCGTTCTTCCTCCACCCCTACCGCGGCCCCCTGTCCTATAACCTCCTCAACGGCGCATCTACCGGCTGGCCCCTGCCGTACCTCTTGTGGAGCCCTTACTCGCCGCTACAGCTCGAACGCCAGTCCTCGTCATATCACGGAGACCGCGGCGTGTTCTCGTCCCTGATGACCTCCCTGGGTCGTTCGTCGGAGGAGTATGATCCCGCCGAGCCGCGATGGCGGGAGGCGTTCGAGGATCTCTTGCGCCTGGAGAATGGAAAGCCTATGCTTGAGCAGGACAAGAACGCGGTCGCGAAGCCGGAGTCTGGAAAGGACTGGCTGCTGGGTCTGGTGAAGCGGGGCAGCTTGGGGGACAAATGGAGACTTGTTTCTACGCCTGGGACGGACGGGTGGCCGACTATCGCTTTTGATAGCGGTTCTCGGGTGCAAGGCGACAGTGCAGTGAATAACGGGGGAGAGAATGCTGGCGAGGCTACACTTACGGAGCAGGATGTGTACGATCGGTACTATGACGATAGCGTGGCCCGCAACCCGGAATCTGCCCGCCGGTTCCAGGAGAGTTCCCTGTTGCGCTTGGTGCTCGAAGACGGCCGCCGTTTCAGAGATATGGTTCCTCGTGAGATGCGTGATGAGTACGACGGGTCTTCTGGTCAGCAACAGCAGCAGCAGCAAGCCTCATCACAGGCTGAAGAACAACCTGTTGCCCCAAAGACCACACCTGCCTCGGTCGAATCACCCTCACTCGCTGCAAACAAAACGTATGTGGTTTCCACCCAGGTCCAGACTCAACGTGTCCGCCTTCCGGACGGCTCCATTAAGACCAAGACCGTGCGAACCAAGCGCTTTTCCGACGGAAGGGAAGAGACCAACGAGTCAGTCGATGTTGTGAATCCGCGTCAGCCTGCTCAGGGTGAGCAACAGCAGCAACAACAACAACAAGAACAGTCTTCGGATGGATCCAATCAGAACAAAGATGGCTGGTTCTGGAAGGGATGATGTATCGTTGTCTTTTTGCCTACCATTCTTTTACCGGTGTTCTTGCGATATTCCCATCCTGCTTGTTTTAGCGGTCTCATTCTCCCTTGTATCATTGACTTTTGCGGTCTTGACTTACTTTCTGTGATATAGCTGGTTCGTTTTATTTACGGTGAATTCTGGTGTTATGTTTGTGGATTGCATAACGGTATCACCGTGGTCTAAAAGCGTGCTTTCTACTGGTAGTTCGTTGATAGTTGATCAGTTCAACCTGTAACTAACATGACTGAAACGAGGTTCAAATTTGATCTGGTGACAGCTGTAGCTTCTACGATGTCCATGAGGTACTTATACCAGTGTACGACGAGCCAGGCCTCCCTCTAGTCTACATACTCCGAGATCCAATTAATCCGCCTTAACGCTCTTCTTCTGCGCCTTCCCGGTCGTCCAACCCTTCTCCTCCCAGAATTTAACACTCTCCTCCATCTTCTTATACGCCCACGTAAACGAGGGATCTAATCGAGTCAGCCAGTTAGCTAACCGCCTCATCCCCCCCACCCACAACAACCCCACACAATAGGATAAAGGAAGGGGAAAACTCACAAAGAAACTGCCTCAAATCATGCCGATTATCGTCCGGCGAGTACCCCTCGGCATGGTAACTGGGCGTCAGCACAGTCATCTTATGGCGATTGATGCTGTACGTGTAGAAGAAGTGGCGCGTCTTCTCGTAGACCTCGCGCGGGCTGAGCTCGTGGCCCCACACGTGCAGCAGCCGCTCGTACATCGACCACGGCCCCAGCTTGGCGACCTTGCGCAGCTGTCCGAACACCGAGAGCTCCGCGTACGTCACCCCCATGTCGGCCTCGTCCGACTGCACGTACGTCTGCGTGATGGGTTCCAGCTCTGCTGTTGGCGTGGCGTGCAGGAAGTCGTGTAGGATTGGGAGCCCGAAGGCTGTTTGCGACCAGTGGATGAATTTCTTCAGGTCGACTTTGCTGATGGAGCCGATGGGGTTCAGCTGTTTTGGGTTTGGGGGGTTAGTTTGGGTGTGAGTCTAGGGGGGGTGTATGGGGGTTGGGGGGCACGGCACGTACGTCGGCGCTGCTGGCGTCGTATTTGGTTAGGTAGCCTCGAAGACTATGATTTGGTTAGTTGGTGTTGGGTTGTGCGGAGGAAAGTAGACTTAGTTCTGATGCTATGCGGTACGTACCATTCTGTGAAGTGGTTAGTATCGACTCGGCTGTATTTGACAGGAAAAGGGACGTACCATCAACGTTGGAAGAGCCAAGCACAAGCAGCCCACCGCCGCCCGGCCGCTGGCGCACCGTCGGGAGCATCTGGGCGAACAAATACGCTAGAACCATTCGCAAGCGCGCTTGGATGTTCTGCAGCGCCTGATTCTCCGCGAAGCTGCCGCCGTGGACCTTGAATTTGGGCTGGAAGTTGGTCACTACCGTGAACAGGTTCGTGATCGCTGTGACGACGGTGTCGAAGTTGAAGTCGACATGGTAAGATCCGATCTCAGTGGCGAGGGTCTTGGCCCGTTCGCGGGTCTCCTTGCTGGAGTTTTGCGTCCCCATATAGTTGGTGTGGAAGATGCGGCTTGACGTCGTTAGCCGTTTGTCATCGATATGCCACTAAAGTGGAACCTACTTGCAGACTTCCTGGCTGGTTGAGGGAAGCCAGGCAGATCCCTCTGGCTCCGCGCACAGCCGGCGCACGTCCTTGATGACCTGTTCGTTGCCCTGCTGCACGGCTTTGACGACCTCCCGGCACATGGAGTGGACAATGATAGCGGTAGCACAGCTGTCAATGCCTCCGCTCAGAGGAACAAAGTATCCTGCCGCACCGCTTCGGCGGAGGTAATCCCACAGCCAGCAAGCCGGACCAAGCGCAATCTCTTCCTCCGGCGCATGGTAGCGTGGTTGCAGGACCTCAGATGGGGCAAGTCCGGGGTCGGCTTGCTCGCCAGTTCGGGACAATCTGAAGTCCAGATCAAGGCGAACAAAGGGAGTTTGTCTGCTGGCCTGCAAGCTACGACTCGCGCTGGAACGGTATGTTCGAACCTGTTGAATCAGTATATGTTGCGGCCAAGGAGCCAAAGTCATACCTCTTCAATGTCAACGGTGGCAGTGACAACCTCAACGTCATTAAGAGAGAACTGAGAACCCTGAGCCACAATGTTGCCGTTGACGACAATCATTGCGCAACCGTCGTAGTACAAACGATCACCGTCACAGCCTTGCTGGTTGGCATACAAATAAATGCCTCCACTCTATTGGCTTTCAGTATATAGACGGTGTTGAGGCGTGGGAAAGTCCTACCAATTTGGTGGCCTGCGTGATGAGGTTGATACGGGTATCCAGCTTCCTCAGTTCGTGGTGACTTCCGGACGAGTTCGATATGATCTCAACGCCTGCCAGACCATAGGGAATATGAGGACTACGAGAGTCAGCATCAACTCGTAACCAAACAGGGACTTGCTATACCCATTGGGAGTGAACAGCTCTTCACAAGTTTCCAAGCCCAGGCACGTATCTCTGGTGCTGATGACCGCATCACCAAATGGTACCTTGTATTGTCCGGTGATCTTGCCAACGATCTGCTCCAGGTAATAGTCCTCAATTTCCTGGGGGCGTTGCCAAGGGGTGAAGTGTCTCATCTCACGGTAGTTACCATCTGCGCGAATACGTTAGCGATCTGCTTCGTATCGACATGTTCATGTGTGTCGCACCGTTAGCCAGCCACATCTTTGGCCGGATCAAGATGATCTTGCGGTTGAAGAAGATCACACTGGGTCGGGTCAGTTGTCTGTTCAAGGCCACATAGAGACTCAATGTCATGCTCACCGGCAATTGTACCGCACATTTCGGTGACGGACAGGCATTCTACCATTGGGTCAGCAATCTTCGCAATCTGCCTCTAACCCTCGTACTCACCCAACATCCACCACAATGTCCTGGCAATCGGGGTGGTCGATGATGCGTGCAAGCATCTCCCACGAATGCAGGAAGGTGTCGCCCTCCATGAAAGCATCCAAGCAGCCATAGCCTTGTGCCATGTTAATCGACGGTTCAGCGATAGACACTCATGAGCACAATTACCAGTAATCTCCAGTTCCGGACCGACTCGCAGCGTAGCTCCAGCTGCCTTGGCCTTCCGGATACTCTCGATGATCCGTTCGCAATTGCCCTCGAAGTCAAGAGCCCATTGGTTGAGCGAGCTATAGGGAGAGCTGGTAAGAATGATATGATTCATCCGACATGAGAAGAACGGAACGCGTACCATGTTGCGAGAGTGACCAGATGCCCCATTGTTACGCAGGCAGGTGGCAGCAGGCCGATTGGTGACAGGGTGCTTGGCTATGCGCAGAGAGTGTCTGGGGTGGAAATTCTTGTGCGCAGAGACCAGCAATCAATCAATCAATCAATTGATAAGAGAGTTGGAGAATCCCCGGCAGGTCATCTTGATGCAAGGTCACGTGTGTGGGGTGCTCCCCTCCTGCCCCTCAGTGTATTCGTATTACAGATAGCAGACAGCAAGCAGGTACGAAAACAGGGAGCATGGCGTAATCAAAATACCAGTGGCGCCTCGGCTTGTCCAGCGCTGATTAATCCATCGTTATCGGAGAAGGGGAAAGAAGTCAAGTACAAATGCCTCTGTGCTTCCAACTTCTTTTCAATTTCTGGATTGCGAGCCAAATTCGTGTTTCTCCGAAGAAAATAAACCCCTTCCTCTACTATACCAGGCTTTCAGACGACAGCTCTCTAGTAATCCAGACCACCGCACTCCACAATGACCGTGATTCCCAGCGACTCCCTCATCCCCAACCCCGCGCACATACAAGCCGAAACTATGCTTGCCCGGCAGTTCGGACGAGAGACCGTCAATTACTTCTCCAGTACCGCTCCCCACGCTCTACTATGCATGTCTTGTGTTTCTTGAATCTATCTAACATCAATATCCAGGCTCCCCGCTCAACCGCCTCTCCTTCCTCCGCTCCGACCATCCCTTCCTCTCCGCCGCGCTGAAGCACCCCTCCACCCGTTTCGTCATCCTCAAAGACCTCGCCCCTCTCACCAAAGCCCCCGCGGAACCCTATTACGCACGCTACGACGAGATCCGCAAACTCGTCCCCGACACCATCTACGACAAATCCGAGGAGGAGATCCTCAAGGAGTACGACTCGCGCAAGACCAGCGCGGCGCCCATCTTCTTGGGGCTGGACGAGTCGCGCGAACGGGATGGGGCGGCGGTTGCCACGCCCCTGACGTGGAAGATCTACGCCGGCACACCGTACTTCGCACTGGATGTGACGCCGCGCGGGTCGGAGGAGCAACAAGCGCAGTCGAAGGCGGTGATTGAGGAGTTCGAGGCGCGGGGGTTGAGTTTCTTGCAGGCGCGGGTTGTGATGAGCTTTCCTGCTAATGAGGGTATGTTTTTTTGCCTCTTCCCGGTCTCATTCGCCCCCCAAAACCCAACCTTTGATACGATGATGGGTGACGTGACGGAATTGTGGTGATATGGCTCTCTGACATGACACAGCTGCTATCTACGCGCAAGCTCGCGCTCTGATCGACTGGAACACACGCAACACGTTCTGCGGGACGTGCGGTCATCGCACGATCAGCGTGCACTCAGGGACGAAGCGGGCGTGTCCGCCGACGGACCTGGCGCGGGTGGCGGAGGGCCAGCCGGCGGAGCGGCCGGCGTGCAACACGCGCACGACGATCTCGAACCTCTCGTTCCCGCGGACGGACCCGACAATCATCGTGGCGGTGATCTCGGCGGACGCGCGCCGCATCCTGCTGGGCCGGTCCAAGCGGTTCCCGCCCAACTGGTACTCGACGCTGGCCGGGTTCATCGAGCCCGCCGAGTCGGTCGAGGACGCCGTACGCCGCGAGGTCTGGGAGGAGGCCGGCGTCACGCTGTCGCGCGTTGTCATCCATTCGTCCCAACCCTGGCCCTACCCGGCCAATCTGATGATCGGCGCCATCGCCCAGGTCAGCGACCCGGACCACGAGACGATCAACCTCGAGCATGACCCCGAGCTGGAGGATGCCAAGTGGTTCGACGTCGCGGAGGTCGAGGAGGCGCTCCGCTCTGGCGTCAGTGCGCTCGGCGACAAGCCCGGCGCCGACTATAAGGAGGGCGCTCTGAGACTGCCCCCGCCCACTGCCATCGCTAACCAACTCATTCAAGCGGCGATCAGTATAGACTTCCTCTCTGGGGAGAAGAACTCGAAGATGTAGATAGACTTGTTTTTCTTAGACGGCTTGTACCTAGATTATTCTGTTTGGTCTTCTTTGTTCGATAAATGTTTAAAAGCGATAGGGTGTTGTTTGGGGTTTTCTATATACACGGTAGTTAAAACCACTTCCCGCCGTTATGGCATGAACACATTTCCTGGCAGAACACTGCCTAAAAATAAGACATTTCTCTTTTCATATCATAATCTCTTTCCGAGAAAAAGCGAGGAATCAACCCCGAGACCCAGACTCGCCGTTAAGCACAGTGATCAGTTCGCTGTGTCCTGTCTGTCCCCTAGAAAATGAAGAATGAGCGCTTTAGCGAAAAGGAATAGGGACCAAAAACGGAACTCAGAGATTCGCATACACAGTACCATCCCGTAGCTCATGGATACTATCCGGACTGGTCGGCGAGCCCACCTCAGCGTATCGCCTCCCATCCCGCAGCTCATGGATCGTGATGCGGCGGTGCGACTTTCTGCGCCGCGAGCCGCCCCGGGTAGTTCCCGGCGTGGTTGAGGATTCGCGCGCCGTTGCCGTGGGGGCTTCGCCGGCTGCTGTTGCCGCCGCCAACGAGCTCATGCTGCCCGATTCGCTCAGGCCGGCGATGCTGTGCGCTGGCGTGGTCTCGCGGCTGTCGCGCTCGACGGACGCTTGCAGCTGGTGGTCGGCGACCATCGCCATCCCGGTCTCCTGGTACCACTGACGCAGATCCGTGGCGTAGGTCTCCTCCTCGTCGCCGTACTCGACCGGCGGGCCCGAAACCTGCGCGTCGTCGGCGGCGGCGGAAGACCCGCTGAACACGGCCCACGCGCTCGTCTCCAGGCTGGCGAGCACTATCGCGTGGTTGAAGCTCTTGACCTGGAAGTCCCGGAGGAGGATCGCGTCGCCTTCCGTCAAAGACGGCAGCGCCGTCTTGTTGGACCGGAAGATCTGGGCGAACAGTACAGTGCCGGCCAATGACGGGTCCGTGAGCCCAATGGTCAGGAAGTAGTCCTTCTTGCCCGACGTGGCCCGGAACGCGGGCCGGATCTCGGCCACGACCGAGATGGTATCGATGAGCGCGTGATAGTGGTCGATGAGTGTGGCCAAGGGGGCGAAGTAGGACAGCTTGCTGCGGAGACCCGGATAGTTGCGGTTCATGGCGACGATGCGAGGGGTATCTCGTCCGACTAGCATGACTTCATCCTCGCTGTGGGCGGCGTGCACTTCGGTGTCTTCGTCCATGTGTTCGCCTTCGTGTGGGTGAGGTTCCCTCTGCGAGGGTGCAGAGACAAAGCTTTCGACCTCGGAGTCTTGTTCTGCGGAGACATATTCTTCGCTGGACACGTCCTGCATTTCCGCATCCTCCTGTGTGGGTTCGGGTGTAGGTGGCATCTCGTCCGCAGCCGTAGTCGTTGGAGGGGACTTATCCAACCCGGTCAGCTGCGAAGGCTCTGGTGTTATCAATTGATGGTCTAGTTGGAGACCTGGACTAGGATGGCCTAAGTCAATGGGCAAAGGCAGGCTTGAGGATGCACCTTCCAGTGACAAGCCTGCATCAGCGGGCTGTTCTTTTGCCAAAGCTGGCTCTGGAGCTTCTGGTTGTGCCTCCGAATTCACCGGGCTATGTCGCGAAAAGGTCATGTGAGTCTCTGCTTGAACAGGAGTCGACTCGAGAAGTGCAGGGTCGATGGGTGTTTCAGCGAAATGCGATAGAGGACCAGTGCTGTGATCATTGTCGTCGAAAGCAGGAGCGCTGGACGACACAAACTCGAAACTCTCATAATCAGGGCCATGGACGACAGTGGTTGTGTGGATCTCCTGGGTACCAGTATCGGTTTCTGAATTTTGATCGCGATGCAAGTCATGACCTTGCATATTCACAGGCACTTCTCTCTCCCCCGACTCGTGCACATGGTCAGCATGATCTGCTTCTTTCCCATCGCGCTCCTGATCGTATGCTCCATCAAGCTGGTTGATCTCAACCTCTTTAGTCTGTGTATGCGCAGCATCGACTTCTCCGGTCTCAGTGTGTCTTCCCTCAATGCTTTCTGCGACAACGCCTTCCTCTCTCGCCTGCTCGTCATCGCTCAGCTGCTCCTCTGCATCACTTGCATTTTCTGACTGTGACTGTACATCTTCGATGCGCTTATGTACTGTCTTGTCACTTCGCAGCTCCGCCGGGCTTCTTTCTGGTTCTTGTACGTCCTTTTCGTCCTGAACCGGCCATTCGTCAACATCAGAACCAATGTCATCCTCAGCATCCTCGTCCGCATCCTCGTCCTCATCCTCATCTTCAACCTCGGCCTCGACCTCAACCAGATTTTCATCTTCATCTTCATCATAATCCTCTTCCTCATCCCCATCAACAAGCTCAGAGTCCAAGGCTCCATCAGCCGACGATACTGATCGATCAGAGTCTGAAGCACCTGCATCCCTCCGCCCTGAATAATCCGCAGGTTCATCCTCACTGTCACTGTCCAGAACAATGATTTCCGGAGAATTCCTCTTCCGTTGCGGTGCTTCATCCCTGGTATATTGCGAATCGAATTCAGAATCCACACGTCCACCGTATCCGTCCTCATCCTCGTAATCGTACATATCCTCCTCCTCTTCCCTGCCCTCTTCGTCCTCTTCGTCTATATCCTCTTCATCTTCTTCGAGTTCCTCAAATTCACCCTCGTCGGAAACGTCTTCCTCATGGTCTTCTGCTTCATCATCGTCGACATAATGGCCTTCAGCCCTTTTCGGGATCTCAGAGTCTCCCACAGATGATTCTGCTTCGTCGCCAGAGTCCATCTCAAAATCGGCCCTTGACTTGATTATGGGCTCGATTTCTTCTCTCGCATCTTCTTCATTATCGCGGCCAATTTTAACTGATTTAGTCTCCGAACCCTGACTGGCAAGCTCATCCTCATGTTCTTCGCTGTCCGAGACCTCTTCACTAACTTCCTCGGCGTCAGAATACACCTCTTCTCCCTGCGGCATATGGTCGTCTACCGCTTCGCCATCACTCTTCTCAGTATCGGATGGTTCATGTTCGCCTCCTGGCACGAACTGTTCAGTTTGTAGCGAGTCTCCGTCCATCAGTTCCATATCTTCCCTGTCACTTTCTGCCCCCTCGGGCGAAGTATTGGCATGGTAAAGAGATGAGGGTTTAGTCTCCTCTTGGCTCGCAGCTTTCACAGCAGTTGGTAGTTCCACGTCCGTCTCAGGGGCCTCGGATACAGAGGCCGATTCGTCGGCTTCGTTAGTAGCGCCCGTGGCACTCACAAGAGAGACTGTGGGCGTTTCCTGAGCTTGGATCTCAGTGAACTCTAGCTCTGCGTCGAACCCAATCTGACTTTCTGAACGCGAAGTTTCCAAGACTAAGTCTGCCTTGGATGCCATAGCCTGCGCCGGATCAGAGGTGACGGGAACTGATCCGAAGTAGCCAAGCGGGCTGTTCCCTGAGCTAACGAGTGGCGATGGGATAGGAAGTCCCGGGGAAGGAATAGGATTTAACCGTGGAGTGTCAGTAGGAAGATGACCCGCAAGGCTTGAGATAGTCTTATGCATCATCTGGCGCGAGAAATGCGATACATCTGGTAGGAGAAATTGCGCATCCGATTTGGGTTTGGACTTTTCCGGAGAATCTTCGTCGCGGGAGACGGGTGTTGTTGAGGACTCCGGCGCGAGGCTCGAGGCGAAGCTTACAGGTTCTGGTCGGTCTTCAGGAACAACGGACGGCTGGGTGTCCTCGTCTTCTTCGGGCGATGCAGGCACTGTGAGAGCTTTGGCGGTAGCGTCCATCTCATCGGCAGCCGCAGCCTCTTCTAATTCCGCAGCCGCTTCGTTGAGCCAAGCCTCGTCGTCGAACATGGCCGTCCAATCTCCCGGTATCTCCAAATCCTCCGGGCTGGCGGGCTCGTCCACAAGACGCCAATCGTTGCGCATACTGAACCTCGCCCGTTTCCGTCCCTTTCCCGGGACGAATCCATCCTCCTCCGCGAAAGGATCGAAAGCTGAGTTCAAGGTCGCGCCAGCAAGATGGCCTCCCGTTGATGTTCGTGATCGTTCGAAAAAAGCGGGCGATTGCCAAACGGCCGACTCGAGGCCGCGGTGGTAGGCGCTGCCGGTCACATCGGGTGTAGTCGGTGTGGGAGTGGTTCTGTCGGCGGAGAGTGGGGGAGAAGACGGGGGATCGATCTTGATGGTCGATAGATGCTGGTCGGATCGCCATATCTGAGAGTCGAATGAGCTATTGTCTCTTCGCTTTGCGGTCAGGATGAGATCGTGCGGGTGCCTACCTCGACCGTAACCGTGCTGTCGAAATGCACATCCCAAGCCACGCTCTTGCCCGGGGTCAGAACCTTCGGATCGTTATCGGCCAACCTGGATCCTGCCAAGCTGAGATAGATATTGTCGCCGATCCCGACGTGTGACTTCGCGACCTCTTCTGCGACGTGTCCGTGGAAGACCACCCTGACTTGTCCCCCCGACCGCCGAAGCCGAAAGTCCGGTTCGGCCAGAAGCAAACTGATTGATCGCGTGGAAGACGAGAAGGGCCAGAGCAGTGCCACTACACCGTGGACAGCGTGTTCGGAGAGTCCATCGAGCGTCGGGGAGAGTTGCGCAATAGGGACCGTGGTCGATCGAAGGAGCTCGGAAGCCGGAGGCTGTTGTTGTTGATCGGGGACGTCCATCGCTGTGGCCGCTTATTGGTCATGCGGTTTCCACATTGCCTGAGATACAGGTGCTTCCTGCCGCGAGGTTGTAAGTGCGCTGAGGTGAGAGAGGGTTGGTCGACTGTTGTACAAGGAGGAAAACAGCTTCTTGTCTGGACAAACACGCGTGGAATTCCAAAGATTGCGGAGTTTCATCCGGGACGGGAGGAGGTTGCGTCACAAAGCCATGCGTACTGGAGGTGTAATATTACATTCTTCCCCTTTGTTGTTGCCGCTTTCGCTGGGAGCGGAGCCGGTAACAGTATGTTAATTCCATGACTTATTGTTCCAGGTCTGCATTTGTTGCAGAACTGGGTATAAACCTCTCCGGAGTCATGATGCATGGAAGATTGTATGCGTGAGTATTGTCGTTGCTGTTGAAGGATTCCTGAATAGCGATGTTCATAGACACAAACCATCCCAAGGACCTGAACAGGCCATGGCCGATGACGGAGCACGACATTCCCCGCCACCATGCAGTCATCGCCCCCAACTGTTGTATCCATTCCTTGCATTTGTCTTATACTAACTACAATCACTACATCTTTGCCATTGACTCTATCGGTCCAATACAATGACACGGGCAACGCAGATCCGTCGAATAGCGGTTATTGGCGCAGGACCCTCGGGCCTTGCAGCGGTCAAGTACGCAAGCGCACCCCGCCCCAGCCGCGTTTTATTGTTCTCCGTTCTCATGGCTCATCAGCGTCCAGGTACTTGCTAGCCGAGAGATTCTTTGACAGTATCGATGTCTTCGAGCAGAGGACTTCCGCAGGTGGCGTCTGGAACTACTCTCCGCGTTCTCTGAAGGACAATCTGACCAGCACTATACCGCAACTGGACCCGCACCAGCCCCTCGAAGAGCCAGTATGGTACACAGCCGAGGGGCGGCGAGAGCCGGTCTTTGTCTCGCCAATCTACAAAGCATTGGAGACCAATCTCCCCAAGGAGATCATGCGGTACAGCGACAAGCATTTCGATGCCAAGACCCAAGTCATGCCCACGCATGCCACCGTGAAGCAATATCTCCAGGAATATGCGGAGGAGATCCGCAACCTCATCCAATTCGAGACCCAGGTCTCGGAAGTCAGGAAGGAAGTACTCGGCGCAGGTAGCTGGTCGGTCACGACAAGAAACCTGCGCACGGGAGACAAAACGACCGCCTCGTACGACGCTGTTGTGGTCGCCAGCGGGCATTTTGATCTCCCGTATACACCAGATATCCCTGGCATCAGAGAGTGGAACGCGGCATATCCTGGAGCTATACTGCACTCAAAGCTGTATGACTCTGCGGAGCAATTTCGCGGCAAGAAGGTCATTGTCGTGGGGAGCTCGGCGTCGGGCCTCGATATCGGTAACCAGATCAACGAGGTCAGCAAGGGCAAGGTCATCGTCTCCGAGAGAAATCCATCGCTTCTGGCGTCCTCCGCAACAGACTCGAGCAAGGTGTATCGACCCCAGATCGCGGAGTTCCTGCCGTCGGACTCGCATAGCAGAGCGGTCCGCTTTGCAGACGGTCAAGTTGAGGGCGAGATCGACGCCATCGTGTTCTGCACCGGCTACTTATATTCATTTCCTTTCTTGTCCTCACTGGATCCACCTATTATCACGAACGGCCGCCGCGTGCTGAACACATACCAGCATCTCTTCTATATCCATGATACCACGCTGGTGCTCAGTGTTCTTCCGCAAAGAGTCATTCCATTCCCCTTGTCAGAGAATCAGGCGGCTGTTTTTGCGCGCGTATGGTCAGGGCGTCTTGGCCTTCCACCGAGAGATGAAATGAGAGAGTGGGAACAGTCCACTCTGACTGAGAAGGGAGACGGGACGCCGTTCCACTTGCTTCCGTTCCCCCAGGATGCTGATTATATGAACTTCTTGCACGACTGGGCAGCCAAGGCTAAACCTCGACAGGGGCTTGATCATAACGGACATGGTAAACCTTGCAACTACTGGGGCGAGAGAGAGAGGTGGATCCGGGGATCGATTCCGGATATCAAACGCACATTTGCGCAGAAAGGTGCCGAGCGCCGCCTGGTCAAGGCTCTCGAACAAATCGGGTTTGAGTTTGATAAGTGGAAAGAGGAGCGGAAGAACTCTGCTGGTGCACATAGACTCTAGAACTCGTTAGACATAGAGGTCATTATTTAGATGTTCATTTTATTGGGATAGCATCTGTGAGCGAACTACAAATACGAACTTCACACCAAGCACTCATCTAGAAGCGGCTTGATCTTTTAATGACAATGAAGTCCTCGAAATCAGGAGGCTGGGCGCATAATCCTCCACAGTCCATTTCCAACACACCCCAAAGTACTCATGATGCATCTAACTATACCTCTGGCTCGAACAACGCGGCCTCCTCATCCCACCACTTGCTGAAAGCCACCAGCCTCTCAGTCCGTTCCTTTGCCATCTTCAGCCCAATCTCAGTCTAGAACTTGGGTCAGCCTACACCCACTTTTCGGCAATATCAAAACATTGATCAAGAGGATCCAGCAATACATACCTTCATCATCCCCTCCAACTTCACCAACTTCTCATCAATATGATCCCGCGATCTCTGCATGGTAGCATCCGGAACCCTAGCGCCGCCATAGGTAAACATCCTCCCAACCCCAATGGCGCCCAGCGCATCCAGCCGATCCGCATCCTGCACCACAGCGAGATCAGGATAATCCTCCAGAACCTCCTGCACTTTCTGGGGATTTTTGATCTCGGTCGAGTACGAGACATGATTCACCACCTCCTCGACATGTTCGATCTCGTCCTCCGAGACACCCGCCTGTCGCAGCACGATCGCGACCTTGGAAGTCTGCTCCCCGGAGGCAGACGCGGGTGGAGCGTATTTCTTGTCATTGACATCATGAAGAAGGCTGTGATTCGCGTAAGAGATGATACCTTTGTTGGCAATCGGGGAGGAAAGCCGGGGAAAGAGGAGACCCACGCGCTCAGAAGGATAAGATCGGGCCGATACCATTCGTGTCTTTCGGATTCGGTCTCGAATTCGGCGGCCAAGATCTTCGAGGACAGGGCTACGACGCGCAGGATGTGCTGGAAGTCGTGGGATGCATCGTACTGGCTCATGTGCTGGAGGACGGCCTCGGCGACCGACTCGAACACCGCATCCTCTTCGACGAGGTACCGTCCGTAGTTGGACTTGCGGGCTGCCTGTAGGATTTGGCGGAAGGTGTCCATGGTGTCTGTTTGTACTGTAAGTTAGAGAGAGTGGTATAGCCAATTTTCAACGGGCCTGATTTGATTGGGGAGGGGAAGATCTTATCTTTCGTATCTAATCGGCGGCCCCGGGACCTGCCGCTGCCCGATAAAATGTATTCCCTGCCTAAGGCTTCCACTGGGCATCCCAAGTCATGATAAATAAGCGAGGCAACATATTTAACTAGCTGGTACAAAAATCTCCTTATACCTTATCAGCAATATCATAGTCTTCATTCTCGCACAGGGTGTCCCTATACTGTGTGTAAATTTGTAGCCATGATGAGTAATTACTGAAACTAGTGGGAGACAGATCTATCTGAAAACATTTGTCTTTACATACAACGGTGATTCAGACAGTATGGTCATTCGGACTGAAGAAGATCCTTTACTAAGGAGCCACGCAGAGTCCCCAGATGACATTGATCATGAACAAAGGTAGTACCCGAGTTCACGAATGTAAGACAAGCATGGGGAACGGAAGCAAAAACCCAAAGAATATTCACGGGTGACACCATCTGACTTTCTAGGTTCGTGCTGGTGGCTATTGAAGGAACTTGGAAGAGGGTTATCACTGAGTGTGAACCGACCTCCAGATACCTCGCCACTTATGTTGTGATAGCTTGACACGATCTGCTGCATTATCATGGTCACCATATTTCATTATGGTGTCAAAATCCCTTGCAAGCAAGTATAGTACCAGCGACCCTCTGGTCAGTTCTCTGTCTCTTGGGGTCCTTAATAAGCCAATATCGAAAGTGATCCCACGGCCCAAACGGCAATGTAATGAATACTTGTGTTTCGCTTTTTAATGGTTGAACCCTCTAGAAATTATATGCTCAAAGTCACAATGGTTAGACTCCGGATCAAATAGGCTAGGTCTGGATTTACTAGTCCAATATGCCATGGTAGGAAGGGCAGAAGATTGAGTTCAGTTCCCTGCCAAGTCAATACTAGTATGTTGATCAAGCTACCCAGTCTAAACTCAATGACCGAACGCTCAATCTTTGAAGATTTGATGGCATGATTTTTGCATGATCGCACCAGTACTCTCCAGGTCTGGCGAGCATTCATTCCCCGGTCTCCCTTCATCCTTAGCCCTAAATTACCATACCCGAGGAGTACCGTTGGACAACTCCGCGGCCATCCTTGTCAACTGATAAGTACAACAGGGGTCTGAGGACCTTATGAACAATCCAAGATAAGTAAAAGCCATAATATCAGCTTACAAAATTGGTAACAAAGGCATGCCTCTCAACTACTAATTTCCGACTTACAACCACGCAACAGAAACGCGCATTCTCTTTCAAGCTCCGGACGACCGACTGATAAGTGACCATCACGTGCCAGCGATCACCCGCGTTGTTCCCGACGGACCTCCTCATCACTTTCACTACTCCTCCACCCCCCCCAACTCCGCCTACAGCTCCCCTCGCCGACTTCTGTTTGAGAGCGTGGCTTCTTGCTCACTGCGCTGATTTTCCTCTTTATTGTCAAACTCATCTAGAGCATTCTCGCCGCACTTCCTTTCTCCCAACAAGCGTTCATTGTTCGACTTACACCACCATGGATCATCCCACTTCGGCCATGCTCTCAGTTCGCGCATAATGTGGCGCAAGCGCAAACTGTCCCCTCACGCATGTAAAAGTAATACCGAATCACGGAAGAAACGTTGGAAGGAACATTACACCATATCGTCAAGCGACGATTCAGACGACTCAGAGCACCAGAGCGAGACATTGGCCGACGACGAATACTATATCAACTGTATACTCGACGAGACAGATACTCAATACCTGATTGATTGGGAAGGACCTTGGGAGCCCACCTGGGTAAATATGCTATTCCCATCTACTGTATGACAGGAACCTATTCTGACTGTTCGTCTTTTCTTGTATTCAGGAACCAAAAGAACACGCCAGCGCACTTGCTGTCCAGGTCTGGGAACAGAAGAAGCAGCAGGAAAGGCGCACTCAGAGCGAAGAGACGCAACCACGTAATACTCCACCGTCGCAATTATCTACTTCCGGCTCACAAACACACAGCGCGGAGCAGCTGGATTTCGAGCCTGTTGCGCCTGAAACTCCTCCGAACCGTACCCACAACAACCCGGGTTCTCCGTTATTTGTTCCCATCGATCATATACCGGAAGTGCAGGAAACTTTGCGGGACAGTTCACCTGAGAGCCAATTGGGACCACCGTGTACGGAACAGTCTGTGAACACTCAGGCGCAATCGCGAGACCAGTTGCAGGTGTTTGAAGAAGTGCCCACGACACCTATTCCCTCAGAACTTCGTATAGCTGGCGAATCATCAGGGACTCAACTTGTAGAGTATCCACAAACGACAACTCCCGCCCTCAACAGTCAGACGTGGGGAAGTGTTACTGTTGTGGATACTATCCCGCGACAGGGTCTCAACCAAAGCACCACTTTCGTCTTTTCTGCATCTCCACGGCCGTTGGATCGGGTATTCAGCCACCAAGCAAGTGCTTTGAACGAGATACCGGAGACACCATTCGGTCCATCCAGTGTTGCAGAAAGTCAGGTATCTCGTCAAGGCTCCACAATTTATAGCGCAAGCTCGCAGTACTCTACGGTCTTTGGCAAACATTCTCTAGCCGCAAGTACTCTGGGATCTTGTTCAAATCTATCAAACCATTATTTGTCGCAAGGTATTGCGCGCAATCCGGTGTCCTTCATACAGGCTAACAGTCGCAAAGGTAACACCAGCGCTGGTCGCGTGAGTTCCATACCTGAATCAGTCACTGCCCGTATTGCGCAAGCTACGCAAGGATCTTCTATCGACACATTAAGCTACGAATCCACAACTGTGGCTGTTGTCGAAATGGAGGGTCAGGATAAAAAAGGTATGTCTGTGGCGGAGAAGATGGAGAAATACAGCCAGTTTGAAGGGAGCACCCCAAGGGAGAAGATCAGAAGCGCGTACGCCCAGCTGCGAGCGCAGAGTGTTGTACCGCCGGAGCCAAGCGCTACGCCATCGTCGGTGGGTGAAGCCGGCGACATCGAACCATCGCCGGTGGCCTTGCCCGAGACCGCCGCCCCACTCAGCGTGAGGATCGACAAAGACTCGGCCTTTCATCCTCCTCATCACCCACCCGACGAACCCCCGGTTGTCATCCCATCGCCGCCCCTGGAACCCGCACACATGGATCCCATCCACCACCATGATGTACAAACGATTCAACCACATGCACTGTCGGTTGACCATACCGAGGAGTCTATTCCCGGATCTGTCCTGCTTGGTCCGTCGGAGTTCGCCATCCCGCTCCCCATGGACTCCAGGGTCAAGGATGATTACGACCGAGTCCTATCAAGCGAGGGTGATCTCATCCAGGAATTCAGTGACGGCACTAGCACACAGGCAGATCAGGTACTATCCAACAGCTCTGGACTTGGCCATCAAAACTGACTCTAACACAGCGTGTGCGCCTCCTGCCCAAGATACATGAGGTGTTAGAACGTCTAAGCAACGTCGCCACGCATCCCGACCTAAACGTCGCCAAGCATCTCAACGACTCGCAAGCGGACTTGCGACAAGAGGCCTCCTGGGCGGAGTATTCGAGTGCCAAATTCTTGCTTCTGTCCTATCTCGTTCAGTCCACAAGTGAGCGCGAGTTACATTTGGTCATCATGGTGAACGGCGAAAAGACCCAGAACGTCGTAGAGCGGTTCTTACTGGGCAAAGGCCTCGCATATACCCGCCCGCGCGAGGATATGGGTCCTGGAACGAACGTCGAGGTTTCTCTGGCTAAGGGGTCTTTGAGCTTTGGAGTTCAGTCAACACGCAATGATGGCATTGTGGAAACTTACAAAGCCCCCTCTGCGATCATCGCTCTGGATTCATCGTTTAACACCAAGATCCCCTCGGTCGAGCACATGCGGACTACCTTCGCTCGCCATGGGAATCTGCTTCCCGTAATTCGCCTGATCGTGTCCAATTCGAGCGAGCATCTCGAGCTTTGTTTCTCTAACCTGCCTGAGCTGCAACGTGCGCGGTTACTGCTGCAATATACGACGCGTCTGAAAAATTCAGTTGGCGACCTTCAAGACGATGCGCTCGGGGTATCTGAAGACGCAGAAGAGCTTGTCTCGTATCTTTCATCAGACAACTTCAATTCTCACTGGTCATTACCGCACATCGAGCCTCTGCACATTGTGAATCTGGAGGAGCTTCACCCCGTCCCTGAAGAGCCATCAAGCCGACCTGATGTTGACCCTTCGCCATTGGCGACACCTCTACTGCAAAAGAGAGCATTCGTAAGTTCACATTGACCTCTAAATGCAAGCAGAGCCTTTGGTCCTAAAGCAAGAATCGTACAGACGGAAGACGCCAGCGAGCAAACATCAAAACGGCCACGAATGGAAGAGTCGCAAGATGCCAGCCAACTTACTGAATCCACCAAATTTCCCAGCCAAACGCTCGACGGCGAACTTCGCTCCCTCGAGAGCAACCTCGTCCAACTCCGCCATTCGCATACAAACGAGATCCAAAGACTCCAAAACGCACTTGCCCAGACCCAGGCCCGTCTTCAAGAACGAGACCACACCCTCGAGCAACTCCAACACCGTTACGAGACGCGCACCAGAGACTTCCACAAGCTCCGCCGCGAGCACGAGAAGCTCATTGAAGCTAAAGCCACCGTCGAACAGCGTAGCGAGAGGAGCAAAGAAGAGCTGATCAAGATCAAAGACGAGCGGACGCAGCTGCGACACGACCTCGAGCAAGCTCGCGCTGCCCTCAAATCCGACGCAGGTAGCATGGCCGCCGAGCTCGAGACCGCCCGCGAGGAGATCCGACGCCTCACCAAGGAGAACACGGGGCTCGAGCGCAAGGCGGATTACGAAGCCAAGCAGACCGAGTACACGCGCGAACAGTACCAGACCGCCTCCAACGTCGCCGCGCAGTCCGGCAACGAGAACCGCCAGCTGCGCGACGAGAACGAGACGCTGAAGCGCAAGGTGGCCGGCGACGCCAGCCGGCTCCGCGAACTTAACCAGAAGCAGGACGAGGCCCGCCACCTTGCCCGCGCCCTGGAGCTGGAAGCCGCCCTCGCCTCCCGCGAAGATCTCCTCCGCAGGAAGGAGGAAGAGCTCCGCGAGATCCGCAAGAACCGGCCCTCCACCCGGTCCACCAGCACCCAACCGCGGAGCCCCAAGTGGACGGCCAGTCGACCCACCAGCCCTGGCATCAACAACCACGGCGGTAACGGATCCTCTCTGGCCACGGGCCGGGGCAGTGCGCTACGGTTCAGTTCGGAGATGACTTTTTAGTTTGTTGCTGCTGCATGCAACGCAAACAGTCATGATCATCAAGCCCATGAGTCGTCCCCTATCATCCATCCGCCTTGGCTCTCTTTCCCCCTTTTTCGAGCAATGCACCCAGTATGCATGCACAATGCAATAAAGATGAAGCACTGATGCACTACCACCTCAGCGAAGTTACATCCCAACCCCTTCCTTCCTTCCTCCTTCACCTCCTCCACCACCACCACCACCCTTACCTCAACCCACCGCGACACCCAAGCACGCCCTTGCATAGTTCCACCACCCACTTTCTTAGCCATTTACCAATCCATACAAATCAAATCAAATATCCGAGCATAAATAAATCTATCACGCAATCTGAAATCCCCTACGGCACTCTGTCCTTGGTATCCAAACTTAGTCCTCATAAGAGCCATTCATCCAATCCATTCAACCATCACATCACACAAAAAGATACAACACAACACATAACATACCAACAACCATCGCAGCTCTAATCCCAATGCCACCAATGCTAATACCAATGCTAATTACCACAAAAGGCACACAATGAAATGCAACTCCAGTTATAGAAATTCCGTTTTACGATTTTCCCATTCTCATCCTTTCTCAAAAGACAACCCAAGGAACCTTAGAACATCCAGATCCGTCCCCTACCACACCTCTGTAAAACCCCGGGTAAGCACTTGTTGTGACCAAAGAGATCAGTCTTCCAATCAACCACATCCGAATTCAACTCGTAAATATAAGCGACAACAATCCACAACGCAAAGACGAAATTACCCAGAAACGGCATAGAGAGATGAGAATGGAAGAATTGAAGAAAGAAGGGGGTTCTCTGTCTCTCCCTCTCTCTCTCTCCGGGCTTTCCCCCCTCTCGCTCTTTCTTTCTTTCTCTCTCAGTCTCTGTGTGTGTATGCCAAAGGAAAGGAGGGAGGTTATATACGGATTCTAATTGTAATGCCATTTCAACGCATACGTATGTACATACATAGATACATACAGTCTTTGCCATTTATCTCTCGACGAAGCGGTTATTTTCCTCTCCTCGCTGGATGGGATTGACGGTTTTAGGGACGTTGCTGGTGTTTTCTATATAGACAGTATGTATGTAATCTGTGTACATAGTGAACATAGCCATCGTTGAGAAGGAAAGAGGGGTGTTGTGGCAGATGGATATGGAAGGAGTGCGCCTGTACACAGAGCACGGACTCTTCTCTCGTTCGGCTCCCATGCTTAAGGCACACAAGGACAGACACGTAAGAGGAATCTAGACTACAACCTACTATGTCCAAGGCCGCTACTGCTACTACTGTTTCCCGTGCCTCTTGTTTCAATGCTTGGAAGATTCCGTATATTCATCCAGTCTACCTATTACTAGCCTATCTCTAATGTCATGAACGACAATGCCCAACACCACTCTTGTGTGAGATAATGTACTTTCGATTTAGGGACAACAAAAAAAGACAAATCGTAACAATCAAACAGAACACATCAAGACTGTCTAGGTTAATAAAGATTAGCAGGTATTATTTTCGTAACTTATGCGATCATTCGGTCATTCTAATTAGCCAAAGCATGGCCAATAAAGTTGGACAGCTCCTTGGCCTTCTTGCCCAACGTCATAGTGAAGTGGTTTGCTTCCTCCATGATGGTAATGCCGCCCACGTTGTTCGGCCCCACGAGCGTGTCCCACTTGTTAGGTCCCAGATCGGTACGGTTGTTCAAGAGCCACACCATTTCGCGGGGATCGGGGCTGCCGTCCGCAGCGGGCTCCGGGCGCGGATCATCAGGCTTGTTGCAAACGCCGTCCTTGGCCCAAACAAGGAACACCTTGGGCATCTTGCTAGCCCATTCGGGGTCGTTGAAAGGTAACGGTACGGCGCGGTAGGCGTCGAGGGAGTCGATGAACGCCAAAAAGTGAGGCAGCAGCCAGGCTGGAGGCGCGGCTTTTCCCTCGCCGAACAACCCAATCGAGTCGAAGAACCGATACAGCCGTCTAGGCAGCTTCTCAAGTCCGATAGGGAATGGTGTGTCGAGAAGGAGAAGTCGGTCGACTCGTTCTCCTTCCTCGAGAATCAGGTAGCGAGCAGCATCGTATGCGCAAATTCCACCAGCAGACCAACCACCGAAGTTGTAAGGGCCCTTGGGTTGTCGCCGCCGGACTTCAGCAAGGTAAGGGAAGGTAAGCTCCTGAAGAGGGAACTTCAACTTCTCCGGCGTCTTCATGTACGGGCAATTGAGCCCGTAAACACATACGTCTGGGCCAACTCGAGGAATCGTCGCATAGGAGGTTGCCGAGCCAGATCCGTCAGGGAATAGGAACAATGACTGCGTAGCAGTCTTGGGGTTACCCTGCAAGACAATCGAAGTTGCTGGTGGATGCTGAGCGGCACGCACACTGACGATCGACTTCATAGCTGGGACAGCCTCCGGCAGTCTGATTGGCTCAGAGATGGGTGCGGCCTTAGGCTTCAAGTCGAGAGCAGTCTCAACTTCTTCGAGGGTCTGATGCTCGATAAAGAACTCACCCGGAAGATCCATGTCCAATGTCTCACGGATCCGACCTAAGACATTCAAAGAGAGAAGGGAGTCCATTCCCATCTCGCCCAAGTTTTCGTCTGCCTTGAGCTCGTCTTCAGTCACACCAACTTCATCGGCAATAATCGCACGAATTTCCTTCATGGTAGCATGTTGTTCGACTTCCATCATCTTTTCATTCGGAGGCGAGATAACCATAGGCGAGCTTAAACCCGACTCGTCCGAACCGTCATTGAAAGAGAAGCTTGATTCTGGATCGCTGGTAGAACCATCGCTGCTTTCGGAGGGACTGATCTGAGCGAGCAGTCGCTTGAAGTCCTTGACAGTCGGTTGGTCAATAAAGACTGATGAATCCAGATCAATGTTCAGCTCTTCGCGATACCGGCCGGTAATGTTAAGAGACAGTAGAGAATCCACGCCATAATCAGCGAAAACCAAATCGTCCGAAATCTCTGACTCGGACAATCCGACCTCAGAGGCGAGAATACTGAGTGCGCGCACAATCACACTTGGTCCAGATTTCACGAGAGATTTGGTGGGTGTGGGAGCCTTAGCACGGGTCTTGCTCTCTGCTGCAGGCGCAGCCTTTTGAATCACACTTGCCGAAGGACGAACAGCGGCTGGGGCTTTGGCAGCTCCGGCAGGTGGAAGCACGGTATCAAGAATCTTGCGCGGCAAGGCTTGGAACTGTTGCAAGTAGGGTTAGTGTTTCGCATATATAAATGCTCATAAAGGAGACTCACTTGGACTGATCCGTATACGGCTATAATCTCGTCGCCCTCGAAGACGAAGACATCACCAGCCCAAATAGAATTTTTCCACGGTTGCATTCTGACGTAGGTCCTGTAGGTGACATCCTGAGAGAACTTCTTCAGACAACGCATTGAGTCCCAGCCATGGTTGACGAAAACCTGCGTTTTCGAGTCTGTCCCGTCGCTCGCATTCATGATGAAACCAGACAGATGCCCGAAGCTGTCAATCCAGAACGGGTTTCTATGAAAGTCTCCCGGCCCAGCTTGAAACTTGACGCGCGCAGTAGCTTCGTGGTTGTCGCTGTCGAGGACGACTTCGCGGATCGATTTGAAGTTGTCATCGTATTCGACCAGCGTGGCGAAAAGTTTGTATACCATCCCTCTCTGAAGTCGATGCGCTTCTCCGTTGTCTGCAATTTCATGTAGGCGGTCAATGCTCCTCTTGATGAGGTAGGACATGCGCTTCCACTCCCTCTCTGTAGCAGCACAATCAAAGAACTTGACGGTGCATGTCGCATGTTCAGTAGTCTTCTTTCCTTCAAGGGTGATCGAATAGATCTGCAGCGATACACGCTGCTCCGCCCAGGTTGCGGTTGCGGACACTCTGAACAGCTGCTGGCCACCTTTGGCGATGAGCGTCTTAGGCACGGACACGTCACAGACATCAAGTCCCATGTCTTTGAATTCGGGCTTGTACTTGTTGATCAAGTACTCTGCAAGGGTTTGAGCGATGTCGGCGTACAGAGACTACATTCGTCAGCCAATACCATTCATGGAGAGAGCAAAAATGACAAACAACGAGAACTTACCGAAGGGCATAGGTTGGCGCCGTTCACCTTGTGTCCTTGAATAACGCGGCGAAGATCCGGTTGATCAAGGTCATTCTCAACCACCACAGTAGAAGTGGCCCCATCGTCACGACTCTCGATGACCTTCTGGGCAGCGGTAGTGAGATATTCATATGTTGGTGCTGCTTCAATGGCTGCAACGGGAGCTCCCTTGGACAAGCAAAAGTTATTGGTGTACGGAATCCAATAATTCTTCAGATCCCAGCTGTAGGCGGGGAGACGCAAGACTTGATGACAGGAGCTGAAGTCTTGGTGGTACTGCTTCCAGTTGAGATCAATTCCGGCCAGATGGAGGGCGGACATGCTGTTAGAGAGGACTTTCCATGTATCCTCCTCTCGTCGGAGGGAGGCAACTGTGGTGACCTGTGGGCCAAGTGTTCCCTTGATCATGCCAGAGCAGATGGTATGAGAACCAATTTCGACCCAGATCGTCTTATCGTCAGCCAGCTTCGCATGTCTAATGGCTTCAAGAGCTCCAAGGAAGTTGACGGTTCCCCTGCAGTGGTCCTTGAGATACTTAGCTCCAAGGATCTGTGCATTGGCTTCGGTGATAACTTCACCAAGAAGGGCCGAGACAAAGGGCGTTGTAGGCTTGTGGAATGTCACGCCTTGAGAGATCTTTTCAAATGTATCCAAGATGGGGTCGACTTGCGGGGAGTGGAACGCGTACGGAACCCGTAGTTTGGTTGCCTTCACGTTCTCGGTAAGGCATTTCTGAGCCAAGTCGTCAATGTCGGAGGCAAGTCCACTGATCACGGTCTCGGCAGGAGCATTGACACAGGCGATCGTGTGAACATCGTCCTTGAGGAAATGCTTAATCTCGGCAAGCGAAGCCCTGATTGCTAGCATGGAGTGTGTCCCGATCTGGCATTGTTCGGTGAGCAACTGAGCACGGCGGCCACAGAGATAGATTGCATCACTAGTCGACAAGACTCCGGCCGCGTTCAGAGCAGCATAGTCTCCGAGACTATGCCCGAGGACGAAGGACGGCTTCACACCCAAAGAGCTCCAGTAACTAATCAAGGCCATCTGAACGCAGCAGGTTCCTACCTGAATGACTACAGGGCTCAACTCTTCGACCGCGATGCTGCCATCGATCAGGGGTAGGATCGCAGGCAAACCTTGGCTTTGAGCAATGCAATCAAAATGTTCAATCGTGGCCCGGAACGGAGAACAAGTGTTGTATAGTTCTTTACCCATTCCTGTGTACTGAGCACCCTGGCCTGTAAAGACGAAGCCAATGCCTGGAGTCTTCGCCGGCACAGCAGTGAACGTGTCCCGTTGAGCGGCAGCGTGCAAAGAATCGCGCAGGCTGTGCAAGCTCGAGCCAACAGCGGTGACTCTGAAGGGATGGTGAATACGACGTGCAGTGGTAGTATAAGCCAAGTTAGGCACGAGGCTGGACTCTTTGACTCCAAATGAGTTACCGTATGAGTCCAGATATTTCAGGAGAGACCCAATGTTGTTCTTCAGAGCGCTTTGAGACCGAGCTGAAACCGCAACAACGTGGAAAGCTCTGGGGTCCTGACCAGTAGTCTCAGAGATAGGTGCATCTTCTATGAGAAGAGCCGTGTTACCACCAGCGGCAGAGAAGTTATTAACAAAGGCGCGGCGCTTTCCAGAAGCTGGCCGGTTCCAGGGAGTGGGCTGGAATGCAATATGAACATTACGCTTCGCGAAATCGGTCGGAAAATTGTGGTTGATCTTGTTCTTAATGCCGCAATGAGGTGGGATTTGATTCTCTCTCATCATCATGAGGACCTTGACAAGAGCTGTAACTCCGGAAGCGGACTCCCCATGTCCAATGTTCGATTTGGCAGATCCCAGGTGAAGGGATTGCGTGGGCCCGCGGCGATAATCAGGGGCAAAAACATCGAGGACGGATTGCATCTCCACAGCGTCGCCTGCTTGGGTGCCTGTGCCATGCATTTCGATGTAGCTAACATCCTTGGGATCGACGTTGGCTTCGTTAAGGAGTTTGTTGAAGATGAAAGACTGTGCTCCGACATGTGGGCGGGTTATAGACACAGCCTCCGCGGAGTGGTTAGTATACGCTCCATTGATGACTCCGATGATGGGGTCGTTATCGGCTTGCGCGTCCTCGAGGCGCTTGAGAACAATGGAACCAACACCATCGGCTCGACAGTACCCATCGGCACCGTCGTCAAAAGTATTGCAGTTACCAGTCGTGGACAGGAAATGCCCACGGTCCAAGCCAGCATGGTTATCCGGATTTGTCAGAATGTTGACACCACCGGTAATCGCGGAGTCACAGTCGTTTCTCCAGATCGCATTGCAAGCCATGTGAATAGCTGCGAGACTGGACGAGCATGCGGTGTCCACACTGACACTTGGACCACTGAACTTGAAGTAGTAGTTGATCCGGCCAGGAGTGAACGCACGGTTGCCGCCCGGGATGAAGTACGTGTCAATATCCTGGCCGCTATTGATTTCACGGTAGTCATCACTGGTCATGCCGTAGAAGATGCCAACGCGGTCTCTCTGAGTTGAGGGAGAGCTGTCGGGAATAAACCCAGCCATCTCAAGAGCCTCATAAGCCGTGAGCAACGCAAGCCGCTGAGCCGGATCAGCTTGAAGCGCTTCTCTGGGTGACATGTTGAAGAATCGGGGATCGAAGAGTCCAGGTTCGTTGATCCAGCAACCGTACTGCACTTTGCTCGTGTTTCTTCTAGCGCCAGTCTCATCGTAGTGGGCATCAACATCCCAACGATCCGCAGGAACCTTGCGATGTACATCAAGCCCCTTTTGGAGGATCTCCCAGAATTTCTCCGGACTCTCAGAGTCAGGGAATCGGCCTGACATACCGATGATAGCAATTTTGGAGCATTCAGTCTTTCCAGTCGAGTTGGGTCTGTCCGCCGTCGACGGAATCTCTCCGATGCCAGTGTCCAGCGAGAGATTGGCGACGCCTGCCTTCTTGAGTGCGGTATGAAGACTTTGGGTCGCGCTGGTAGATATAGGCATAAGACGGCAGGACTGGCTTTGGGATGACTCGATAATGGAGATACATGATTCCGTGACCTTGTCCCAGCAGAGTCGACGCAGTAGGATCTCTTCAATAGCCACCTTGAGAACCTCCTTGATCTTGCTGGCTTCTATGGGTGTGCCGGTCTCGCTGGAAAGCATTTGGATATGTCTGGTGTAATGCGCGATGTTGTCTTGTGGGGATGATTCCAGAATCCGTTCAACGTCTCTGCTGTCATATAGATGTGGGGCATGGTAAGGACCATGGATCGGAACCCTCGTAGGCTTATACTTTCCTGCCAGACCGGTTTCAACAAAGGTGTCCAGGACAGAAGGGGGCGCACTGATAGTGACCCCATTGGAGCTCACTGCGCTGATGTAAGGCTTCGACGACGGAGGAATGGCCTACAGGGGTTAGTATCGTTACCGTGCGTACTGGCAGTGCACTTACCAATCTCGTGCTATAATCTTCGATCAAGCTAGAGGCGCTTTCTTCATTCAACCCAGAAACCAAAACAGACCAGGATGATGAGCTTGCCTCAGAGTCGACAAGCTCGCGAACGCGCAAGACACACAATCCGAGCCGCAGGGCAACCACGACCGTTTCAACCGCGGCGGGAAGGAGCTCTCCAACGTTTCTCGATGCACTGATGGCCGCACAACTGAGAAGACCTGTACATAACCCAACAAGCTGGCATCCATCTGATGGGTAGGCATTTCCCAGATCGCCATAGTAGCTTGGGAGAGATTAGAGTCATCGCGGTGGCTTTGGCGGGAACAAGCTTACTTGAGAAAAGACCCCAACTGGTATATACATGTGAAGGCGCTCTCGAGGACTGGGCTTGGTCCTGATTCACAATATCTGGCGAGCAGATCTATAAGACTTGTGCATCGCGGGAAAATCTTGCGTTGGGCGGGTGGAAGCTTCGAAATCTCCTGGCGTAGAGCGTGGAAAGCTTGTTGAAAGAAGGACTGGACAATAGTATTGTTTTTGGCTTGGATCAGACGGCGCAGACCTGCTTCGAAGTCGCTGGTCTGATCTCCAAAGAGGTAAACATGGTACGGGCCCTCCATTTGTTCGGAGCGGCGTAATCTTCACCAAGAGTAATCAGTCGTTGCTAGAGATCACCTCTCTTGATCGCCTCCTGTTGAAGAGCAGCAAGCTTTATACAGACATAGAGTTGGCCGACATCGTAGAGTGGGGAGAGGGTGTCTCATCTGCGGTATGTTCAGAACTGGTTAAGATGCATTCCCTGCGCATCTAGGGGGTCCGGCTGCTGAGAGTTGATGCCATCGAGTTGGCCCCAGTGCGTAGCATTGCCACATATCCAGCAAATCATGAGGTCAGCAGCGAGTGACAGAATTGTTCTCGAATCCTGTATGATCCGTCTTTGCCCCTCATGGTTAGGATCCCTGATACGATGTCGAGTAGAAGGCGTTGTGAGCCGATGGCACCGTTACTGTGGGCCTGGTTGGCATCCCTATCTGGAGGGGCACTCCATACTTTCACGCATAGAGAATTCTAGACTGGCTGGTTTGCCGTCGGGAGGAAGTGTATGTGGGCTGCTCCCTGCACCTGCAAAGTTGCAGTATGATCGTCAAGGGGTAAGGTATCATTGCCTTAACCCCTGCTTCCACGGATGATCAATCAGCCTAGGCAGCCATATATCCTGGTCAAGATGCTGCAGGAAACTTCAGGGTCCAATGCTTCGCATCGTGGCCGTTGTAAGTGGGGGATGGAAAGAAGACGGTCAGTCAGTATGTTCCGACAGAGGAAAGTCGTGGTTGCCCGGATTCGGCGACGATCAACAAACCCTCCAAAAAGCTTGCATACAATCACGTGTCAGGGCCCGGTCAAGCCTTTGCCTCCTTCTGGTTGTTCGGGCAATCATGCTCTTCTCTCCTCGCTTTACCTCCTCATGGAGCATGAGACACAAAATTCCACGGTACAGGCCGTAAGATTTCTGGCTTGGCGGAATCTGTGGAGCTTACCGGTAAACATGCCTAAAGGCCAGGGGCGCGTGCCTTGTTGTTGGTGAGCTCTCCTAAACCTTGCTTTTTGACACCGCCAAATGAGATGCTCGATGGATTGACTGAATCGGGAGATAGGAATGTGACTAGCGAGGCTTATTGATGTCATGACCAGACCAGATCCCGAGTCAAGATCACATTATCTCCAAGGACGTGCCCGTCATGGGCTTGGCCCAGACAGCCACCATCATGACAACCCATAGATCGAGTCACAATCCTCGACTACACAGCTTTGATGATCCTGCCCTGATAGCACTCTGAGGAAAGAAAGTAAGCTAAACGGGATAAGTTGCCTGGAGAAAACTATGACCATGCCATCAGCAGTTCGTGGGAAATACCCTTATTGATAATGATGTGCGAAGGTATTCCAAGCTCTAGGCACCCAAGTTTCTCCATCCTTCAGTGGCCGGGTAGCTGATAACCATCAATTCAGAATTCCTAGGGGAAGTCATCATTACTATATAACTCTAGAAGTCATTTTCGGGGTATTTATAGCAAAACCAGTGCCGACTGCCAAGTATTATGGTCTCTGAGCCACGAGGGGAGAAGGGCGACGAAGAGATTAGAACGAGGTTAAGAAAATTGTTATGCTGCCCAGTCTTGTCTTGTCTCTGATGGCCTCCGTTCCTTCACATTGGGAATTTCGCGGCGCTAGCCTGCACTGGTCTGATTATAGTACGACTCAACTTGACTTTCGGTCAAGACGGACTTTATTGACTGATCGTGCTCTTTATCAGTGTCTGGAAAATCTTTCGCTAGTCAGTCTGGTCGATGCTATAGTTGTCCCAGTCTAATCAGGTTCCGTAGTCTAGCATATAGCCCAGAGCACGAATGAATGCGGTGGGTCATGTTCAGTGCGCCAAAGATAAGGCCAGATCTGTGACAGCTCATATCAGGTAAAATGACCAGTCACTGGCACTATCGTGCCACACTTTATCTTCAACCGTGCAATATGACACAGCATCAACAAAACCTCCGACGCAGCTCGTTTCTGAGATCCTCAACGTGCTGCAGTTCCGACCCGAGAGATGCAGGTTAACTCAATACGGCATTGGGTTGTCATCACGCAAAAGACTTCTATAATAAGTATGGCATTGGCGGTTCTTTATGTATGTCTGGGGGTTTCCTTCGCCTTCATGAACCCATGGTTGTTTTATCTATATTGTTGAGTCAGGCCCTTATCAAAGTCTGTTGTGTCCTCAAGGTGCACAGATATATATATACATATCTTGTTCCCGCCGGAAGCTGAGCAGTTCACTCTAGCTCGATGAGAAAGTAAATATATGACATTATCGTAGACCCTGGATCCCCGTAGATCATTAGTCTTGGCTTTCTGAGTCAGTAGATGACATCGAGCTGCTCACTGCACCAAGTAACTACTAAGCATCGGACTATTTTCGAAGCTTTGAGGCTCGTGGTTATGACATGTTTCGAGAGGACCTTTTCCCGAGCTTGATTTGCACCCACAAAAATTCAGAGATTTTGGTAACATTCCTGCCTGAGAAAGCATGCGCGACATTGAAGCCATGAGCTTAGTGGCTGTTGAGTAGTCTGCTCAACATATAGACCTAGGGAACCCTCGGCCAAAGTGGCTCACGAGGATCCGAGCAACCAGGACAGACTTTGTTCCACGTCATCTTCGGTCGAAGCAGAACAAATGATGATATTGATGATGAGGAATCACCCTGTGTGATGTCTACGCGGGCAATTTGCCAGCTGTTGTTGTTGGGTGTTTTCATGTTTTCCGAATGTTTGCTTTCTCGCTGGTCTGTATCACAATCCACACTCCTGAGGCGGGCGTGGTAAAATTGACAAGCCTGGTGGTTAGTGGAGCAGGAGGGAGTCAACCATGGATCGTAGATAAGGAGAGACAGAGCAAGATCCAGCGCTGAGCAATCAGGGGGAAGCAAAGAGAGAATTAAGTCGAGGAATGAAACCGACGGCGGCGAAATCAACCACGGGGACTGTGCGCAATAAGCTTATCGATAAGCCGCCCGCTAATCCCGATCCGGTGCCCACGTAAACACCAAAACACCGATCGGGCCTCACCGTTCAGTTCAGCTTCCCGTCTCTCTCTCTTCCTCTCTCTCACACACCTTCAATCATCCCTACTACCTCTCTCTCTCTCTACCTCTTTCACATCCACTCTCGCTTCTACTTCCGCCACTTCCTCTTCCAAGTCGCGTCTCATCTTACTCGTTCTTTTGCGTTTACGTCCTCCTTCCCTCCCCCCCACCCCCCACACTTTCTCTCCCGCGGTGTTCTCGGTTCTTTCTCTCTCTCTCTGTTATGACCGAGGCGCCCTTCTTCCCCATCACTGCTGCATGAGAGCAGTCTCCTGCCCCGTCGCATTCCACTTACCCACTGTCCCTGGAATCTGATACATCATTCCAATTCACCCACTTGCAGTCTACCATGCTTGGGTTTGCAGCTCCACCTCATTGTTCTTGATGTTCTCGTTATTGTTGCTTGATTGACCCACAGCGCGCCTTGCACTAGACCCGTGTCGTTACTTTGTATTGTCCGGTTCCATCTCAACCTAAACGAGGGAGACCTTCCTCGATCGACGTGACACCGAGACCAGGTTAATCTTTAATTGTCTCTCACTATCGGAAGTTTCTTGGTGCATCCGCCGTCGCAATGGCGCCCGCCGCCCCCCAACTCCCCACTCGGTTTCCATGCTGGTGTCGAGCCATATACTCGTGGGGAGGAGAGACGAAACGGGACTTAGGGTTTGTGGAGGGCGATCTGATTGAGTGCTTGAATGCAGGAGATGGACAATGGTGGATGGGTCGATTACGGCGCGACAGGCGCATGATGGGGCTGTTCCCGTCCAACTTCGTGGAGGTCCTCGGCGAGGACTTCGTGCCTGTCACCAGATCGACAAGTCCCATGATCTCCGCCACGGTGTCTCCGATCACGAACCCCACGTCGGCGCCAAAGAAGCAGAAGACAGTCTTTCGCAAACCATTCCAAGCCCATAAAGAAGCTCTTGCGCCTACCGGCGAGCTGTCTCGAGGCGGCATGTCGTCGTCCCCGGTGATGGCAAGCTCGATCCCACAGACACCGCCCCGAGATGGCAGTCTGTCTCGAAAGGTCAAACCATTGCGAACACCGACCACGGCAGTGAAACATCAGAGCTCTGTATCCAGGCCGCCCTCGCGATCGCGGCCTCCTTCACGCGCAGCTTCGCCCCGTCCTCCAGCTGAACCGGATCCGCTTCTCTCATCCAGCGCCCCCGCTCCATATAACTTCCGCATGAGACCGCCATCTCGAGCAGTATCACCTTACCCGTCCGATAGCCCCCGCAACAGACCCCATCATCGTGCGGTATCCCCGTATCCGTCCGATAATCCCGAGCTGCATATGCCATTGGTCCCTCCGGTGCGAACGACCATGCATCCCACCCCCCCATCTCATGCCGCGTCCCCACATATGCCTGCCGATTACGACTTCCTGCCCTCCTCATATCCGGATAGACACAGTATATCGATACCTGGGCGCTCCTCACGAGAGATCTCACCCTTACAGCTTCAAGACCGTGAGGAATCTCCGCCCCCGCCGCCCCCGCCGCATCGTGTGGCGGTATACCGTCAGCCATCTCCGGGGCCACTGGTCCCCTCGCGGCTGGATATGAACGACCGCTATGCCACCATGCCCAGGACACCATCTCCTGCTGCTCACTCGGAAGGCCACGGTCATACGCCCTCTCCACTACGGGATGCAATGGAGGACGTGATGACTTCCCTGGAGGATATGGGCCTGTCTCGAAGCACGCATTCACCGTCGCCACAGCCACAGCAAATGTTCAACAACCCCTGGTCGCCGGATGCTTATGAAGAATTGGGATCCAGTCGACCGCTGCGGACATCCAACCGACCCGTGACATCCATGGGCTTTGACGGATACAAGGAATACCCACAACACAGTAGCCAAAAACATCGGAACAGTGTTTGGACCCATGACCCCTACCTTGAAGGCCCACCGCAATTGAACAACTACGTACAAAGAATGGAGAGCCGTCTTCGTCAGATGCAGGAACAAAATCGACAGGACTCGGAGGAAATCCAGCCGGAGGAAGATGAAGAGCCCCCGCCGCCGCCTCCAAGAGGCGTTCCGTACCATGGCCGGCATAATTCAATTCCAGCCCAGTACCCGTATCTACGAGGACGCCGGTCGGGACAGGATCTCCGTGAGGACTTGCTCAATCGCAGTTATACCAACAAGTCCAGCACCACAACTTCCTCGAGTGGTGTGCAAAGCATTAGCACGAATATCACGGCTAGCACTGAACGAACCAACTTCAGCGTCATGAGCGGGCCATCCGCGGGTGGATTCAGCGCAACAAGTGCGGGAAGCTACGCTAGGAGGATGACGCCAGCCGAACGACCAAATACGGCTACGGATACTTTCCGCTCCAGGGGATTCAGCGATGTGTCTCGAGTGTCTAGGCCTGAAACGCCACTCACAGGGATATCGTATCATTCGAGCCACAATACCTCTCGGCAGGGTGCGTCGTCCGCCATTCCGTGGTCGGCCGCTCAAGCTGCACCGGAAGAGACCGCGGGGGTGTTTGGGGGTTTGTCTACCCCCAAAGCCAAGAAGCCTGGGTTCTTTAAGAAGATCTTCGAGTCGGCCAAGACGGGTGCAGCTAATGCTAGGAGCAGTATCGCGGTCGGCCAGGGTCCTGGTACGTTCTCTCCCAATAAAGGACGGGGAATCTCGCCGATTCGCGCCTTGCAGTCCAGCCGAGACTCTGTTCGAGATACCGGTAGCGCCTCGGCCATAGACTGGGTCCAGGTACGACGCGATGTCAATCGTGCCAGCTCCCCCAGTCACAATGAACGAATCGAGAGAGCGGAGCGGTGCCAAATGATGGATCATCCTGTTATCTACGCGGTGGAGGAACTCAATGAGACAGCCGAAGGGGACGAGAGCATCGACGGGTTGCCGATCAGCGAACCGAACAATTTTGGATCCTTTAACCTGAGTCTGGTCGACAAGAGCGCTCGCTTCGTCAATAGTCTTCCTCCCATGGCTAACCCAGCCAGCTTAGCCCATGGATATGTGTGTCGACCGTACAAGAGTGATATCCAGCGACTGCGGGCTATTTTCACCTGGGTCAGCGAGAAAATTGCCTGGGATGAGCCGGTTGAAGAGATCGGGATCGATCTGAAACGCGTGCTCCAGACAAAACGAGGAAGCCCTCAGGAGGTCGCGTTCTTGGTCAAAGAGATGTGCGCCGCCGTCGGTCTCCATGCTGAGGTTATTCGAGGCTTTCTGAAAACTCCCGGGGAATTGCATGAATATGACGGCCTTGCACGCGCGAACCATTGGTGGAACTCAGTACTCGTGGATGGCGAATGGCGCATCATGGATTGTTCTCTAGCCAGTCCTACCAATCCGCAACGGAACCAATTTGTCACCAATAACACATCTGTGGCGGAGAGTTGGTACTTCCTAGCGCGTCCACTCGAGATCTGCTACACCCACATTCCTCTCTCACCCCACGAGCAGCACATCTGCCCGCCCATCTCGCCGGATGTGCTGATGGCTCTCCCGGCGGCATGCCCGCCGTACTTCAAGTTAAACATGCAGTTCCCCGACTATGATACCAGCGTGGTTCGAATTGAGGGACTCGAGGTCATGCAGATCCGTCTTCTCGTTCCTGCAGACGTCGAATGTGCAGCCGAAGTCGAGGCTCCAGGCTTTGCCTGCGATGCCGACGGCGACTGCTTCGAGAGCGGGGAGACAGTGAAGAAGCGGGCTCTGGTGCAGCCTGACTGGATCAATGGACAGAAACGGATCACCGTCAAGGCTGTCTTACCCGGGGATGAAGGACAGGGCATGGTTAAGATTTATGCGGGCAAGAAGGGCCTCATGCACTCCAGTCGAGACATCCCTCATCCGCTGGCTCTTGCCCTTCCTCTCATCCACACTGGAGACAATCCGCCCTATGATTTTGTGCTCCGCCACCCGACTCCTCACGCCCAACGGCACGACCTGTACATCATTCAGCCCCAGTGCGCCAAACTGGCCGTCAGCAATACCTTCGTGTTCGCAGTCCGCCAGCATCCCGCTTCGGCCCCCTACCACCCGGGAGGCAGCGATCTCGGGCCGAGTGGTCGTGTGTCGCCGTCGGTCTACTCCCGACCGGCCAGTGCCTTGAGCATGGTTTCCAGCTCCGCCGGGGGGTCGTCCGTCTCCGCCGTCTCCAACGAGTTCTCGGCCTCCACGTCGGCCATCTCGTCCGGACGCTCGTTGTCCGGCCGCGAGAAGCCCGCCAAGCTGGCCATCCAGTCTCCCTCGGGCAAGATTCTACGGTTAACACGCAAGGCTGACCACATGATCAGCTCCAACAGCCTGGCAGACTCGGCCACGGATGCCACGGCCGACGGTAGCGTGTGGGAGACGGTGATCAAGATCGGAGAGCGAGGTATCTGGCGAGGCTTAGTCCTCGCCGACCGTGTCGCGCGCTGGTGTGTATTTTGCGAGTGGGAATGCTACTGAGCAGTAGCGCCGGATACTTCCCTGTGCGCAACCGCTTGTATGCCTACCTATGCTCACTCGCTTTCCTGATTCACATTGCTCCATACCATCCATGAGCGGACGAAGATCCCTCCCAACCAAGCGAAACAAAACAACCCGCATAAACTTTTTCTTCATCTATCTCCTTACCGTGATGGTTAGTTACATTTGAAATTGTTCGCATCTTTTGTCGTGTTTGAAATCTTAGCACCCTTGCATGGTCGCATCGACATTGATTTTTCTGCACTTTGCATCCGCATCTCTGCAGTCGGTAGCTGCAGGGCTGTACATCGTTTCTTTGTTGCTTTGCTTTGCTTTGTTCTCCTTTTGCATGGCAACTGGAAGGGCCGGGGGGAAGGGACTGTTACTGTAGCCGTGTGTCCCTTTGCATTTGAAAATTGGGGATTGATTTATCCCTTACTCTGGGCATTATATAACCATAATTCCCGAATCTTTCCATCCGCGGCGTTATCCGGTTTTTCTTTTCCTTTTTTTTTTCTTTCTTTGTGTTCGTTTCCCAATAGCAAGCAAGCAAGCAAGTGAGTGGAGTGAACTGTTGCATGCATGCATAACCAGTATGCGCCTGTGTATTATTGTATGATGTTGAATGATCTACGGCTGGTCACATAGATACATGAATATTTGAGGTTGAGAGTTAGATCTTTTGAATCATTAGTAGTTGTCTATATCGAGGCATAAGCAAGTTACGTATGTATATACACTAGACCAAACCAACGCTAGATACACCACAACCATCAGACTTACCTGGAGTTGAAAACTCAACTCAAACAGACCCCACCGCCTCCCTAAGCAAAGGCGCAACCTGCTTCCGACTCTTGGAGACATCGCCCTGCACCCACACCCCCTTCCATATGTCGGTGGTAGACTCGCGCTCAAGCGCCACCCGGACCTCGCGCACCACATCCTCATCGTCTGGCGACAACGCGCGCCACTCCTCCAGCCCTAATGCCGTCTGCGCCCGCTCCACAAACACCCGAACACCCTCCACGGCAACCTTTCGGTTCCGGTCAGGCACACAAACCAGAAGTTCGCGCGCGAACCGGCCGCGCTCTTCCTTTCCCTCCGCTTCGGTTGCCGAAGAAGAAGAAGCCGAAAAAGCAGTCATCACCACAACGACATCCAGCTCGCGCTGTGCAGCGAACGTCTCCAGAACCTCCCAGAACCGCGCAGGGGTATCTGCTTTGCGAATCACCCAGGGAAGGGACTTGACGACGGAGCAGATGCCTATCTTCACACCGCGAGGTGCGTTCTGATGATTATCCGGGGAAGAGGAGTGCGATACCTTACCCGCGTCCCCCTCATTCTTCTTCTTAGAAGAAGTGGAAGGAACAACAACCCACTCCTTATAATCCCTTCCCAACACCTCATCAACAGTCAACAACTCGAGACTATTCTCCTTAGCGTGCGCGATCAGTCGATAGAGCGCGTTATGGTCCCATGCTTGCTGTCCCGCGGCTGCTCCCGCCCCGTTCCCATGGAGCTCACCACTACCACTCCCACCACACTCCCCAACAGAATTGATCTTCGCCCGTAGGAAGCTATAAGAGAGGGTATCTGCATCCGTGACCTTCTCCTTGGCGGTGAAGTTAGCGGTATCGATTAGTATAGGCGCTAGAGCGAGCTTGCTGAGTTGTTTTCCGTGATGCCTTCGGCGTGTGTCTTCTTCGGTTGTTGAGGGGGGAGAAGACGGAGATGAGGGCTGAGAAACCCACCGCCCCATTCGCTCTAACATGCTCACTACTAACGAGGTGCAGGATCCCGTGGGTTGAATGAGGAAGGGTTGGTCGGCTGCGATGGGGGGGAGGAAGTGCTCGTCCGCGTGGTGGTCGATGCAGCCGACGACGTTGAAGGTGATGTCCGAGAGGCCGGGGAGCGTGCCCTGGCCCCGTGCGGTGGGGTGGCGGTTGGGCAGCGCGTTCCAGTCGACGAGGATGGCGTCGATGGGTGTAGATGGGAATCTGCCATTGTTTTCCGGGAGGTGGGTGAGGTGCGCGGCGAAGTCGGCGACGGTTAGGATGTGGTTGTGCAGATCTTTAGGTTGTTGCTCCGGGTGCGTGGCGAGGCGGAGGGCTTCGATGAATTCAGGACGTAGACGGCGGAGTTCGGGCCCGGAGGGGACATCGGCGAGGTTGATTAGGGGGACGTGAGGGCGTGGGTGTTGGTGGGTGAAGTAGGCGTAGACCAGCGCGGAGATGATCGAGTCCAGGTCCGCTGACGGGTTGCCGATGACGTAGATCGGGGTGTCTTCCGGGCGGGTGATGCGGCCGGTGAGGAAGCGGTGGTGAGTCTGGAGGGATTGGGCCAGGAATTGGAAGAGGCTGCGGTCGAGGGCTCGCATGATGATGTTGGAGGAGGAATGGCGATAATGAAGCTGTAGAGCAGAAATGTCGAGATTATTCTGACGGATTGCAATCAACATTGTCATACTGGCAGAATCTCACCGCCGGCATTTCCCCTCATACTTGGTAGAGTACTGTACATTGAAGCTACAACCACTAACTACAGCACCTACACTACAATACAATTCAAACAAGATCAATGAACAAAACACTGATTGAAGAAGATACCATTGACCCAGTACCCTCTTCATCAGTGAGAATCCACTGTTCCCAGGGCAGCCCCACAAACCATACCACTCAGCCCTCTCCTCCCCGCACTGTCTCTATCAATCTATACGATCTGATATCAACCCCTCTACCCCCAACCCTCTCACCCCACCCCCAATCACAATATCAGAAACAAACAAGAAAAGAAAAAATGACATTCCCCCTCCCAAACCCCCTATCCCAAATCCCCCGACACCCACTACTATACGCACATCCCTCACCGCTGCACCCACTCCCAACCCTGACCAAACACTTCACCCGCAAAACCAGCCAAAGCAAAATCCAAATAACCCTACACACCAAACGCGAAGACCAAGCCTCCCCGCTCGCCAGCTCAGGCAATAAATACCGGAAACTCGAGTACATAATCCCGGATATCCTCTCTCCGACGCCGAAATATGGGGGTTTAGGATCGGGTCCGGACCGGGGGAGTGCTGCACCACCAACATCAAGCGTGGTCACGGACCCCAGGCCCAACTCCCAAAACACAACAACATCAACGACAACATCAAGCAATACGAAAACAAAAACAACAACCCTAGTAACAGAAGGCGCCCTCCAAAGCAACCACACCGTCCAAGTCGCAGCCCTGGCGCGACACCTAGGTCTCGACGCAGTGGTGATCCTCCATAAAGCCACGGGAGGCGGGTGGGGGGCGTCGTCGGACCGCCGGGCGTTTGCGCGGACGGGCAACGTGCAGATTGCGCGGTTGCTGGGGGCGGATGTGAGGGTTGTGGAGGGGTCGAGTGTTGCTGCTGCTGCCTCGAAATCAGCCTCTTCAACTGGTCCTGGTGCTTCGAGTGCAGCAACTCAAGACACTAGTGGTCAACATGAACCACCGGAAGAGAAAAGAGAAGACCCCGTAGCCTCAACGCTCCACTCCCTACAGCATAACGAGCAAAAGGTTCCCTACTGGATCCCTTCAGGCGCGAGTCTTCACCCGCTCGGTGGACTGGGGTATGCGCGCTGTGCGTTCGAGATTGTGGCGCAGGAGGGGCATCGGCAGAATCAGGACCTGCCGGACTTGAACACGAACCTGCACTCGATCTCGAAAGCGAATGGGAATGAAAAGCAAAGAATGGACTATATCTTCGTCGCCTGCGGCAGCGGGAGTACGCTTGGCGGCTTGATAGCCGGGTTCAAGCTTCTGGAGAAGATGGAGAGGGAGAGCACATCCACGACCACGCGACAACAACGACCTCCCCGAAAAATCATCGGCGTCCTAACCTCCCCCACCTCCCCAAAGTCCTACCACGAGGAGCGCGTGCTGCGGTTCGCGCGACAGGCCGCCGGGCTCATCGGGCTGGATCCGCTCGCGGACATCACGCCGGCGGACGTGCGGCTGGAGGACCGGTTCGTGGGGACCGGGTACGGGGTCCTGGACGCCGAGACCAAGGCGGCGCTGGAGACGATGGCGCGCACCGAGGGCGTGCTTGTGGATCCCGTGTACACGGCCAAGGTGGCGCGGGCGATGATGCACTGGGTGCGGTCGGGCGAGTTGGAGGCGGACTGGCGATGTTCGTTTAGCGGTGGGCTTGCGGAGGAGGAGGATGATGATGATGATGATGATGATGATGGCATCCAAAAAAGCGGGCCCGTCAATGTGCTTTTTATCCATACCGGGGGCCAGTCGGCGTTGAGTGCGTATGCGGACGTTGACTGAAACACCGTTGCGTGGAAGCATGAAGTCAATGTTCGGATCAGGAACTCAAAGAAAGGCGCATGGAAGCAACTATCCCAAGATCTGTGAACCGGGCTTACGAGGAAAAAGGGTAGATGGCCACCTACAGTCACTAACAGCAGAAAGATCAAGTTTGATAATCATAATAATAATACCACGAAGAAGATAGGGGACTAACAGTGTACATTAGGCCTAAAAGCCATCAACAAGACAGAATTAGCAAAGCGTTTGGACCCCTGCTCGCCAGGCCCTTTTTGGTACACCGAACAATTATTAAAGCACCGTAGTACTCGAAAACACACACCAGACACGTCAACACCGTTACCCATTCATGAACCACACACAGAAAACCACCTGAAGAAGGCTTTAGAAAACGCCGCAGAATGCCGGAGTATAGAATGTCAAGAAATCTAAGAAGGAAATGAAAGGAAGAGAGGAAGAAGCGCGCTTATTCAATTTCGTCCACGTCCACGTGACCGTTGAGTTGTTCATCATCGGACCCATCATCCGGAAGGTGCTCGGAATGGCTCTCCCCGTTGCTCACATCAAGAACCTCCAGTGCTTCGTTAGCATGTGTATTCTCCATGGGCTCCGGCTCTTGCTCCGGATCTTGATCGCCCTCCGTATCCTGGTTGGTGAGGTCGGCAAAAACATCGTCCAGGTTCTGCCGAGGACTACTGTCAAACGGATTCTCAACATCCACACCGGGAGGGCCATCGGGATGGTCCCGAGTGAATCGCGGGGAACTAAACAGAGAGGTTTCGAGTCCCTGATGGTGGAGGGAAGGAGAGCGAGGAGGGAACGGAGGCGAGTCGGCCGATGACACATGGGGCAAGAAAGCAGAAGAGCCCGGGGCGAACGCCGGCGTCGAGTCGCTAGCGGAAAGCGTGTAGCTGGCGGAGAAAGGATATGGCGGATTTTGCGAGTCGCCCATGGTCAAGGTAGGCCCTGACTCCGAGTTGGAACCGTCACCGACGCCAGGCGAGGGCTGAAGCAGGGTAGGCCGACTCGGAGTAGCATCAATAGACTTGCGCTTGACAAGGTTGGGCTGCTTCGAGCGCAGGTGCGGGGGAAGATCTTCTGGCCGCTCCACACCAAGCTGTGCCATGATCTTCTGCTGCTTGGTCGGACGAGGCTTGCGGGTGGAAAGCGACTGCTCCAAGATCGGCGGGGCCTCTGGGGCAATCGGGGCCCATTTGTGGATCTCCTGACGGAAGAAGTTGGTTTCGTACGCCAACAAGACCTCCGCTCCCTCGATCTTGCGCAAGTAGAAGATCAGCGTTGGCACCTCCTCGGTAGTCGTGCAGGCAGCATTCGTGAAGCTCTGAAGGAAGTCGCGGAATGTGGTTGCTTGATTGACGATGTTGTCCAGGATTTCCTCCTCGTCCGGTTGGAAAGGCAGGCCAGGCATCTCGGCCTGCCACTCGAGGAGATCCTCCAGCTTTGGACGAGCAGCATCCCTAGGAATCTTCTGCCGCCAGTCGCAGATGGGGCATGTATACTTGTCAAATTCCTTGACTTTGCCCCGGGCAATCTTCAAACACTTTCCATGATACCTGTGACTCATGTTAATGGCGCTTCCACAGGGCCACAACTCACTGAACTTACCACTCATGACAGACCTCGCACTCGATCATCATGCCGGCTTCGGAGTGTCGACAGATGCAGAACACATCGCGCTTCCGTGATTTCCCCCCACCCCACATACTGGGGGTAGGGTTGCTCTCCAGCAGACCATCCGGGCTATTGTCCCTCGACGCAGGCTCAACAGGAGGCCGGCAACGATCCTCCAGGTCAAAGCAATAGGAGTTTCTCTTCTCCACGTACTCCATATGAGACTTGAGGATATGCAAGGGGGCATTGGCTTTACCAAAAAGCTTTTTACCCTTTCGCATCCAGTCTTCATGGCGCTTTTGCTCCCGCTCAAGGTCAAGCGCACCGGTCGGCCGACTGTTCAATTCTTCCAAGGACTCCATGAGCTCCCGAACTTCTTTGTACTTTGGACGTTTCCGAAAATCCGGATCCTTGCTTCGCTCATACAAGCTCTGTATCCTTTTCTGCGCCTCACGTTGCTTGGTTAATATGGCATCTACAGCGGCAAGGGTCTCGGGGGAGACAGGGAAGCGGGACGCCTGCGCGGAGAGAGCCTCCAACTGCTGGTAGTGCACGGATTCCACAGCCATTAGTTCTTTGGCTTTCGCTTCCCAGGCCTCACCGTGGCGACAGAGTTCCTTGAGGTAGAGCAGGTGATCATTGGTGTCCGACAGTCCCAGTTGCTCGCCGGCGAGAATCAGGTCCTGGCAGTCCTTGAGGGTCAAGTATTGGTCGCGCTTGCGGCGCGCTTCTTCGTTCCATTTCATTTGTCGGAGAATGTGCTCTAGGTTTTCAACCTCGGGTATATCCACGTTGAAATTGCGAGAGGATTCCACCAGATCTTCGACTTCCTGGACCGATCGGATGTGGGGGTTCATGAGGGCAACGTTAACGTCCTGGCGGAATTTCTCGATCTCGCGGGTCTTCTCTTCCAGTGCCGCCATCTGTGGACAGTCGAACGACAGTTTATCAGCCTCTGCAAGAAGGGCGTAGATGTTTTCTACTCTGCGAACTTCACGATCACGTTCTTCCAGCTGCGCAGCCTTGGAAGTACCCTTGCGCCACGCCTTCTCGTTCTTCCTCCGGTTTTGCTGTTTGCGGGTAATGTAATTGGTTGCTTCTTCAACCCATTTATCGCAGCGCTGGACAAAGGCCGCGAGATCTGGGAGACCAGGCAAATGGTATGGGATTTTCTCACCTTCGCTAAGTAGGTTATGGAGGACCTTCAATTGGGGTTTGGGTTCGTCTTCTAGGATGTAGTCGAGTTTCTCTCCCCATGCCTCGGGGATCCTGGCGCGTTCCTGGACTTTCGATACCACGGCCTTCAAGGTCTCATCGCTCATGCGATAACGGAGTACGTGATCCGGGCCCAGCAATCTTTCCGTTAGTGACTCTCCGCAGCAGTTGTATGTTTCGGCGTGTGGCAGACACACGGTCTTCCCCGTCTTCTGACATCGAAACTGCGCAAGATAGGTATACGCCTTGCAGTACTGGCATTGGTAGTCATCTTCAGGCAGGTCTTCCTCCTCGACAACGAATCTCAGGTGGCAGTCACCAGTCCCCGGTTCCTCGGAGTAGAGTGTGCAATTGTGCGGAGCGGCCTCACGATGGCGTGCGGCGAAAGTAGCCCTGTCGTTTAACTCCCGGGCGCAAGTACGTTGCAGGGCCGGTGCCAGCCACTTGGCGGTGGTGATAGACGAATCGCGAGCGGCAGCGGTCAGCAGCAGCTCGTCGTGCGAGAAGCACGGGTGCCGCCGAAAATCTTGCAGGCGCAAGACACCCCTAGCGCCCCAGGGCTCCCAGTCCGCCGGGGCGAAATTGACAGCTTCATTGAAATTGAAGCCATGGTTGAAACCGGCATGATATGCCTGAGGAAATGTGATGACGAATTGACCGGCGCGCTGATCGAGGGCGTAGACTCTTACCCCGGCTTTCTTGAGCTGGTCGGGCGGCATCAATGTGACCAGCTGAAAGAGGAGGTCCGGCTGGCCCTCGAACAGTTCGGGTACTGCTTGCCGCATTGCCTCTTCAAACGCCTCTGCATCAGCGCCAGGGATACCATACCAGGTTTTGGTGGCACCAAAGTGCTGGTAATTGGCCGAATACGCGTAGTGGTCCTCGTTGTGCCAACAGAAGGTTGAGAAGCACATGCCAACATAGACCCAGGGAACCGTCATCCCGGAGATGTCGGACTTGATGTGACGGAAGAGAGAGTCCCCATGGAACGGCAGAACATTCAAATTCCAGGGGTCAACAGAATAGGGGTCCAGCGGGTTGCGTTCGATGGTAGGAAACCCACTCCCGTGAGTGGTGGAATGGATATCGGCGCCATACTCAACCTCAACGGTTTCCGTCAAGCTTTCAACCAGTCGCCAAAATTCACGCTCGACATCGTCTTCAGACTCGCGTCTATGGGTGTTGAGGACAGGATCGAATGGCATTTTGGATGCAAAGTAATTCTTCTTGAATGTATTTGCTTTTTCCTGGAACTGTTTAAGCGAGTAAACTCCGCCTTCTTCAAACCCGAATTCCCCAGTGCCAACGAGACACTTGGGGCAATGCCAGTCATATTCTGGAGTGGTCGTAAGAGGCGGATCGAGGCAAGACTTGTGGTACCCATGATCGCAACTATCACAGAGCAAGATCGACGGTCGGTCCTCGGATTTGCCACAAACTTCACATTTCTGGTACGAGTTAGCAACTTGCGCTATGCCCGGAATTAGGACAAACGCTTACATCTCCATTCTTGCGAATATCCGTCTTGCGTTGCCGGGGCGGGGCAGGACGGAGAAGGCTCATATGACTTCCAGAGATAGTCGGCAGAGGCGCATCTGATGCAATTAGTCAAAATCCCGCGAAACTCACAGCAAAAAAAAAAAAACCAAAAAAAGTGACAAGTACCTTTGCGAAGACGCTTGCTGCGACGGCCGTTGGCATCTAGTTCGCCACTTTCGGTCTGAGAACCACTCTCGTGGCTGACCGCGCGCTTCATGGGCGGAGCCCCGTGGCCATTGGCCGGGTGTTCAGCCACACTTTTCGGGGTGAGTGACCCATTGTCGGCCTCGCGTTTGACCGCTGGGGCGCTATTTACCGCCACAAAGGATGGCGAGCGGTTAACGGCCGTGAAGCCACCGGAAGTATTAACGGCCGTGAAGCCGGACGCAATCGGTCGAGGCGGTGTAGGCTCGACTGGAGGAGTGGGTTTCTCCGGGGTCGCTTCAACCTCCCTCGATGCAATGACAGGAGCGCTTGCAATAGGTTGCGGCGTTGCCGATGGAGTGCCATTCTCGAATGGAGCTGGTCTCTTCGGCATCGGCGACTGTTGAGGCGACGGTGTATATGGACCACCGTGCTCCAGCTCCAGTTGTTGCTGGACCCCGGGCTTAGCCACCCGTAGATATTCCTCGTATGGCTGCAGCCATCTTTGATAGGAATTTTTGAGAGAAGTCGACAAGGAAGACATAATTTTGCCACTGTAGCCTAGATCGCGACCGATCTCGGCCCATTTCTTCATCTTGCAGACCGCGTCGAAGCCCCCGCGCACCTCGACCGCCTTTTTCAGTTTATACAAGTCCAAGGGACGTTTGTCGACGCTGGGGAAGCGGTTGAGGTTGGTACCATGTTGCTTGTGGAACTTGGCCAGCTGATCGAGGTAGTTCAAGTTTGCACGGTTCCCTGGCTCCGGGTCAGAACTGGGCTGCGGAGCTCCACCGGCGGCAGACGTGGCTGAACGCGGGGGCATACCTCCTTCGACCGAGTTGAGCTCCTGTCGACGGGTTTTGAAATGAAAACGCTAAGGAAGTGGTCTAGTCAGCCGCATCGCTCTTGTGAGGCAGGTAAGGCCGGGGTGGGGGGCTCTTCCCACTAAGAGAAGGAGCAGAGAACAGCCACGCCGGCCAACGCACACAAAAACCTACCTCGGTGTCTATCGCGAAGGGGGGTTGCCAGCCCTCCGGGGGGATAATTCTGCAAATCCCATATTTACTAGCCTCCGGCGCGATTCTGCGAATGTATGCTTCAGGGTCTTTGAAATCCTCCTCTGTCGGCCGGTAAGTTGGTGCCTCTTCCAACCCGTGAGGCCGGATCCGTTTTGTAGGCTCCCGGGGAGCATTGGGTTGGCCGCGTCGCTCGACAGTCGACAGGTCGAGGGGCGCGGATCGTCGAGCGCTCAAAGGAACATTGTGGGAATGCGAAGGATGTGTACTGGAGGATCGGGTGGGTAGACGACTCGCTGCAGGCTGAATGCCCGTGGAGATGTCTCCTGTTGAGGCCGGAGCCACCATCTCTTAGAGCGAAGGCCTCGTCGAGAGGAGGGCGAATTTGCGCGTAGAGTTACCGCGGACGGAAGGGGGCCAGCATCCGATGCGAAAAACACATGGATGGAGGCCGAGCCAAGAGGAAGGAGAGGATTGTAAGCAGCAGTAGCAGCAGAGGGCGGTCAGTAGGAGTGTAGACGAAGATCTTGGAGATCGGATGATAAGATGGGGCGGGAGGGTAAGAACTGGAGGGAGGGTCGAGGAAGAAAGTGGAGGAGGGATAATTTGATGATGGGGGGGGAGTGGGTGGGAAGGGAAAGGGTAAGTAAGTTAGCCAGCAGCAGATGCTCCAAGGGAAGGCCGAGATGAACCCGGGAGGGTTAGTGTGGAGATCCTCGGAAAAGGAACAAGAAGTCGATCAAGCTGGCTGGTATCGTGCCCACGAGAAACGACGGTGCTGGGGGATGCTGGGGCAGGTGGGATGGATAAGACGCAGGCGAAGGTGGTGAGGGAAATCGTAAGCAATAACTGATACAATACTGATTCTCAGTTGCCCCGTTGAAGAAGGATAGTTGTTGAATGTAGAGGAAGAAGAAGTCGTAGTAGGCGTAGTTAGTAGTGATAGTAGTGATTGGTAGTGGTTATCTAGCCTGAATATGGGGGGAAAGCTTGGGTGAGAAGAGAGTTAGCAGCAGCAGCAGTGACGATTGGCAGATGGCTGTAGCCGGATGTGGTAGTGTAGTTCAAACAATCAAATCAAATCAAATTCAATCCAGAGAGAGAGAGAGAGAGAGAGAGAGAGTCTGGTGCAGTGGTGAATGCAGTGAGTACTGCTGTAGTAGGGACTACCATGAGTGACTTGCTTACCTTGGCAGAGGACAGAGGACTCACTCGACTGGCCCAATGTTGGTGCTGATTGTGCATTGACAGACCTTGTTGAAGGGGAAAGGGCCGTGAAGAGAGAAAGCTAGGCTGCCCAGAAACGAAGGCGAAAAGAGAGTTTGGCAGAGGGATTGAAGAAGGACCGACACTCATTCAAATTGAGGTAATCCATGAATGGCCCGGCGCAATCACCACGGTTTCAGGGCCTCAGGCCGGGTAATTGTTGTATGTATGTATGGTAAGATATCTCCGCCCGCAAACGGTGATGTAACAAGAACAACCACTAAACCGGGCTCGGACAAGAGGGAATTTTCTCTTCTCTCTCTTTCCCTGCCCAGTGCCAACCCAGCCTTTTCCTTCCTTATACTCCGTATGGTCCGTCCACATTGATCGGTTTCAGTGGTCTTGGCCCTGCCTGGCATGAAGATGAAAAGGGACTGACTCCATTGAGCAGGCATGCATTGTCCCGAGTATACTCCGCGTTGTAGTAGTAGATAGTACTACTCAGTAGATCTCGGGGATCTCCCTCCATTCTGCTGTCTACTTGTTCTTTTCTACCTTGTTATACCAGGATCCATTCTCCGATCTATCAAAATTGCCATAGCAAGATCATTCAGCCAGGCTGAATAGGGAAAATGCCCACGACGGCCTCCCCTCCCCCCCCCCCCCCCCCCCCCCGGCGGGGGTACCGTTAGGCCTGTACTGTATGTTGGCAGTGACCGTACGATTACAGAGTGGCCGGTTTCTGCTAAGCTTAACTACATACTAAGTAACTCACTAGCCTATCTTGTAAAGTCAAGTTGAACCTCCTTCCAGGTCTGTCTCGCTCCCAGCAGGCTTTCCCTCCCAGCCCTCACATTTCCGAAGGAATGTCAAATGATGACAAACAGGATGCTGTTCTTGGCTTTCTCAACTATCAACCGGAATACTGGAAGTCATGTGTCCCGGCTTCTAGAAACCAGGCATGAGAATACATTCCACACTTCGGGGGGAGGGGGCGTGTATATGACACGTCAATCCATGGTCCGGAACCGACCAGAAAATAAATGTGTGTGTGTGTGTGTGTGTGTGTGTGTGTTCTCTGATAGCCCATTCCCCCAACCCGACGAGGGCTATGGAATTCGGAGAATAGGAAGAGAGGGAGAAAGAAAGGACTTGGCTGGTCTTATCCCAACCAGGCAGGGCTCCAGTTCCTGGTCTGAGAAAAATCAGGCAATGCTCTCTCGCTCTCTCTCTCTCTCTCTCTCTCTCTCTCTTCCCCTTTTACCGATCCAGCTGAGGCACGACTAGCTAGTCGAGCCGAGTCGCGCATACTATGCCTATTTGATAATCACATGCACTCAATTTATTATAACTAGACTACGGAATACTCAGTCCCTCCCCAACGGCAAAACACCCTTTGGCATGTGGCCAAAGCGGATCCCCGCAATATACAGTAACTGCCGTTCTGATAAGCAGGTGGTGGTGGTGTTTTCTGCTGCTGTGTTCGCAGATGAGGAATCCGGACATTCCAGCTGCATGGTTGACCTGCAGCTTCCATCGGCTGTGCGCCTCTCGGGTTAAATTGGGCAGAGGATTCATTCATGATCATGCAACGTCGCCGGCGACGAGAGGCGTGCTTTTTCACTGGGCTTGGCATATCCTATCCTCTCCTCTCCGTAATTGCTTGTTCCTGCCAGAGAATTGGTTTGTGCAGCCTTTGTCTGGTTCGTGTTGCGGATGGTACCTGACGGGGTCCGGGTCATGCAATACTGATGTCGCGCCTCAGGCACTTGAGGAGCGGTGGTCCGAGCCGCGTTGTGCCTCCAGGCAATGCCCAGCCTTGATGCACATCCATCCATCCATGTAAACATGCATTAGAATCTAGTGACTCCTACCGCGTAGACTATGGCCAATGAGCTACCCCTTCTGATATTAGCGTATCAGTCTCAGAAGAGATGAGCAGGAAACCCAAGCCTGCACATACGGCCACATCACATCTACTCGGTGTCCCGCGTGAAAATTTGCTCCTACCAAACCTGGCTTGTCACATGACCCAGTATCAACAACCGCTCCAGCAGGTAATTTGTTGTCGATCTTCCACCCCCGATCAAAACAAGCAATGCTCTCACGACCATCCGACTCAGAGCAATGCAGATGTGACGCAAGTCTATACTTTAGAGATATTGTTCAAGTCTAGCTATCCCCAGCCTGGCGGAGTCGACCCAATGGACCTCGACCACACCAAGCCCATCCCAGCCTACTATTGCTGCTATCTCCTCCGCTCCACCAAGAAGCACGCTTGTCTATACATCGGCTCCACCCCACACCCCGCCAGACGCCTCGCCCAGCACAATGGCGACACCAAAGGTGGCGCCCGGCGAACACACCACGACGACAAACGGCCATGGGAGATGGTCTTGACCGTCGAGGGGTTCACGAGTCGAGTGGCGGCGTTACAATTCGAGTAAGGAAGCCCCTCCAACCCCACATTCTGTATAGGCCATACCGAGCTAACAACCTTGATAGATGGGCGTGGCAGAACCCGAAAAGGGCGAGGCAGATCACCGCGAACTACCAGTCCGAGAGTACTGGGGCGAGACCCAAAGGTCGGGGTTCGCGGAGGTCCATGAACGCCCACCTCGAGGATCTGCATCTGTTGCTACGGTCTACGCCCTTTGCCCACTGGCCGCTTAAGGCGCGCTTCTTCGCGGCCGACGTACATCAGACTTGGAGGGTTCTGGCAGATCGGGTGCAGGGCTTTCTCCCCGATCATATCGAGGTGATCGTAGACGGGAATTGTGCTAGAGCGCGCTTCCCGCATGATGAGGAACAGGGGAGGGTGAAGCGTGTTACCGGAATGAAGGTAAACTACACACATCTGCAAGACTACATAGATAAGGCCATGTTCCTATTGGAGGACTCAGAGGACTGTCGGTGTGGAGTGTGCGCGGCACGACTGGTGCCAGACGGAGAATTGGTAGTGGTTTGTCCGCATGATAACTGCTATTGCACAAGTCATTTATTGTGTTTGTCAGCAAAATTCCTGAAGAATGCTGAGGATCCAGACCGGCTGGTTCCGATCAGTGGCAATTGTCCGGGTTGTCAAAAGACGGTTGAATGGTCGCTAATGATGCAGGAGCTGACGTTGCGCAGTCGCGGAGAGACCAAGTCGCGAGCGAAGCGGAAACAGAGCAAATCAAGCACGACTCAACGCAGCTCGAGAGTGATTTCAGATCAAAGGATTATTGGTGTCAGCGAAACAAGCAATCAGCGCGCACTTGCTGACCATCCAGAGGATTTGCCAGATGACATCAGTCTGGATGAGAACTGGACCGAGTCACTAGACATGGATCTTGAGTCGGACAATGTGTCTCGTTCGCAATCCCAGCCAGCATCAACCCGGACTGAGATCATCATAGAAGATAGCGATTGCGAAGAGATAGACGCACTCGAGTGAGGGTCCAGGGGTCAATGAGCGATCGATTCGAATTTCCTCAGAGGCCCAATAGTGTCCAGGCGCGCAATGCAGTCCATGACGCATGTCTCAACATCTTGCGAAACTGCCTCGAATGGTCGGCCTGCATCGATTGTGCGGATGTTGCCGCTCCGTTGCACGCGGAAAATCGTTTGGAACAACTCGCGCACCCGACTCTGCATGGCCGAGTTCTCATAACGCTCGGCACCAAAACCTCCGCGCTGAGCAGCTGCTTCGGGAGAGATACTCAGGAACAGACATAGATCAGGCTGAGGCAAGCCAATCTCGGGTGTCCACGCCCACTCGAGAGACAGCGTGGGGTTCATCTTAGCGGCCGAATAGACCGCGCCGGAGTAAGAATAGCGGTCCACGATGACGGTGACTCCGTTGGCAATATCTTTCTCGATGCTCTGAGCCACCTCCCAGCGGTTGGCGGAGAATAGAAGGTGGATGGAATGGTCGTCCATGTGCGACTGGCCCCGGAGATAGCCATCGATCATTTTGCCAATGGCGGTTGTACGATCTGATGGTGATTTAGAAGCGTTCTCCCGCGATCAAATGAATGCAGGAATACCTGGAAACCGAATGTATTTAACCGAGCGGCCAGAATCCTGAAGCTTCTTGTGTAGAAACTCGCACTGGCTGGATTTGCCTGCCCGGTCCAGGCCCTCGACGACAATGAGAGCGCCGCGCTGAGTTGATGTATCCATTGTATTGGGGAGGTCGAATTGTTTTCAGTGAATAAGAAGAAATAGGATGTAGTAGATATTGTCTGTGAATAAGCGCGAATGATGATCAGTAAGGTTTGGTTGTTAAGGCGCGAGACTGGAAGAATGGTTGGTTATTGACTGAACGAGCGCGACTTTATCGGCGGTGGATCTGATCGGGGGTTATCAGCGACTTAACCCGATTGGGAAGACCGACCACCGCGCCGGCGGGCGGGGAGTTGCCAATTAATTCCACATGAATCCTCTTCCATCCATCCCAGGTTCTTCAATCTCCCCTCTTCGCCAGCTTCTCCCAGTCGAATTCTCCCTCCACAGCTCGTCATGGGCTCCGAGTCATCCCCGCAATCACCCCAGGAGATGCTCAAGTTCACCAGCACCGCCTCGATCCTGACTCCGCGGCTGGGAAGACTGGCCGTGGCCGGCAGGAAACCCATCTCGACGCCGCATTATATCCCTCTGACGTCGCGAGGCGTGGTACCCCATATCACGCAAGATGTGATGCGCGACCAAACAGCCATTGGCAGCGTATTCGTCGGACTCGAGGATTGTACGAGCCCTCCCAGTTCCCTACCCTCTCACAAGGGCGCAATATCAAAACCAGAGAACCAAAATCGCTGACCTCCAATGCCCGCCCGGGGGCCGCAGATCAGTCCTAGAGAGACAAACCGCGAAGAACCCCTTTCCCCCGGCATATAAGGTCCCTACAGCGGCCAACGAGTCGGCGCTCCGCAACTTCATCTGCCTCCCCGATGATCTGCTGTTGATCATGGGCCCGCGCCGGGAGCCGCCGATCAAATGCCCGCCGTCGAACACACCGAACTCGATCGCGATCCTCACCTCCGTGGGCTACCGACAACTGGAGGCCAGCCACTATATCGAGGCGATCCGCCACCTCCGGCCAGACATCATCATCGGGCTGGCCGACCTGGTGCGCGGCCACAACCCGGGCCTCAAGCGGCGCGGCAAGATGGTCGACCGGACCCACGCCTACACGACACACGCCACGGAACAACTCTACAAAAGCAAGGACACAAGCCAACAGCAGGGCGCGGCGACAACAACAACAACAACAACAACAACAACACCACCAACAACAACAACGAACGCGGTCTACTTCGCGCCGGTACTCCCACTCGAGAACGCAGAGCAATCGATCTACCTGGAGGACCTGGAAAGCGAGCTACGCCCATACATCTCAGGACTGGCACTGTACGAGTCAGCGTCGCTGTCAGCGGTGTCGGAGCCACTAGGCGACCTGCCGCGGCTCCTGTTCAGCGCGCCAGCGACACCGCACGAGGTCCTGCGCGACGTGTCGCTGGGCGCCGACCTGCACACGATCCCATTCATGGGCATCTGTTCCGACGCGGGGATCGCCCTGAACTTCACCTTCTTCCCGCCCCCACCGCCACAGCCCCAAGAACAACAAGAAGAACAAACCTCAACACCCGCACCATCCCAAAATCAAGACCAAGGTCAAGCTCAAGCTCAACTGGCGCTAGCCTACGACCTCTGGTCACCGGAGCACAAGACGGACACGCGCCCGCTCTCAGAAAACTGCGAATGCTACACATGCCGCAACCACCACCGGGCGTACCTGCACCACCTCCTCTCGGCGAAGGAGATGCTCGCCTGGTCGCTGCTGCAGATCCACAACCACCACACCATGGACGTGTTCTTCGCACAGATCCGCCAGAGCATCGACCGGGCGACGTTCGACGCCGACACGCAGGCCTTCAGTCGACGATATGTCTCCGAGCTCCCAGAACCAAAGGGTCAAGGACCACGGTACGTTTTCCCTTTCCCTCCCTCCCTCCCTCCCTCCCTCCCTCCCTCTCCCTCCATATTAATAAATCCCCTTCCGCACTACATAAATCCCATAACACCCAGAAGCTTAACCCAAGCCCCCACAACACAACATCAAAATCGTCTAACTAACACTTTTCCCCCAACCCATTGGGGACCCAAAAAAAACCAGACTAAGAGGCTACCAACTCCCAGCCTCAGGACCGAATCAACCCCGCCGCCACGCCCGCGTCTACGGCCGCCTCGACGACGCAGCGGAGAAGTTCGCCGAGTCGCAGCAGTCGTCCGTCGCGACGCCGGATACGGGCGCCGATGGGTTGGAGGAGCATGGGTTTGCGAAGAAGGTTTGATAGAGAGATCTGATCTTAGATTCGACGGGGACGGGACGATGAAGTATAGCATAGGCATAGCGTGACATAGTATAGCATGACATACAGAGTGGGGATAGTTCGGTAGAGTGGCATGGTATGCCACCATTGCATGGCAAAGTATAGTATAGTATAGTTTATCAGTGGTATATACTTATATATAACATAATGACTACGGATTCCTTCCTACTGTGTGGGGACTTGGGTGTATTCCTCGGGGTAATTGTGTGATCTCGTCTACGGCGATGGTCGTAGGGGAATGTGTTTATACACGGGTTCTGGTCACTCTGTGATTATTAGTAGATGGCGTGGCCAGTAAACAGCTACAGATAGTTGGAGTAAAAGATGATGCACTCGTGGTTGGCCGAGCCCTAGCTCCCCGGATGTATATAATATGGAATCTTCGAAGCGAGCCTATAGAGCTTCGAATTACAAACTACCAGGCAAGTTCTGCATCGATACCACGCTTACAAACATGAGACACCCCGAGGAGTAACTCGATGCGTCGAGTAGGACAGCCCATGCCGTCACCACCAGACGATGCCAGACTTGGCGACTCCCGACTATGCCGCATGGTCCCGTCCTTCCTCGTTCTATGCGGGGTACACTTTGTCCCCCAACAAAGAAAAAGCGGCTCCAAGTCAGAAATAAATCTGGCAGGGTTTGAAGAAGGAAAAGGAAGAAGAAGAACACATGATCCGTCGATTACGTCGAAGACTATGTGCACGAACCGATGTTGCATCCGTTGTTGGCCCCGCTGAACCCAATTCGTCCAGAGTATGCTGCAAGTCAACAACCTCATCGTCTCTCCAATACTCCAACCAGTCCGTAACAATTGCCAGCAAAAGCTTGGCTGATGATGCTCCACTCTCTGGCAGCTGTCAGTCATCCCTGTTCCCTCACTCTCTGCCTCCGGGTCTACCAATCTCCCGAGCTACATCACTCGTCGTACCATTGCCGTATCGACTTCGAATCCCTGGAAAGCTCCCAGCGTCAAGAGTCAATTCACATCGATCATCAAATGAACACCGTCAGGTAGACACTCGGCCCGTCAGTCTCCAGACAGTTCACGCGGTAACCCAGCATGTCTCATACGTCAAGACCTCGGCGAGCGGCCGAATCAACGAGTCATACCCCTAGCAGAGTCCATCGATGCCTGGCTACCCTCAAGCACTGGCTCCGGCCGTGCGGTCGGCCAAACACTGTCACACCCACGCAAACCTGGGTGTTAAGGTACCGGCCTCTCACCTAAAGTCTCTCCGCAGAAATCCGGAGCTTCGTAGAATCTACTACGTCAGCATGATTGTCGGCACAAGTCGACTCTTTGTGCATGTCGCTCGCAATTCCCTGCGCTTCCGTGCTCGCGGCCTTTTGTCTTGCATCTTTTCTTGTCTAGTAGGGGCGGCTCTTGGTAAAACTTTCCGGCCCATCGCTTGCTTTGAGGTTCCTTCCTTCTCCCTTCCCAGATCTCGCTTGATTTCCCGTCTTGTCTCACAGTCGTGATACGAACCCAGGGCAGCAAAGAAGCAGAGGGCAAGCCTCAGTAAGCCTCCTGCTGCACAGGCAAGTGATTAGACAACATGGCTGAGCTAGGCGCCTCCTCTGGCGATGTCGAACGCGGCACACTAGGTCTGGCTCCGTACTCAGAGCGACGTGAGTCGCGACGGTTTTCCCGTGTGTCCAACAAAGAGGATCTCGATGATTCCGACGAGTATTACAAGCTATGTCAGTATATCTCCGCGCATCGCGAGAAGGCAGAAGGCGATGAGGAGGATTTTGATAAAGTGGAGAAGCGCGTCTGGTATGCCCCATGGAAGAAGAAGGTGGTGAGAGTGGTGAAGCACGACGACCAGCAGGCGAATTACCCGCCGGACTGGATCCTCACGGACATCCACCAAGGCCTGTCTAGCGAGGAAGTGCCAAACAGACGGCGTCGCTCGGGTTGGAATGAACTTGTGTCCGAGAAAGAGAACCCAATCGCCAAGATACTGTCTTACTTCAGAGGTCCTATCCTCTATGGTATGTTGCTGTTTCGCTAGCCTAAACGGATATCGCTGATATGATATAGTTATGGAATTGGCCGTGCTTCTGGCTGCCGGTCTGGATGACTGGATTGATTTCGGTGTCATCATTGGTATTCTCTGCCTGAACGCCGCCGTTGGTTGGTACCAGGAAAAGCAAGCCGCAGACGTGGTCGCGAGCTTGAAGGGCGATATCGCCATGCGGGCAACCGTAGTCCGTGATGGTCAACAGCAGGATATTCTTGCTCGAGAGCTTGTCGTTGGTGACGTGGTGAGCTTCTCCATTTCCTTTTTAATCAGCACGGATTCAGACTAATAGGGGGTCAAGATCATTGTTTCTGAGGGCCAGGTCGTTCCTGGTGAAGCCAGGGTTATCTGCGACTACAATAACCCCGATGGATTTCAAGAATTCAAGACGGGAATGGAACAAGGCACATTTGACGAGCCCGATGAAGGAATCGCGAGCGACGAGGAAGATGCCGAGCTTGAAAAGAGTGAAAAGCAAGTCGAGGGCGAGGGGAACGTGGAAGGAGGTCAGCAGCCGGGGAAGTCCCTGCGCGGATACCCTATTCTGGCCTGCGATCACTCGAGCATTTCCGGAGAGTCCTTGGCCGTGGACCGCTATATGGGTGACTTAATCTTTTACACCACCCCCTGCAAGCGCGGCCATGCCTATGCTGTGGTTAGCGCCGGTGCAAAGGGCTCGTTCGTTGGAAGAACGGCCAATCTGGTGCTCGGAGTCAAGGGCGCCGGCCATTTCGAACTTGTCATGGACAATATCGGAACCTCGCTGCTCATCCTGGTTATGGCTTGGATCTTAGCTGCTTGGATTGGTGGCTTCTTCCGCCACATCCCCATTGCCTCGCCCGGTCAACAAACACTTCTTCACTATACTCTCGCCCTGCTGATTATTGGTGTTCCGGTCGGTCTACCTGTTGTCACCACAACGACAATGGCAGTGGGTGCAGCGTACCTAGCAAAGAAGAAGGCCATTGTGCAGAAACTGACTGCAATCGAATCACTGGCGGTACGTAAATCACCTGGTGGGAAACTCAGTAATACTGACCCATATTAGGGCGTCGATATTCTATGTTCCGATAAGACGGGAACATTGACGGCCAATAAACTCAGTATTAAAGAGCCATACGTTGCAGAAGGTGTCGACATCAACTGGATGTTTGCTGTTGCCGCGCTGGCGTCGTCGCATAACACCAAAGCCCTCGACCCAATCGATAAAGTGACCCTTCTTTATCTCAAGAAATTGCCACAAGCGAGGAAGATCCTGTATCAAGGTTGGGTGACCGAGAAGTTTACCCCTTTCGATCCAGTATCCAAGCGGATCGTGACTGTCGCTAGCTGCAACGGGGTCCGGTATACTTGCACGAAGGGTGCGCCTAAAGCCGTGCTGCAGTTGACCAACTGCTCCAAAGAAGTCGCCGCCCTCTACAAGGCTAAGGCACAGGATTTTGCGCACCGCGGCTTTCGCTCACTCGGTGTGGCCGTGCAAAAGGAAGGTGAAGATTGGCAACTCCTGGGCATGCTGTCGATGTTTGATCCTCCCAGAGAGGACACAGCTACGACGATCAGCGAAGCTCAGGCTCTGGGCATCAGCGTTAAGATGCTCACCGGTGACGCGATTGCTATTGCCAAAGAGACTTGTAAAATGCTGGCACTTGGTACCAAGGTGTACAACTCGGACAGGTTGATTCATGGCGGCCTCAGCGGAGTCATGGCCGGGGATCTCGTTGAAAAAGCCGACGGCTTTGCCGAAGTGTTCCCCGAGCATAAATACCAAGTGGTGCAGATGCTTCAAGATCGAGGCCATCTGACGGCGATGACGGGAGATGGTGTCAACGACGCACCCTCGTTGAAGCGAGCTGATTGCGGCATTGCTGTGGAAGGAGCCACCGAGGCAGCCCAATCTGCGTCGGATATTGTGTTCTTGGAGCCTGGGTTGTCCACTATCATCGACGCAATCAAGCTAGCACGGCAAATCTTCCACCGCATGAAGGCATACATTCAGTACCGTATCGCGCTCTGCTTGCACTTGGAGATCTACCTGGTCACGTCGATGATTATCCTGAACGAAAGCATCCGAGTCGAGTTGATTGTCTTCCTGGCCCTGTTCGCCGATCTGGCTACCGTCGCGGTGGCGTACGATAACGCATCATTCGACCTTCGACCGGTTGAATGGCAACTGCCCAAGATCTGGTTCATCTCGGTTCTGCTAGGCCTGTTGCTGGCTCTGGGAACGTGGGTGGTACGTGGCACCATGTTCCTGCCGTCCGGGGGTATCATTCAGAACTGGGGCTCCATCCAGGAGGTGTTGTTCTTGGAGGTGGCTCTGACGGAAAACTGGCTGATCTTCGTGACGCGCGGCATGGACACCTGGCCGTCCATCCACCTGGTGACGGCGATTCTAGGCGTGGACATTTTGGCAACGATCTTCTGTCTCTTCGGTTGGTTCAGTAACGAGAACATGCCCACCATCCCGGCGGATCAGTTCGTGGAAACAACCAATGGCTGGACCGATATTGTGACAGTGGTGCGGGTGTGGGGATATTCGCTGGGAGTCGAGATCGTCATTGCCTTGGTGTATGTCATGTTGAACAAGTTCAAGTGGTTGGATAACTTGGGTCGGGCGAAGCGAGACAAGAGCGACTTGAAGATCGAGAATCTGCTGGGTCATCTGGCTCGGTTGACAGTTGAATACGAGGAGCCTGGGAAGCCCAGGGGCCGCTTCTCTCTGGCGGCCAGCAAGGAAGAGGAAGACATGGAATAGATGGAGTCGCGAGTGGATGATTTCAGCGGGGAGAGCAGGAGGATTGAAGCCAGAGACGATTAGGTCTGGAGAGAACTGAGTGGGATAAAGAGGAAGTGGAAGACGGCGAGGAGAGAGAGACAGAAGTGAAGGCAGGGAAAGAGGAGAAGGAAGAAAGTGCAAGAACGGTAAGAAGAGGGAAGGCGGCAGAAGTCACGGGATAATGTTGATGCTAATGGGTAATTGTTCAGTAGTACGTGTTTAATCAAGTATATAGGCTGTCCGACAGGTCAGTTCGTTGGATGTGTTTAAATATAGTTGGGATCCTCTTTTCGCTTCCAGTCTGCATCCCAAACTGCACAACCCGTACAATGCACTCAGTATCCAGCCAACCTCGTCACCTCACCCCAGTTCCATAGACAGCTATCCATCGCCTCACTCACTTCCGCGAATCGAGCACACGCTTCCACAACTTCTCCATCTCATCGCCCACCATCCGGACAGTCTGCTTCTCCATTTCCCTCCGCGAGAAGGCAGATTCACCACGTTTCCCAATAGCGGCAGCCGACTCCTCGCGAGCCATTTCCACTGATCCAGTTAGCAAGCCTCACTCACCAACGAGTACCGACACAACGCGAAGCCCGCAGAAAAAAAAACAAACATACCATGAATATAGACACCGGCGCGCTTGCCCGAGAACATGGCATGGGGCACATTGGTGCTGCCATCGTTGTTACAGTCGCCGACGGCAAACACACCAGCGATACTGGTGCGCATGCCGGAATAATCCGCCGTATCAATCTTGGTACCGTCCATCTTGACGCCGAGCTGGGCGGGGATGTCGCTGCGCTGGGCGGTGGGGTAATTCGTGATGAAGGCGTTGCGGACGAGGCTGTCGCCGTCGGTGAACCAGACGCGGAAGACATCCAGCATGGCGGAGCCGTCGTCAGAGCGATTCTCGGCACCGTCCTGCAGGCGCTCGATGGAGGCGATGCTGCGGTTGTCGACGGTGACGTTCCAGGCCGCCAGCTGGGCGCGCCAGTCAGGGTACTTGGAGGCCAGGGCGGCCTCGTAGGCGGGGGTGTCGGTGCCGTTGACGAGGGCGATCACGTCCGTGTTGAGCGTGTGCGTCTCCAGCACGCTGCCGACGACGTCCGGTAACTCGCCCAAGATGCCCAGCGGCTGGTCGCGGTGCTCGTAGCCGTCGCACCACGGACACCAGTACACGCCCTTGCCCCACGCTTCCTGCAGCCCCGGCACGTCGGGGATCTCGTCCACCAGCCCCGTCGCGAGCACCACCTTCCGCGCCGTGTACGCCGTTCCGTTCACGTCCTGCGCCCGGAAGTAGGTGGTGTTGCTGGATGTGTCGCTCACGGGCGACACGGCGGCAATGGCCGTGTCGACGATCGTAGCCGTGTCGTATTTGAGAATCTGCTCGCGCGCAAGACCGCGGAAGTCTGCGGGAGGTGTGCCTTGGAGGATACTGTTAGAGCTGGATCATGATTGAGAAGGAAGGAAAGATTGTAGGTACCGTCATTGCCGATCACATCGTGCATCTCCCGGGTCGGAGCGTTGCGGTACTCGCCCGAGTCAAACAAGATAGTCCGACGACGGACTCTGGACAGACTGCTGATGGCGCTGAGACCGGCAGGCCCTCCGCCGATGACGATCACTTCATAGTCAGTCTGCGGGACGGAAGCAGCCAGCCCCAGAGTCAGGGTGGACAGGAGCGCAAGGAAGAAGGTTTTGGGCGCCATGATGCCTCTGGTGTCCCTGGGGAAGTAGGATAGCCAGTCCTAGGTGTCTCTGGTCTGAGAATGGAAGACACGAGGTGCAGCGACGACTTTATATGCCCTGCGAAGGCGAAGGAATGGAGGGGGCCAGCGAGTCATAATGCACCCAAATACAAGGGAGTGGCTCCATGGCTGCTGAGCTGAGCTGAGCTGGACGCAACTGCATCAGTAATAGCAACAGCTAGCTGAGGTCGAATGTATGTACAATGTAACTGCGAGCTGCAGCCAAGACCAATAAACCTGCTCGAAGAATGTACATAGTAGGTTGATCCCGTCCAGCCGTGCCAATTAATTGGAGGAAAGGAGAGTCCATACGTGCCAGTCAAAGTCACTTGAGTCAGGATCGGAGGATCTGTAGACACGAATTGGAGAGGGAGAGAAGTTGATCGGCAGGGCTGAGGGAATAATATAAAATAGTTCATGCACGGCGCTGATCCATGATCTCATCATAGTCAGCTTCAGTATTCTCTCGTAAGAAGACAGGATTCCTGTACAAGGAAGACTTGCTTATTTGTGCCAGACAGCTGGAAAACATTGAAGTACCCATCTCACAGTAGGTTGAGGAACAAGGATGAAGCTCGGCAAGGGCAAGTTCGAAGAAAGTATGTATTAGGGATTAAGATTAGTACCAGTTAAATAAAGCAGCCATATGGACAGCCTTCACGAGGATGTACATGAACTGTAATTGTAAATAAAACTCCCAACCACACGAGAGATCATCATCATCATCACCACCACCACCACCACCACCAACCATCACATCGCCAGCCACCACTACTACCATCCCCAGCCCATCTACAACCCAAATACCGGAAACCGGAACTTGTGATAGATTCTCGAGGTACTCTGCGTCAACGCAGAGCGAATCCCACTCAAATACCCCTGGTTACCATACGCCTGGGTAACGTCCCACAGCATCACGCCGCCGAACGACTTGAAGGTCTTAGAATACTGGATGACCTGCTGCAGCTGCGAGATGGGGACATAGCCCGAGCCCGCGGCCCCAGTGTTAGCGGGGGCGCCCAGCAAGACCTTGACGTTCTTGTTCTGCGAGACGGTCTTGGCCCAGGTATCCCACTGGGCGAAGTTGAAGGAGGGCTGGGGATCCTTGCCGGCCTGGAAGGAGGTCAGGCCGCAGGGGTTGTTGTAGAACTGCACCCAGACGGCATCGATGGAGACAGGCCCGTTGAGAATCTCCTGGTCGGCGAGGTCGGGGTAGGGACACTGCGGCGCGGCGGTCAGGAAGTACTGCTTCGAGGGGTCGCCGTTGGCCAGGGTGCGTAGGCGGTTGGCGAAGGGAGCCATCTTGGAGACGGTGGCCTCGAAGTCGAAGTCGAAGCCGTCGACCGAGGCGTTGCCGAAGGGGCGGAGGGCTTTGGAGGACGAAGAAACCGGACCGAACGTCTGCCACACCAAGTCGGCGCCGGCCTGCGCCGCCGAGTCAGACTGGAAGCCGCCCTCGCTGTACGTCGCCCCGCCGATCGAGAGAATCACCGTCTTGCCTTTCTTCTGGCAAGTCGTGATGTCGTTACTGTCCTCGTTCTTAGCACTACCACTCCGGGTTACCCCGAGAAAGAGAGGAACGTACCCAATCTGCGGACAATTCGGCAGATTCGTCCCGCTGAACAACGGACACGCCTTGCTGGTATCCGCAAAGTCATACTCAGGCACGCCTCCCAATCCATTCACCCGCATCACAAACGCTAGGATAAGCACCTGGTATTGTCAGTCCAGTTCTTCTGCACCAGTCAAGACACTCTTCATACATCAATGTTGGGATCTAGACTCCGATTAGCATATCCCATCTCGCTGCCAGGTGATTTGAACCATACCATCGCAATAATAGGACAGATTCTGCTGCGCCAAATTCCCCGACCCCCGATACGAATTCTGACCTAGCCCTAAGTCAGTTTCCCAGTCCGTTATACAGAAAGTCCATCTACCCACCCCAGTAAACAGCAATATTGTTCGGGGACGAAAGATCGAGTTCCGCGTACGCTCCGCCCAGCGAAGCCAACGCCGCCGTCCAGGCGAGGAGAGATTGGAGGAAGTGCATGGTCTGTTGTTTCCGAGGATAACGACCAAAGGAGTGTGTCAGTCGACGTGCCTGAGGGACAAACAACAGAGTAAAAGAGTGTAACGAGATGTGAGTGTCCCGAAGTAATCTGACGATGAAAGAGCGTAGGTAGATGTCCCCTAAGCACGACGACGACGATGAAAAAAAAAAAAAAGGAGTGTAGGTTGATGGCTCCCTAGGCAGTGATGGGATGGCGACGATGATCCCCCAGCTGAGTGTCGATTGTCGAAGTCGTTCACGAATAACCTCACATCGCCAAAGGGCCCCAGACGAGGACAGGCGCCTTTATACCTCACCCCACGCAACGTATCTGCTAAACTCTAACTGGGGACGTAAACAACCCGAACCGGTCACCACTTAGCAGATAGGGTTAGTTTTCCGCTCCTGCTTGCCCCCCCTGTCATGCGTTCTGATAGCATGGTGCGGGCCTTGGCCAAGGCTCTGTTTGTTCCGGGGTCGTCATGGTCATGCACATTCCAAACAACTAGCCGGAAGTAAAAGGCCGCCAGTAGAGCGAGACTGAGTAGGCCGACTGAGAGTTTTACCTGACGGACAGAACTGTCATATCAATAACCGGGCTGTATAGTGAGGGTAGAGGTCATAGGGTTATCGGATTGGGAGGAGGATCACATTCCATGTTGGCGGTTGTCGGGCCACTGGCCTCAAGCAGGAATGTTGGTGTAGTTGACTTGCTGGATTCGGTAGACTTACTTACTTGGAAGAGCAAGAGACAAGAGACGAGTGGTAGAAGAAGTAGATTCATGTCCTGGTACGAGTACATGGAAAAATACATGGAAGTATGATTCTCAACCCATAATGTGCGATACCCGAACCACCCACAATATCAGAACCTCACAACCACACCACAAATAACAATCCTCAAAGTAAAAGCAAAACCTTTAAACAAAGTCTGAGCCACAATGCAAGCATCAACCAACCCAAACCAGACCAAGCCCCAACCCGCAGCGGAGCCTCGAGCCCTCAGCTTCTAACCCTATTTTCCCCAACCGTCGCCCATCCCCGCAACAAATGACGCAAATCTCGCAACCAGACGCTCCCTGTCCCCGTTCTCCAGAACTGGTTCCAGTTCCTGTCCTGAATCCTCTCTTCAAACACAGACCCGAAAAGCCACCACGCGTTCAAAACGCAAGGGACAAGCTACCATTGACCGGGCCCTAGAACCGGGATATCTTAGTCCATGGCTTGGGCTTCAGCCAACCCCAGACCTCCCCCTCTTCCTTTCCAATCTGTTGACCATAGCTAAAAGCGTGGGTGAGGTGGTCACGAACAAACCCTGTACTACACGTCCAAGCCATCACCGGGCTTGCAGTAGGCGCTCACTTGACCAATTTCCTTCCCATCCTAGAAATCGATCGATCATTCCTCAGGCACAAGAAGGGCTGAGTGAGTGACCATGAATACACTTTCTTGAAAGTAGAACATTCATCCATACATTATCGGAGTAGGGTATGACAAGAACGAAGTAGTATGCAGGGATAGATAGAAGCCTAGTTTAGTCCAGGCTAGTCCAAGGTCGACCACCATGTGTACTGTCTGACGCCATAGACAAGAAAAAGCACTCATGTACCTGCGTATACTCTCCCTGATCTTTCAACCTAAATTCTATTTCTGGCGCCGGTTGCGGGTGGTGATGGTTATAGAGGAATGGAGGTGGTTGCCCCGGGTGATTATTGGCATGCTACATCCCTATCGATCAAGTCGGTCGATGAGGAGAGTCTACAGTAAGGCCCGGTCGAGGGTGGTGGATATATGAAAGTAGTGGGCGATGAGATCATCTCGATTTGGACAGCAGGACAGGTTTTGTGGAATTATACCTCTAGCAGTCAGTCAACAATCATGTCTAAGAAACTAGCTATTTACCTACCTACCTATTAGCATGAAATCGTCGTCTTTGCACATTCCCCTCGGGGCACTCGCTGTCACGAGATCCAGAATAACTGTATTTACCTACCCACGGGACAGCCCGCCAGCCAGACATCATGATGATGCAGCAGTTCACTGGCGATGAATCCCCACCACTCGTTCAACAGCCTCCTCCCGATCCAGCTGCGCATCAATCACCCCCGCGACCTTCAACACATCCACGACGCTCTCGATCACCTGGCGCTTGACGCCCCTGGTCCCCTTGGAGAAGCGCACATCCTTCAACCACTCCCGCGCATCCTCCTCGCCATACGTGCAGCCGAGCTCGCCCGTACCCAACAGCGTGACCACGCGCTCTAGATCCGCCTCAAACTCCTGGATGCCCTGATCGAACACCTCGAATAACCGCTGCAGCCTGATATCCTGCGCCAAATCCCCCTGGAATGTCGCCGTCGACGCGACGATCATCCACGACGGCCACGGGGTATAGATCTCGCCGATCTTCTTCAACGGAGGGTGGGGGGTCTCCGCCGTGGGATGGAAGAATGGCTTCGTGGTGAAATGCTCCCACATGAAGAACTCTGCCGTCGGGGCGGGCGTCGCGTAGCCCGTGACCCCGTTGCGCAGGGACTGGAAGGGGCCCAGGATCGCGGGGGTGAGGGCGTCCTTCTCGGACCAGTGGTGGGCTTGCGAGAGCACAAAAGACATGATGTGGGAGCCGCTGTTCGGTGAAGGGGGTGCGTGACCCGTCAGTTCATGGCTCGCTGCACGGTAGGGCAGATTACAGGACGATCGGGGATTTGGCAGGGGTAGGACTTGTCTATTAGGTAGGCAATCCCTCCCCAAAATTATTGACAGACAGACTCACCTTCCGAGCCGACTGACTCCCACCCGCCCCCCCTTCAAGTCTTCCACCGACCGGATCTCCTCCCTCTCCCGCCCCGTCACAATCGCCCACCGTAAGGGTGTGTCTACCCAGTGGCCGACGACCTTGTATCCGTCTGTCGACGGGTCTTTGGGCGCCTGTTGCTTGCCTGCCAGACCGGCTACCCATCCCTCTGTCAGGCCGATGGCGAGGTCGATCTCCTTCTCGCGGAGGGAGGTGATCATGTGCCCCGTGCCGGACGGGAAGGGGATCAGGCTGACTTGGAATGGGAGGTTCGCGGCGGAGGAGCGGAGGGCGAGGTGGAGAGGGCCAAGGTAGTGCTCTGATTTCTTGTTAGCATTGTACAATTATATAGAGTACTTGTAGGAGGGTGGAGGTTTGGAGTGGAGGGGGATTTAGTGGTTATGGGATTAGGTTCTGCCGGCGAGAGTTGTTTGCGATGGATGTATGAGGGGTAAATCACTTGGATGGTCACGGCGATGGCAATGATAGCAGTGGGAGAGGACATACCGGGCACGTAGCCGATGCGGATGGTTTCTGCGTCTGAACCCATGATTGAGAGTGTATAACAATTGTGTCACTGTTCAAAGACAGACTGGCAAATACCGAGTAGAAAGGAAGAATGGTGGGGAAGGATGGAGTGAACCCCGCGGACTGGCTCGGCATGTCATCTGCCGCCCGCTCGGCGATCGATCGGAGAGGGGTTCGGTTCCCACCTTCATATAGTAATTATGTCTACAGAACAAAACAGCGGCATGAATATATCTATAACATTAAAGAAAGCAGTTTGCGCGGTCTATCAAGCCCCAATGGCCAGATCCCGACCCTACAGCAAACTGATATCTATATACACATCACGAAAGAATGCATCAAGTCATCCGAATATCCTTCTCCTCGACCTGCCATCCCTCACTCGCGCCCCGAGAAGGACTGCCCGCAGCCCCATACGAGGGTCCACTGTACATCCAGAATTGCAGTCCCAGGTACAGATCACAGACACATTGGAACATACCGCACAGTCGGAAGGACCAGGGAATCACCTCGGCGCTGCAGAAGAAGTAGCTCAACTTCATGATATCACCCAGGATCCACGCGATGACCACCGACAACCGGAACCCCACACACGACCGGGACCGATGGTTCTTGATGACCTGAGGCAGAGGCAGAGTCGCCTCCACCGCGAGACCGACATATCCCAGAAGACCGATATAGGACTCGGAGTAGGCGAGCGGCGGGAGGAAGACTTGGATGACGGTGAGGGCGACGGTGAAGTAGGCGAGGAACATCCAGTACCTGCACATCAGTCGGAGGGTCAGTCAATGCGCATTTGATCAGGGACCGATGATCAGGAAACATACGGCTTGGCGCTCCGCCATTGCCAGAAATCATACGGCCTAGTAAACCCCTGCCCGCTGTCGACGCTGCTGAACGGGACATGTTCGACACTGTTCTTCAATCCAGGCGACGGCCGATTGTCAAGCGCCACTTTCAACAAGACAATCTGCACTGCGATCGTGAAGACCGCCTGGACCAGTAGCGAAAGAGAGTACTTGGCCCCGAACCAGTAAAAGACCCTGAGTGCAAGGTTAATCAGCCGAGCCTCACGGCTAGACAGCATGTCTTACTTGAGAATAGACGCAACAAGCATGATCAACGGGATGTCCATAGAAAACCCAGCCGAGCTTCTGCTGCGGTGGATGCTGAGGATCTGATCCGCATAGGAGGTGACCGGGGACGTCATGAGACTGTTATAGTTGATCCATCAGTAAGACGCGGATATAGAAACGGCAAGAGAAAGGCGCACAAGAGCGGAGCTCCATATTCAAGGGCCTGCGATAGAAGATTCATGGTGCATTCGATAGCCCGTGCTTCCAAGCGTGCGAGGACGAGGGGTCACAATCGTTCGTGGTGTTGAGAGCGGAGACTGCGGTTGACCGGAGATAGTGTAAAGAAATGCCGGGCCAAGAATTTTATGGCGCACAGAACACACTGAGAATTCTCAACACCACTGTAAATACGAAAATAAAAGGGAGTGCAATATTCGTCAGATCTCCAACCATTCGAATCAGCACCCGATGCGTCTTTCCTGCCTGCCTTTTACTTTTTCCCCTGGCGCCGCTGAGTCAGCCCCACTGATCGGCGCCACACGTTCGAGCCTAAACCCGAAGCGGAAGAGCCCAGAGTGCTTGTCTACCAGGGTCATGGGTCTTAGTACAACTACTCATCTTCTTAGCTACAGTTCCAGCCTTTGTCGGAATTAGAAATGGAGTTCCATATGCTATCATGGCTCACACATTCACAGTACCCAAGATCAAAACTCAATCCGCCACGAGTTGCCAATGGCAACCTCGGGGTTCTTGACCACCGCATAGGAAGCCTTGCCATCCTGCTGGCTGTGATACTCCATAGAGGCAGTGGTGGCAGCTTTGGCATTTTCCTCAATCACCGTCACGCTGGTCTTGCTCTGCCAATCCTTGGGAGGGTCAACAACAATCACCCGTTCCACGCGCACGCCAGCCATGGCCTTCAGATAGTCGTTCGTCTTGGGTCCCTTGATACCCAGATCCTCGGACGACAGGGCAGAATCACGGTAGGCGAAGCGGCGGTGGATGTAGGCACCACGTTCGTAATCAAAGGTCTCACCATCATCAACGTAGAGAGTACCATCGGCTTGGCCGTTCTTATCCAAGACGATAACAAGAGTGTAGGGATCCCACCGCATAAGCCCGCTGCTGCGGCGTGGGCGATCCTTCCGGGGAATAACATGACCGCCCTGCATCAACAGAGGTATCTTCTCCATAGGAGCGGGCACAGTATGCCGCTTGCCCGCTCCATGGTAGACAGTGTAGTCGAAGTAATCATAGTACTTCTCGTCGTCAGCGAGGTAAATGTCAACACTGGTGACATCCTCAGACACGACCGGCTTGGCGAGAAGACCCGTGTTGCCGAGGTAGAGCTGATCATCAATGGCAAAGCCTGCTTCATCGGCGGGGTGAACATAGTATTGGGGCCGCACAATCGGCATGCCGTTCACTGAAGCTTCGTGGAAGGCGGTGTACCAGGCCGGCAAGAGCTGATACCTCAAGCGAATGGCTTGCGCAATGGTGGAGCGGAAGGGCTCGGCGATCAAGTACGGCTCACGTCTGCGGGTGTCAATGTGAGCGTGCGCGCGGAAGAACGGATACCAGATGCCAGTCTGGTACCATCTGGTCAGGAGTTCCTTGCTTGGGTTTTGGAAAAAGCCGCCAACATCAGCACCGGCAAATGGGAAACCAGCAATGCCATTGTTCAACACCATAGGTAAGGAGGCAGCCAAGTGCTCCCACGTGGCCTGGTTGTCGCCCGTCCACATGGCTGACATTCGCTGAGCACCGGCATAGTAAGAGCGGGTCAGGATGAAGGGCCGGCGGACCTCGCCCTTCTTGCGCTCCAACAGCGCTTCGTAGGTGGCATTGACCAGCGTGATGCCATGGACATTGTGAATGTCACGGTGCTCCCAGTTACCATGATGAATGTTGTCCTTGGGCATAGTGGTTTCGGGACCGTTGAAAACGGAGGGCTCGTTCATATCGTTCCAGATGAAGACATTCGACAGGGTGCCCTTAAATCTGTCATACTTGAACAAGCTGACCCACCACTTGATGGCCGCCGGATTGAAGGTGTCAATCCAGTTAGACGAGCCAGGCCAACACCAACCATCATAGATCTCACCATCTTTGTTCTTCGTGGCCAAGTCTTTGCTCTTAAGCTCTTCCGAGACGGTGAATCCTTCCTTGTTCTTGATGTGAGGATCGATCAAAACCACGAGCTTACGCTCGGACGCATCAAGCTGCTTTTCCATACTGATAGGATCAGGGAAAGTGAGCGGATCCCAGGTAAAATACTTCCTGTCATCCGTGTACTCGAGATCCAGCCAGATAATATCATATGGGATCTGGTACTTGTCAAAGTTGCGGTCAACCTCCTTGACATCCTCGTCAGTGATGTAGTTCCAGCGGCACTGGTGATAGGCGATGGCGAAGTGTTGGGGCAGTTGAGTGAAACCCGTCAGTTCACCATACGTCTTGCTGATGTCCTGTGGTGTAGGGCCCAGGAAAACGAAAACGTCGATCTGACCGGACTCAGAGAACCAGTGACTTTGGGTGTCTGTCTTGGCGCCCACACCAAGGGAAAGAGGGTTGGGCGAAGACGTGGACTTGACAATGTCTACCCAGGTCTCTGCGGCATTGAGCCAGAAGACGCCGACGGTGGAATCCTTGCGATGAGCCTGCATGAAAGGAATGGAACCATACAGGGTCATTGGGCTGTTGAGCTCATACTCAAACACGTCGGAGTTGTACATGCGGTAAGGCTCCGCATGGTTGCCATCGCCGCCGCTAAGTTCGGGTCAGCGTCTTCAGATGACAGATTGCGGGGCTCACTCACCGAGTTTGCTTCAACGACATCGAGTCGGCGTGTTCAGGGATACCGAAAACATGGCTGTAGCCAGGGAAGGTAATGTCCAATCCCACGCTTTCAGGTCCCCTGGGCTTCGAGTCGGTGTTGCCTCCAAAGCTCTCGTCCCACCAGGTGCTCTCGTCTTCCGAAGGCTGCTGGTCGCTGTCCTCTGCCGTCTCCGTCTTAGGCCGCCAATGCTCCCAGTTCAGGTATCCCTGGTGATTGAGTTGCACATGAGTCTCTCCGTCACGCTTAAATTCCGCCCTAAACGGTGCGTGGTGGATGATAGCTTCGAACTTGTTGTCCGGGCCATACAAGACCCGCGTCGCTCCAGCTTCCGTTTCGGGTTCTAGAGTGGCGGTCTTGCTCAATTCCAAGTTACCCACCAGAGCCCATTTCTCTACCTCGTTGTATCGTTCCTTGCGTGCCTGACTGTTGTGACGAAGCTCAATCTCGCCCTTCATGCGCTTCTCTTCGTCGACGGTGACTCGGGCGACGCCTGACTCGAGGAAGGAGATAACGAGGGGCAAGCGGATCTTCTCGTTGGCGGACAGAGTTTTGAGGACGGTACCGTGAAGTTGTCCATCTTTGAACTGGATGGAGGAAGATTCGAGTTCGTAAGGGGAGGACCACGATGAGCCCTTAGCGGTGACCTCGTCGGCGAACGCTCGGTTCCGCTTACAGAACCCTGATTGCGAGCATGTCTTGAAACTCTCGTGTTTCACGGTGACTGTAGGTTTGCAGTTAGGCATAGATCAACGAATAAAGCATTGAAGTCGCTTACCTCCTGGAATGACCAGGCATCCAAGGAGGATTACCAATGAGAATAACAGGGTCCAACGGGTGGACAATGGCCGGAAGCCGGCCATGTTGTGAGCTTAATAGATCAAATGCAATCAGAGATTCTCAATCTCTGAGAACAATAAACTACACCAGTAAACAAATGTAGAGACCTGCATCTACCAGAGGTGAAGGTCAAAGCACAAAGCGTCAGATTGTGTGAGAATTGTCGCCTGAAAGCGACATGTAAATAGTCCGGATAGTGGGATAGACCGTGGACACGGGAGAAGCATAGACTCCGACAGTTCCAGCCTGGCCAGATGGAGATGGAGCAATTGGAGTGACGGGGAGCTCCCTCGTTTGGGCTTAGTGTCTCTCTAAGACAGCTAACCCCGATTGGGAGGCTGGGGTTGTTAGACACCTCAGGCGGTGAGGCTGTCAGGCCATTCAGCGGCGGGACTCAGGCCACAAGGCCCTCAGTTGCCCCTCCTTCCGGCCATTCGTCGAGCCCCACACAGCGTTGCGGTCCCTCCTTATTAAATTTCGCCCAACTCACGTCGACTCTGCTTCCCTTTTCCTTTTCTTCCTCTTCATTCGAATCTCCGTGAATCGTTATCATCCACATCCTTCAAAATGTCCAACGAGCAGACGTAAGTTGATGCTGTTCCTTCCCACTTTTTCCTGTATATCCTGGTCTACTCTCCTCTCTGTCCACTATGTCTATCAGCTTGGACATGCTCAACCCCTAACGCTCATTTGCATTGACCGTCAAGCTAACCACTTACTATAGCTTCATTGCCATCAAGCCCGATGGTGTCCAGCGCGGACTCATTGGCCCCATCCTCTCTCGCTTCGAGAACCGTGGGTATGTATCCCTCAACAGCTGATTGCTCGGCTTCCATCATGCTAATTGTCCTGCAGCTTCAAGCTCGTTGCCATGAAGCTCTGCTCTCCCAGCCAGCAGCACCTCGAGCAGCACTACGCTGATCTCAGTGACAAGCCCTTCTTCAAGGGACTCGTCTCTTGTAAGTTGCATGGATAACATTGAGGTCGAACACGTACTAATCATTCCATTAGACATGCTGAGCGGCCCCATCTGCGCCATGGTCTGGGAGGGCCGTGACGCCGTCAAGACCGGCCGCAGTAAGACCCCTCCCCTCTGATCATCCTCTCCCGACATACTAACCATGTCCGCCTAGCCATCCTCGGTGCCACCAACCCCCTTGCCTCCGCCCCCGGCACCATCCGTGGTGACTACGCCATCGTAAGGACCCTTCCATCTTCAGAGTCAACCCATGAATCCCGCTGACAATTGCTTAGGATGTCGGCCGCAACGTCTGCCACGGTTCCGACTCCGTCGAGAACGCCAAGAAGGAGATTGCCCTCTGGTTCAAGCCTGAGGAGCTCCAGAGCTGGAAGCAGAGCCAGTTCGACTGGATCTACGAGAAGGCTTAAATTTCTCATCTCAGCCTTAGCATATAAGAGCATGCAGACCCTCCGCAGGGGAAATGCAGCGCTACTTAGATGATCACATTTAGAAAAAGCTATATGAGAAATACAAGTCATTTTCAGATCTAACTCCACTCAACTTACATACTCTGTACAATTTCCCGCCCAGTAGTGCCAGCAATACCAGGTCACGGCCTCTACTTCTTCCCAAAAATGGCCCTAGCCCTGTTCCTCAGGGGGCCGAAAACCACTCTGGCAAACCACGGCGTGGCCCAAACGCTCGCCGCAATCCGGAGGGGCAGGAGGAACTTGACCACGGTATAAGCCGTCGCATACTCTAGCACCAAGCGCACTCCTGCCATCTGGGTATCGCTCCCTGCGACCGCCCGTTCCGTCAAGGGCCCTTCCTCCTCTCCTTCCTGTAGGGAGGCGAAATCCACCTCCGTATCCGCATCCGCCCAACCTTTCTTCCGTAACCACCGCTGAAACCGCTGCGTAGCCATCTGAAAGGACTCACTCGCCGTCAGATCCGGCAACCAGTTCCCGTAGTGGAAGGCCGCCATTAGGCCGACAATAGGCACGATGGCGGTGAACTCGTGGAGGATCAGGAACGAGGTGACGTGCGTCGCGGGGGCTCCGAGGAGCGGGGTGGTGTAGGCGCGCATGAACGGCGGCAGTCGGTCGTTGAATTTCTGGAGACGAGCGCGGAGATTTTTCGGTGCTGGAGGAGGAGGCGGAGGAGGGGATGTCGAGGTGTAGCGCCGGGAAAATGGTTTGAGGTGTGAGAAGATGTTGGTAAGACGAAGAATTGGGCGCTGTGTTGACATTTTCTTTTGTTTGATTATCGGTCGAGGGGGCGGGGAATTGGGGTTGAATAATCATGAGCTCCGGTTGTGGTTTCGATCAATTGGTTTAGTGTTGAAAGTGTGGGGTATTTGGGTGGCAGGTTAACAGGTTGACAGATTGACAGGCTGCAGGCTGCAGGACGGAGGTATGTATGGATGGATGGATGTAAGTCTGAGTTGGAGTGCAGACGTAGTCCTGGTGTTTAGTATTGGTGATAATTGTTGCATTGTTGCATTGATGCGTTGTGATTAGTGATGTTTGTCCTGTTTGCATGGATAATGATAATGTTGATTTAATCTCAATTCTTCAAGGAAATTGTTTGATGCAACTGCTGCACTCAGTCATTCATTATCTTCTATCTGTCTCCATGAATCCAGTCTTCTGTCCTTTGCTGTTTCCACCCATGCTTGAGAGAAAAACAATCTATCAATCGAAACTCTCTCACACGCCCGATTGCCTTGTCGGGAAGCCGAACAGCCAAGCCCAGACAGACAGACAGACAGACAGATAGACAAGACACAATTGATTGAGCATGACACAGACATTCACACCAGACGACGAAACAAGTATTGACCACTACTGTGTGACACCATGAAGCCAGGATATAAGTCACCCATAAGGGTACTCATGAGTCAATGCAAATAAAGATAGGTTGGTGTCGCCAGACGGGGTCGGCAGTTCGTCATTTTGCCTCTTCCGGAGGGCCGCCGATCAGAGTCCGCGCCAGAAGCAGATCTTCTTCCCCACCGTCGCCGCCGCCCTTCTTCTTCTTCTGCCTCTCTTCCCTCTTCTCTGTCCCTTTCCACTCCTTTGCTCTCCATCGTTTCGCTGTTGCAGAAGAGCCTGGCTACACCATGGAGAAAATCACCGACAAGATCGCGGCTTTGCCGCCTGATGCGAATTACTTCTCACTGGAGTTCTTCCCTCCCAAGACCAAGATGGTGGGGCATTTCTCTCTTCCCCCCCGCACCACAAATGACTCCAAACCCCAGCATACTGATCGATGATGGTTTCGCTCTCTAGGGTTTCGCCAACCTTCAAGCGCGTTTGGAGCGCATGGCACAGGCTCTTCGTCCCTTGTTCGTGACCGTCACCTGGGGTGCTGGAGGCAGTACCGCGCAGAGATCCCTGGAGCTGGCGGAGATCTGCCAGCGCCAACTGCAGTTGACCACATGTTTACACTTGACTTGCACGAACATGAGCCGGGCCTTGGTCGACGAGGCGCTTGAGGAAGCCAAGGTGCTGGGCATCAGGAACATCCTCGCCCTCCGTGGCGACCCACCCCGCAGTGAAGAATACAACATGCATGGCGAGGACGACAGCAACAAGGACTTCACCTTTGCGGTGGACTTGGTGCGCTACATCCGACAGCAGCACGGTGACTACTTCTGTATCGGTGTGGCCGCTTACCCCGAGGGTCACCCAGCCGATAACTTCCAGGACGGTCAAGACCCCGTTAGGGACGTGCCGTACCTAGTTGAGAAGACTCAGGCGGGCGCAGACTTCATCATGACTCAGTTGACCTACGACATCGATGCCTACACCAAGTTCGAGAACATGCTACGAAACCACGAATCCGGAGCCTTCAAGACCATCCCTATCATTCCCGGCTTGATGCCACTCCACAGCTACAAGATCCTTACGCGCGTGACGAAGCTGAGCCATGTCAAAGTCCCCCCACACATCCTGTCCAGGCTGGAAGAGATCAAGCACGACGACGATGCAGTCAAGCGCGCTGGCGTGGACATTCTCTGTGACCTGGTAGACGGGATGCGCAACATTCCCACCCCAGGGCTGCGCGGGTTCCACTTCTACACACTGAACCTGGAGAAGACCGTGTCTTTCCTCCTCGAGCGCTGCGATCTCATCGGTCCCTACACGGAATATGACGAGCCCATCGAAGACTCAGCAGCATACCTAGCCGCTCCGCTCGACACCCCGGCGCGCGCACTCGCCAGCCGTCGCTCATCCATCAGCTCGATACCGCACAACCGTGTCATTGTCGATAAAATTCAACCATCCGATGTATCTTCCCGCGAATCCGTTAGCCACGAAGCCTCGGCGCTGAGCGCGGGGCTGCCTGCCATGCCCCCCGACCGCAGCACGACATTGCAAATCTCAGAGGGTCTCGGCGCGCTCGGGCGCGAAGCGACTTGGGACGACTTCCCCAACGGACGATGGGGTGATGCGCGCTCCCCCGCCTTCGGAGAAATCGACGGCTACGGCCCATCCCTCCACATCCCCCCGTCCGTGGCCCACAAAGTCTGGGGCTATCCCGTCACCCGCGACGACATCAGCGCGCTCTTCCGCCGGCACGTCTCCGGCGACCTGTACATCGTACCGTGGAGCGAAGGTGGTGCCGAAGAGGGCACGGGCGGTCTCAACGCCGAAACGGAGATTATCCGCCCCGAACTGCTGCAACTGATCGACAAGCGCGGCTGGTGGACGTTAGCCTCGCAACCGGCCATCAACGGGGTGCGCAGCGACGACTCGATCTTCGGGTGGGGACCGCCAGGCGAGGGCTTCGTCTTCCAGAAGCCGTTCGTGGAGTTCTTCAGCCCCAGCAAGGACTACCACACGATCCTGAAGCCGCTGCTCGAGCGTCACGGCCACGATAAGCTGGCCTGGTTCGCGACCAACGTCAAGGGCGACTTCGAGACCTCGCTGCCGGGCGCCAACGCCGAGGACTCCGACCCGCTCGACATCAACCCCGCCAACGTCAACGCCGTCACCTGGGGCGTCTTCCGCGGCAAGGAGATCGTCACCCCGACCATCATCGAGGAGGTCAGCTTCCGCGCCTGGGGCGACGAGGCCTACCGCATCTGGGACGAATGGCGCCGCATCTACCCCAAGAACTCCGCCACCGAGCGCTTCCTCGACGCCACCAAGAACGACGTCTGGCTCGTCTGCGTTGTCGGCCAGGAGTTCGGCGCCGGCACCGAGGTCGGCTCCAAGGAGGAAGAGGACGAGACGAAGTGGATGTGGAGGGAGCTGGCCGGTTGCTGATGAATTCAATTCCCAATTTCTGCTGCATATATGCCCCGCCCCGACTTTCTGAATAATTTATTTTCTTTTGCTTCTCGGGCTCTATATCGAGAACGGGAACATCATACCTCCCAGCTAGAATCGAAGAGATATCATCGTTCATATTAGCCGTCGTGTTCATTCACTGTTTCACTTCTCTTGGACGTTTGTACAACTCCTTCACTTCACAGCATTCAACGATTGCCCTTGCGGCTTAATGCTACTACTAGGCTTTCACCCCATTTATCATTCTCTCTCCTTTATAACGAGCATAGCTTGTTATCTTAATAGAATGTCCAGGACGAGAACGAGCTGCCACTGTACCGCTCGGCGGCTTTCATTCCTCCACTCGATTGGCCAGTCCTTGAATATCCCAGATCCCCTTCCGATTAGGTTAAATGTGGCGGGTACCTCAAGGGTTACCACGGGCACCCAAACTTACACATGACTACATGCTTTACAAAAGTGGATTCAAAATAAACAGAGCGAAAACCGACGTCTGATTCTATAACTTAGTTATATCGAGACAGTCCCTTGCTTTTCATATAGGCATAATATATGCGAAACGAATCAACTCTTTCGTATCTTCATGATCTACGAGCAGAAAATGCCGGATCTAGGCCTTTCTCTCGGCCTTACCGGTGGGGATGTTGAACAGGACGGCGGGCTGACCGGGGGCGTAGGGGCGGTCGAGACGGTAGTAGCCCTTGCGCTCGAACTGGATGATGTCGCCCTCCTTGAGGTCGGCGACGTTGGCGTCGGCGACGGCCTCGTCGCGGAACTCGGTCTTGGGGTTCAGGACGGCCTCGAGGGTGTCCTCCTCGGTCATGGAGTCCTTGTTGAGCAGGAAGTCGAAGTCGACCAGCTCGACGGGGACGAGGTCCTGGTCGGCCGAGAGCCAGGTCACCTTCTTCTCGGTCTTCTTGAAGTCGCCCTCGAGGTGGAGGTCGAGCTCGAGGGCCGTGACGGCGCCGGTGGCGGCGTCGGTCTCGATCTTGCGGACGATGGCGTTACCCCACGCCATCAGGGTGATCTCCTCGTCCTGCTTGAAGGTCTTGGCATCCTCCTGGTCGAACAGGATGGAGCCGCTGAAAGTCACCTTCTTCGTGCCGACGGCCGGGTTCTTGGCGTGCTTGGGCTTCTCCTCGGTGTAGGCGGCCGGGGCGCCCTTCAGCACGGCCTTGACCAGCTGGTTCTTGAGGAGAGCGGTGTGGCGGGGGGCAACAGGGTCGATGTACTTCTTGTTGGTGGCCCAGAAGAGGGTCCAGTCGAGGTTGACGATGTTCTTGCTGGGGCCCTGCTTCAAGATGAACTCTCTCAAGGCCGGAATCGTCATACCACGGCGTCGGATACCCCGGATAGTAGGGAATCTGGGGTCGTCCCAGCCCCAGACAACTCCAGAGTCGACCAGCTTGGTGAGCTTTCTCTTGGACAGGAGAGTCCGCACGAAGTTCATGCGGGCAAAGTCCCAGACTTGGACATCGCGGAGCTTGAGAGTGTCCAAGAACCACTGGTACTGAGCGTTCCGGTCACGGTATTCAATGGTTCTCAGGGCGTGAGTGACTCCCTCCCAACTATCCACGAGTGGACAAGCGAAATCGTAGGTTGGGTAAATCTTCCACTTGGCACCAGTACGGTGGTGCTCCGCAACGTTGCATCTGTAGATAACGGGGTCGCGAAGTGTCTTGTTGGGAGCGTCATAAGAGATCTTTGCACGAATGCACCACCGCAGTCCCTCCGGAGTTCCCTGTTTCATCTCCTCGAAGCGAGCAAGACTCTCCTCGACAGAGGCATCGCGGCGCTTGCTTGGCTCGCCGACCATTCTCTGTTCGGCCATGGTCTCCTTGTCTGTATCGTCGGCGTATGCGTTTCCCTCCTTGATGATGCGAATAGCGTAGTCATAGAGCTGGTCAAAGTAATCACTGGTGTAGCTCATTCGATCCGGCTTGATTCCCATGAGGGCAAGATCCTCGATGATAGCATCCTGGAATTCCTGCTTCTCGTTCGAGGGGTTGGTGTCATCGAAACGAACCAGTAAAGTTCCGTTATACTTCTCGTGGGCGAAGTAGTCGTTCAAAAGGGCAGCCTTGGCGTGTCCGATGTGAAGGTAGCCAGAAGGCTCAGGGGGGAAACGAGTCACCACCCCCTTGTCGGTGTTGAGAAGGTTGATGTCGTAGCTGGCGCCCTCCTTAGCCTTCGCGGTCTTCTTCTCCTTGGCGACGGCGTTGAGGGTCTCAAGAGCAGTGGCGGCCCAGGGGCAGAGCTCATTGATGAAGTTGAACCAACGGGTCAAGCTGATCAGAGCACCCTTGCGCACCGCGGGGATGGCAACCCTATTTCCCCGAAGAGCACCCCAGATGGCAAGGTCGGGAGTCGAGAGGGAGTAGCCAGCGATGAAAGACCGGAGGAGAAGGTGGTTGTTCAGGCGCTGAAGCTGGGGCTCGATGGTCTTGAAGTCGAGAGCGGTGAACGATTCGAGCTGAGAGAGCCATTCGACCTCCTATGGGGCAATGGTGAGTCAAAGAACAAAATGCGAGGGGAAGCACCTCCTGCCCACGGGCACTTACCAGCTTCTCATCCTTGGCGTTCAGGAACGGGAAAGCAGCACGCAGCTCCTTGATTGCATTCTCCGAGCCATAGACGGGCGAACCGTTGGCACCGGTGAGTTCGACAATTGCCTGGTCCCCACGGCTCAGAAGAGCAGTTTCCTCGTAGTTGATCGCGATCAGCTCCTGCTCCTGGTTGAGAGAAGTGGCGACCAAAAGAACAGGCAGCAGAGCAGCCTGGTTGGCCCGGGTGGCCAGAGTCAGCTGGAATTGCGACATCTCTTTTCTCTCTCTGTCTCTCGATAGGGATTGTTAACTCCTCGTGAGATGGAAGGCAAAGGAAAAGGGAAATGCGGGCGGGGAAACAGATAACGGAGTGGAGGGGCATTTTTTGACTCAATCGGAGATTCCGCCGGCGGTATGTTTCTCCGCCTTCCAGGCCGCCCGGAGTCACGCCGGAGAACTTACTCGATTTCGGCCCAGAAAACATTCGGTCGGACTCCCCTTCGCGCTCACATTCAGTCCGGGGTACTCCAGCACGCCGTGCGCCATGTCTTCCTTCAGTTCACTTCTGCCCACTGCGGCACGGGGTTTGATCTCTTCATGTCGGTCTCCCCTGCGACCGGCCTCCATGGCCCCCATTGTCTCCAGCTTTCAGCAAGCCCGAGCAGCTTCCAAGGGTGGCCGCAAGAAAATGATGGACAAGAGCAAGGGCTCCAAACCCGCCAAGAAGGGTCCCAAAGAATTCATTCAAAGAGATCTCAAGAACATCGATCGGTGGGCGCTGTGCGATGCGATGAGGTATGTGTCCTAATCTGTTCGAGAAAATCAGCTTGGGCGACACAGCTGATTGATCGACTCTTGCTACCGCAGATATATCCGCGCCATCGAAGTTGGCCGCGAGCCCACGAATGTGAAATATGAGATCCACGTTCGCTTAAGAACCAAGCGAGACGGCCCCGTTATCCGCAACATGCTTCGATTCCCCAATCCCGTCTCGACCGAGTCCCGGATCTGCGTCATTTGTCCCCCCGGTTCGAAAGCCGAGCAGGACGCTATCGCTGCGGGTGCCGTCCTGGTTGGAGAACAGGTGGTTTTTGATGCTGTGAAGGCGGGCAAGATTGAGTTCGACCGCTGCATTGCCCACCCGGACAGTATGGAGGCCTTCAACAAAGCTGGACTGGGCAGGATCCTTGGTCCTCGCGGTTTGATGCCCAGCGCAAAGATGGGTACCGTGGTTGAAGATGTGGCCGGCCGCGTCGACATGTTGCGCGGTGGTACAACTTACAGGGAGCGTGATGCCGTCATCCGGCTTCCCATCGGCCAGCTGGGTTTCTCCCCCGAGCAACTGCGCGACAATCTGCGCCATACCCTGGAACAGATCAAGAAGGATTGTGCCAACTTGAACGATCGCATATACAAGGATATCTACGAGGTGGTAAGTTGGCAGCCATGTCCTCAATATTTTTCGCTAGCTCGGGAGTTGTCGCTAACATACTTCCATTCAGGTCTTGAGCTCCACCAATGGCCCGGGCTTCAGCTTGAACGGCGACTTTAAAACCGAGCTGTCCGTGGACCCTGCCGCTTTGCAGGGCAATTAAAATAGCTTCTTGAATTATTCAAGGTGTACAGAATATGTTTCATTAGGCAGGACACGGTGTATAATGGTATTGTTTGACATATATCCTCAAAGCATAAGAAGTTTCCCAACGCCGACGCTATGCAAAAGTGGCTTTCGCTGTCTCATCAAGATGTTTAAGATTTCAGGTTCTTGAGTGTGGACACTGCCGTGGCGTCCTCACCCATGATCTTGTAGAGACGTAAGATAGCCATCGTTCTCTTGTCCCGCTTATCTCCCGCATGGCTAGCTTGGTCCAAGGCCGTCTTCAGGTCCAGGAGCACAGCTGATCGGATCTTCGCGACGCGCGATTGTTGACCTAGGATGAAGGGATGTTGGTCGCTAATACGGGCCGACAGCCTCGTCAAGTACAAATACTTCTGGATATGATGCTCGAGAGTCTTCAGCGATACGAGCGGTGTTGCTGGCGGTCCGTTAGCAAGTTCCTCTTCCTCACTGTCATCGCTGGCACTGTCCAGCAGATCGGAATCCGACTCGGGCTCGGTGGTGGCGGAGGGTTTGTTGCGCGGTTGACGAGCGGTGTCACCAATCATCAGCTTTCTTTCTAGCTCCTCAATGCGATCAGCATAGTCCAGTAGCGCGCGCCCGACATTGACTTCGCTCTTCAATCGCTTTTTCTCTTTCAGTAGTCCTTCCACGTCCTGCTGCCGGGCCTCCACCTTGTCGCGAATGGCCCGCACATCCCGCTGGAAGGCCAGGAGTCCGACGCGGACCTGTTCGACCTTCTCCTCCCCTCCTTGCAGTGCAATGCCCAAGGACAGGAAATCCTGATAGTTCTCGTTGACCAGGTCGAGCAGTTCCCGACTGAGCAACTGGTCTAGATCCCGCAACTCTTGTCGCAAGTCTTCCAGACTCTGGTGTCGGTTGGTCAAGGAGGAGAGGTATACGGCGGGGTCGAAATCAGGTGCAAGAAAAGAAGCCCGAGACAGAGGCTGTGGAAATGGCAGGCCGGAAGTATCGTCATCGAGATCGGACGCCGACTCGTCGGAGTCGCCAAACTACCGCGGAGAAATGATTGTCAGCCGAGAGAGGAGGTAGGAAATTAGATATGGAGTGAGGAATAAATTATGACCGTACACGAAACTTGTTCATTTTGAAGGGAAGTTGCAGGCACCAGGCAGCAGGCCGAGAGGAGGACAATGGGGAGACAGACAGACAGACAGACAGACAGACAGACGTCAATAATACCCGGGGGAAGAAAGAGAGGGGAGGAAGTGGAGGTGGCAGGAACGGAACGGTTCCAGTTGGTGTTGGTGGAAGGCCCCAGGCGGAAATCCCGCCGCCCGCGAGTAACCCAAGTATAGGAAGGATTAGGGACTAGGGACGGGACTCAATTACCACTACAACCACCACTACAACCACCACCACTAACTACTCCCTTCTCTCATTCTTTGCTCTTCATACCTGCAGCTTGCAACTATCCGAGTCGCATTGATCAGCGTGTCATCCGACCCTCTCACTCCCGAGACGAAAAGGCGATCATGGTCTCAGACACGCATGCCACCAAAACCCTTCAACCGGTTGCGCCGAGCTCATAGTCTACGGTCTTGTGTTCCCATTGACTGATGCGCTGGAGCGTCTTACGTGTCTCGTGCCGCTGGCCTTGTCCTCCCCGCTACTGCTGCCACCGTCTCAGCTGCGAACTGTCTGTAAGGTGGGGTTGATCATCTCGGGGAGGATGGTGTTGTTGTTGTCGTTGTCGTCGTCGTCGTCGTCGCTGTTGTCCGTATTCCCGTCTATGTTCTAGACAGACCTCCAACCACCACCCCCTCCTTCCCCCCTCCCCCGGCTTGCATTGACACTGGCTGGGATCTTGTTTGTCATCGGCTCTCCGGAACAATGGATCTTCACTCAGACAGGTTGTTCACCCACACGGATGCTTTTGCCCCGTCATCCCCGTCTGCTTCCTTCCCGCGTCGCCGATGGTCGCAGCTCAGCCCTCTGCATACCTCGCCTGTGGTCGAGACTGTGAGACCCTCGCAGTCCACGCATCCCTATCGCAACGGTGAACTATCTCTGACTGAGTCTTCTCGAGCACATCGTGCCACTGCTCTTCGTCAGTTAAATGGTTATGCGAGGCCGTTATCAGGGAAAAGCCGGCCCGCAACCTCTCGGCCTTCCACCTTGGGGTCTCAACCCGTGCTAGTGAGAACATATTCCGGAGGCCCTAATGAGACTTCTACTCGAGCCACGATGCCTTCGCGGCGTTCATTTCTTTTTTCTCCGAGCTCAAGTAGCCGCACCCGGGGGCCTGCGCTCCCCTCCGAGGGTGACTTTAGTATCGATGGCATATTACGCGCCATTGAGCCCGACATCCGCCACACCCTCGACGCCATCGGTGAAATCTGCGGACGAAGCAAATTGAGCTTAGCCAACGAGTATGGGAGCCATATAGCTCCCTTAGGCGAGATTCGTGCTCCACCCGGTGGTCTATTGACCGTCGAGGAAGCCAGCTCTGACCATGAGCGACAGGCCGATAACGTGGTCATATACGATGACGAGAATAGCGTCGCCGACGGACGTGATGCCCACTCCGGTCCACCCCTTCGCTACTGGGACCATGTCCGGCAGACGGCGACGGGTGAACATTCACGAATGATATCTTTACCTGGGTACAGCTCATCGGTACAGGCGCAGCCTGCGACGCGCCGCTCGTCGGCAGCCTTACAGCCCGCTCATGACGAAACTTGTACTGGTTCGCTGTCAACCAGCAGGGAAATTACGTCCAAGTCGGGCGCTGGTGGCCGAGCTCTATTAGGAACCAATGTGGAGAACGAGTCCCGTAGCCGGGCTCACGACATGATTACGCCGGCCCTCGTGAGCGAGACGTTACTGGAAGCTCAGGCTGAGAACCGTCATCTACACCCAAGCATGTCTCCTCCACAGGCATTTCGTCATCGTCGGCCGCTCAGTACAGGCAACCTGGATAGCCGTCTAGCGCATGCTGGTGGAGATCACCCCTCGGGGACATCCAGACCGACCTCATTGTTCGATGTGCGGAGTCTCTTCGGCTGGCTCAGGTATATAATGAGTGATGATGAGCTTAACCGTAGTCCGGCGACCGCAGAAATGAGACTGCGGGCGATGCTGGAGCGACAGAGTAATGGTCACGACGAATGACCTGCTTGTTTATATGCATATTCATGATTGATGATCTACTTAACTATATGATTGTAACGCTGTTTTATGTCTCCGATGCTGCCTGCCTGTCCAAATATGACTATGACAAAGGCACAAATGAACACTGTATCCTTTTTCTCTTCCGCAGAACAAGCTGCCTAAATAAAAAATCATGGTCTCATGAATCACCTACCTGCAAAAAGACGCCACACATGATCCTCGATGTACTAACAACGCAGAACAATATTCAGGGATCATCTACCCCTCGATCTCAGAGATCAACGTCTTCGCAAACGCCTCAAACCGCCCATAAGACCAACCCTCCCGATACCTCTCGACCAGCGGCCTCGTATCCTCAACAGGCGTCTCCCCCTCCTTCCCGCCCTCAATTTCTTTGCCGCTATCTTCCTCCTCAACATCAGAATCATCTCCCTCCTCCCCGATCCCCTTCCCCTCAACCAAAGCCCCAAACCCAACATCAACGGGCACGCTGCCCAAAAACCGCACGCCCATCTCCCGCGCCATGACCTCCCCACCCCCACTGGAGAACAGATTCGTCACCTCCCCGCAGCACGGACACGTATACCCGGACATATTCTCGATGACGCCCAGCGTGGGGATGTTGGTTTTCACGCAGAAGTTGACTTCCTTGCGCACGTCCGAGGTCGCGATCGCTTGCGGCGTCGTCACCAGCACGGCGCCCGCGAGACGTGGCTGTTGCTGTTGCTGCTGCTGCTGCTGCTGCTGCTGCGGTGTGGTGCTGCAGAGCGTGAGAAGCTGCTCGGCTAGCGCGATGTGCTCGTCGCTTGTGCCGGGCGGCGTGTCGATCAAGAGGTAGTCTGTGGGACCCCAGAGGACGTCGGACAGGAATTGTCGGATCATCGCGGTCTTTTTGGGGCCGCGCCAGATTACGGCGTCGGAGCGGGAGCGGAGGAGGAAGCCTAGGGACATGCAGTTTAGGGGGCCGCGGGGGGTTGTGGTTCTGGTTGTGGTTTCGGTGGTGGTGGTGGTGGTGGTGATTGACGAGGAGGAGGACGAGGGATCATCTATGCCGGTATGCACCGGCACAGGTAGCCAGCCGCCGGGGGCTTGAGTGATCTTTGCATCTTCGAGGCCGACCAGGCGAGGGATCGACGGCCCCGTCAGGTCGATGTCGAGAATCCCGACGGATTTGCCTTGCAGCGAGAGCGCGAGGGCGAGTTGGAGGGTTACCGAGGACTTGCCGACGCCGCCTTTGCCGGAGAGGACCTGATGGAGAAACACAACTATGTTAGCGCATGGTGGGAGAAGGAGGTGTATGCGTGCGTTGGCTGCTGCGTGAGGATCGATGTGCATCGCTGGGGGCGTTATCGATAAGGCGAGGGTGGGAGGCGCACGTTCTGGGAGTCGACCGGGGGGATTCTCTTACCAGTACGACGTTCTTGACTCCGTCTAGAGGCATCTTGTGGAATGTTGGCTTCTCTGGTGATTTGACAGAGAGACAATGGGAGTAAAGCTGTCGATCGGTTGTTGGGAGTGGGATGGCATCGATGGCAATGGCCGATCTCGGGCGCGTTTTTTTTTTCTGCGTCATTCCGCGGAGGTTGCTTATCAATCGGCCTTGGTGGGAGGACGGATTCTTTTGATAGCGCTGGTCTGCGTCTACGCTCCGCTCGCTTTCAAGTGTCTTATCCGATGCTATGACACTACCTGGCACATTCCCTTTGTTCATGAATCATTTCATTCCATGATATATCCCTCAAAACTATCTACTCGCCCGGGCTCTTCGATAGCACCCGGTTTATACATAGTTCTAGTCATCAGCCGTGAGCACGTCCAATTTATTGCCACTTCTGCACCACAACCCCACCCCGCTTGAAGTCTGCCATATCTCCCAACACAGCACTCTTGTCCGTAAGATCCTTGCTAGGGAATGTAGTCATCAGAACCCAAGAACGGGACTGGGTATCGGAGGTGGAGGCCGCCACAAACTCGTAGACATCCCCGATCGTGTGGGTGGTGTTGAAGCGAGACGTGAGCCGGGAGCCATCACCAAGACGAACTTGCAGGGTAATGGTGGGTTGAGATTCATCAACATCGGGCTTAGGTGGCTCGGAGGCCTGGGGTGCAGCGGCCGGAGCTTGGGTTGTAGCCGAGTCGGAGGCCGGCACACCGGGCGTAGGGCTTCCCAGTCGTTGTCCTTGTCCGGAAAAGGGCTTATACTTAGGCTTAGGCTTGACGTACTTCTCCTCGTGCTGGTTGATCTCGACGTCCACCTCCTGCCCAGGCTGTACGTTCATGATCGAGAGCGGAGCACGACCTTGTCGAATGCCCTCCAAGATCTCCGCGTTTCGAGGATCATCAGAGCGATAAAGCTCGCCGTCGTCAACCGAAAATCCGTCGGCCCAGAAGTGAAGAGTCCTCTGTACTCGCTGTGGCACTTGAGCAACCGGCGCGCTTGGAGCATCGATGACCCTGCTGGGAGCATCATCCCCGCCAAGGGTACGAGCTGTGCCGGTGAAGTGGGACTGTCTGCTGGGCTCTTCCGAGGGGGGCAGTTGCGTTCTGCTATGTTGTTAGCCTCCTGTCTAGCTTGAGACGGCTCTTGAATCTGACCTCCTGGCTTTCTCGATGATCTTCTTCTTGATGTCGTCGGGGTTCTGCACAGCCAGTCCAGACTTCTCCCCACCGGCAAAGAAATCCTGATTCACCGAGTCCTCCTCTTCCGAAGATTCACCAGCCCCCGAAGCAAAATCCCCCAGTGTTGCGAATCTCTTTTTCGGTCCGGTTTTCCGGGAGGACGGTTGCGGGGTAGTGGATGGCGACTGAGAAGAACTGCCGCCGAGCGAATGGCCGACGGATGGGCCTGTCTCGGCTCCCAAACGCTGGCCTGCGCCTGTGTTTGCGCCTTGCATAGCTTCGTCTTGCTCGGCAAAGAATTCGGTCACTGCGGCTTCGAGGTCCCATTCGTTGGCTGATAGGTATTCTTGTGCCTGAACGTAGTTGTGGTTAGTGTATAAAGTATAGATTATTCACTGATGAATCTTAAGCATACTGTTGAGGGATCTGTGCCAGACATAGCACAGAATTGGGATACCAACTCATCGTGAGCTGCTTGGCCGTGTTCCATATTGGTGATATCACTGGGTGGCTGCGGAACGATCTGACACGCCGAGAAAATTAAGTCACAGAGATTATCACTTGATCACTCAAAGCAGAGTATTTCCCAGGAAAAGAGACAGTAGGGGTATGAGAATCGGTTGATTAGACTAGCTTTGCTATGAAGCTGGAAGAGCTGGAAGCCACATGATGGAACGGCACGCAGTGACAGGCACGCCAATGCCCGTACGTCACTGTTGCCTGATTGGTCATTCGGAAGAGGGGATCTTCCATTGATGCCTCAGGTATTCACCCTCTATCGTCAGTATGTACTGATATGTCCTCTTGCAGTCCATGTATTTTCGACAAATGCACTCATATTGTACGACTAACATGACGTGCAGTCAGACTCCTACTGATATTTCTAAGCAGTATACGCACTCCATATCCGCCTAAAGTTGCACTTTCGTACGCGCTGGTGCTGAAGATTGCGTAACAAGCAAGCAGGCTGCTTACATAACGGGAGCGCAGGTCAGGTGTAGAACCATTCCATTCCGTGACCCTGGAGAAACAGCTGAGCCTTGAACCCTCAACAGCTGAGATACACTTCTTTCCATCCACTCAGCCGTGAATCTGTCGGTCTTTCTTCTCACCGGAACTACTGAAACTGTGCCTGCCACCCATAGTCGATCGGCAGCTTTGCCCCAGACCCCCTTGTCCGCAGCTACACCTTCTGGATACCTTCCGACCTCCCCGCACCATGGCCGCCGACCTCTCCAACTCGGGGGAGCTATATGAATCTGGACTGACTGTCCACTCGGACTCCGAGGTTTATTCCGCCAACCACGATGTTTCCTCTCATTCGTCCTCCACCTCGAGCTCCCCTCTGATCCTCTACAAGCCCCCGACGCTCTGGAGCATTCTGCGAGGGGCCGCTATCAACCTGATTCTGCCCTTTGTGAACGGCTTGATGTTGGGATTTGGCGAACTGTTTGCACATGAGGCTGCCTACAGGCTAGGCTGGTCTGGCACGAAGGTAGGAATGATGGAACCAACTCCTCCCACCCATCAAGGGAAGGAAGGGGTGTCTAGGTCTCCCCCTTCCACAAGGTCTATTGAAGCCGTACTAACACAATCGTCTGCTCTAGATATTCCCTCTGCATCGACGATCTAGGCCAGCTGGACCTGGCATTGAGGTGCGCGAGGTTCCACAGCGACGGGTCACTAGAGCTGCTGGTTTGCAGGACACCACGTCCTTGGAGTAGACAACGATGGGTGCGCAGCATTATAGATTCTTAAACCGGTGAAGTGATCGTCGGGATGATCAAGGCGATAACTCCCGAGAACAATTCATCTTTGAAAAATAGCTAGCGAGGGATGCGCATATGTTGAGAAGTTCCTAGTGTACATAGATCTAAGCATCAGTTGATCAGTCTGACCTGACGGCGTCTGGCGAAGCATCTTGAATTCGACAAATTTGTAGTGACAAATGCGACAATATTTAAAGCAAACAAGGAAGACCACTCTGGAAATAATAGGGTACTCGTGAACTATCCATGAATTATCATCAATCCGATGCAGCCCCGTACATACAAGGAACTACTCCAAGGATGTTCTCCTCCGGCCGCCCGGCAGAAAAGCCAGGCTTGGCAGCGAAAAAGCACTCCGTCGCCGGAGCCCCGATTTTCCCTTCAGGTCCACCAAATCCCCAGCCGTTTCCTCCACGAACTCGTGCCAAACAACCATGTTGGGAGGGACCGGTCTCAGTGGGCGCGGCGCTATGCCCGCCCTCGCCCGCCAGCGGTTGATTGCTTCTTCGCGCTCCAGTCGATCGGTAGGTATCTTCACGCGTTTGTGATTCCGAACTCGAACCCCCATCTGACTTGTGTCCGACAGATGTCCTCGTTCCGTCCGCAAGCCTCCAGAAACGCTCTTCGCTATGCGCAAACCAGCCGACCTATGGCGGGCACTCCTTCGCTGCGGTCTGCATCTGCCATCCCTGCCATCTCCACTGCTCGATTCAACTCGACCGCGGCCACTCCAGTAGCAGACGCTGCCACCGCAGCAGAAACTGCCACTTTACCCGGCGTCGAAGCACTGGAAATTGCTTCGATTCCGGAAAAGATTGGCTACCTGAAAGAGCTGGGGCTGGATTATGGCTGGGGATTCAGCGCGACGATCGAATGGTTCATCGAGCATATTCACATCTGGGGTGGAGTTCCTTGGTGGGCGAGTATCGTCTGCACCGGATTGTTGGTCCGGCTGGCCATGCTGAAGCCCACACTGGCTGCTGCCAATACCGGGACAAAGCTCAACAATGTCAAGCACATCACCACCCCTCTCCGGGCGAAGATGATGGCCGCCCAGGCGGCATCAGACTCACTCGCGATGCAAAAGGCTCGGGCTGAGTTGGAGGATCTGCACAAGAAACACGGCATCGTCGCTTGGAAGGCAATGATTCCCATGCTCCAGATTCCATTCGGTTTCGGATGCTATCGTGTCATCAAGGGTATGACCTCTTTGCCGGTACCAGCTCTGAGCGTCGAGACTGCTGGCTGGCTTCAGGATATCACGGTTGCCGACCCCTACTTCATTTTGCCCGCCATCAGCTCATTGTGCATGTACTGGTCCTTCAAGGTATGAGTGCACCGCTTTTACCTGTGTTCTACTCCTAGTGTGAGGTATGATTGCTAACCGCGCCCTCTCACATCAGAAAGGAGGAGAGTCTGGAGCCAACGAAATGATGAACAGCGAGTTTGGAAAGATGGTGCGCATCGGTCTGCCTAGCATCTCTTTCGTGGTCATGTCCTTTTTCCCGGCGGCATTGCAGTTGTACTTCGTCAGTACCGGTGTCTTTGGCGCGGGCCAGGCTTGGCTGCTCTCCAAACCCGGTTTCCGCAGATGGGCTAATGTCGCGGTTTCCGAAACCCCCCAACTCGCTCCTGGTGAGGTGGCCAAGAACCCCATTCGCTTGCTCACTGAGGCTATCGAGGCGGAGAGGGCCACCAGACTGGCAGCTGCTCCTCCTGCTCCTCCTGCTCCTGTACAGAAGATCAGCTTCATTGATCGCGCGATCGAAAACTTTAAGGAGTCTAAGCAGAAACTCGCAGCGGAGACAACCAACAAGATCGACGAGTTCCGCGGCAATGTGCCCAAGAAGAACGAAGATGGGACATTGGCGGATCCCCCTAGACTGAGCGAGAAGGACCGCAAGACGGCAGAGGACTACGAGAAGCGGAGGAGGGAAGAGGAGGAGTGGAAGCGCGAGGAACGCAATCACGCCCGTCGGCAGGCTCACATGAAGTTCCTGGAGCAACAGCGCGAGAAGGCTCGTTCGACTGTGACTTCGAGCCAGGGCAAGCTCCGCCAGAAGTGATGACTGGACATGATTAGCTGGAGTGGGTTGGGAGTTGTATTTATCTGTACATTATGGGTGCCGTTTCCTCTTCTTTTTTTTACCCTCTACATCTTTGTGTGTTCTAGGCATATGTGCTTCCACCCCTTATAAAGAATGCATTGGAGTTTCTTGCTTATTGTCAATTGGTTTTACTATTACTCGGTGTTGCTAGTTGGTTTGAGAGATGATGGGCTTTGTCAGCACATACAAACGGCTTCCTTTCCTCATGTGCCTTCCATACTTGCATTCTGACCCCCTTCCAACTCCTTCCAGCTGTCACTAAATTACCATGATTGCAGATACAACTTTTCTCCAATTCAATACAACCAGGAATTGCTCCGAAAGAGAGCCCCTGACACGTCGCTGGGGAAAAGAGCAGACACAAATACCTCAAGAACATGAGCCATCTTAACGGATAACCAACCGTTCCACCGAGCAATGATTCAGAGACAGACAGCGAAGCTGTGATCAACGTATCATGCTTTGTTTCTCAGGTACACTGGCCTCGAGTTTCCTCCTACCATGAGGACTCCTGCATCCTCATTTCGAGGTCTTTCAAGAGTTCCAGAAGAAGGGTTTCCTACTCATAGGGTTAGTACAATGCCTCCGACATGAAGGGACGAGAAGCTCACCATAACAAAACGAACAAGAGGGCCATGCCAGAAGATTTCTGGAGCCATTCCAGTGTCAACCTAGAATTATCAGCCGTTTATTCCCCATGATTCGGTAGTCGGGGCCACCTACATAACGTGTTGATGAGGCTACCCCATGATTGCGCTCCGCTAAGCAAGCTCTCTCGGCGTCCAGATATGGCTGCGCATTCCGCCTGTATTTGTAGAGGGCACGATTATATTGCGCCTCTGAGACAACAGATCCGTTCAAAATACAGCGACTACAAGCCCAGCGTGAGAACCTGACCTCCTCGTCGGCATACAGACAAATGGTGTACTGATAGTTGAAGTGCTTTCATATGTCGATTTAGTCAGTCAGTCAGCCCAGTTTTGACTCAAGTTAGCGCACTTGCCCACATACCTGGGTCAAGAAATTATACACGACAGGCGACATAGCCAGGCCGTCGATGATAAACTCGTCCTTGCCCGCGGCCAACTGCTCCTTTATTTCCTGCTTGATGAGGAGGAACAGGATAGAATTGGGGACGATTTTGTGTTCACCGACTGAGTCGGGGACATGTCTGGAAATACAGAACCCCAATCTGCGCTCCTCTTTCTCAATGATGGAGTCTGGTTCGATGCAGGTTAACCCTGTTTGCTCTACCAGCATTGTTGCCATTCGGGTCTTGCCAACACCGGGAGCTCCTACGCATACACCATGTCAGATTTGACGTTCAGATTTCAGTTGTTGGACACACTTACCCGTCGCAACGAACACAACGGCCTTGGAGAGGTCGATCTTGGCCTCTTCAGGGCAAGGATTCCGGTACGGCGCTACGGCCAAAATACCGGCGCTGGGGCTGATCTCATCTGGCCAAAAGGGCTCGCGGGCAAGAGACTTGAGGACCATCTCATCGGGTCCTGAGGGCTGGAACAATGTTCCTGCACTCGTGATGTCTATGTGTTCATAGCACGCCCAAACAAGGCTCTGGTTGAGCACCTGCTTCAAGAGCTCTACCACCTCGTCGTGCTGCTCACTCATTGTGGGAGGCTCTCGTGGTCGAATGTGTGGTGTCTGTATACTCTTGAACTGGTTCTTGGTTGGGAATTAGGGGAAGTATCTTTGGTGTCTAATCTGGGATCTGAGAACAAGTCTGGAGTTGTAGACTGGGGGGTGAGAAGAAACACGCTCTCTTTCCTGTCTTCTCTCATTCAATGCGTACTTGTGAACCTGTGGTGCAGATTGGTGCCAGTGTCGCTTACTCGTCACCATGAGCTGCTGCAGAACGACCGTTGCCTACAAAGCGGATCCTATGATGTCGTCCTTTGTGGCTGTTTGTGTTTCTTCCTCTGTTAACATGCTGTTCCTACTGCCCTCCTCGCTCTCTTACTTGTTTTTCTCACTCTTGTTCTTTTGGTGGTGTACACAAAGTATGATACTCTCTGTACCATCTTCTCTGGATTTGTGCAATGAGATCTCCAGAGGTAAGTAGCCCAAGTCTCTGGTGGTAGTCTGTGCTGGGAAGTGATTTGTGAAATAATAAACAAAGCCTTCCTGCACAACGATCATCCAGGTTAACTCTTCTCTTCCTTCTGCTTACAACAGCTCTAACCGGAAAGCTAACTTATTGAACCCGACAAACAGCTACAACCATGAGACAGTCCTACCTAGATAGGGTTTTCTCCGTCCCGTGACAGAGACGGTGACGGCAATCCCAGCAGTATCACGTCCTTTCACGGAATCCTCCCAACGAGGAGGCGGCAAGAGCCCAGCACCCTCAGGTCCGTCAACCCTGTCATTTTATTCTAGCTCCATATTCTGCCAACCTGCTCGCAACTCCCACTCTCAAACATGTACCTAACGATGGTAACAGCAACCTCGACTTAGAAAGTTGGCTCAACTTCCAGCCTTGATCCAGCAACAAGATGGAACGGCCGGCCGTCAGAATCAGCAGATTGACACTTCGCCTCGAAGACACGGTCCAAATTCCACAGCATTCCGCAGACCCGCATGGTCTGCAAGCTAGAAATCCCGCGGAAGAAGCGGTGGCTCGAGACTGCGCATTGTGTGTCTGTATATGTATCATGTTTATATACCTTTAAAACATATAAATATATAAATATATACACGTACTATATATAGAAAGGTTCGCATCCCCCCGGCCCCCGCCCCCCCACAAAATACGCCGTCACTAACACCCAAACAAGTCCCTCAACCAACAAATTGACATCAACGTGCCAGTGGGTTGTGCCTGCCCTCGGCCTAATCACGGTAATCCTCTCTCTTCCTCTCTCTCCCTCTACACTCCCCCCCCCCCCCCACCGAGCATTACTAACAAATTATACAAAGAGGATAATATACCCTTCAAGAACAGCAGCAATCAACAAAACAGACCGAGTCAGTAATCAGCTCATTGACCTTAGCTGGACCGATGGCGCCTCGACGGCCATTGGGCCCATTACAAATTTTTTTTCCATTTTTCTACGTCCGTGTTTAAAAAAAAAAAAAAAAAAAGGAAAAAAAGTAGACTGGGCCAGATGGGCACCACACCGGTTCTTGCTCACGGCAACCGGGGCTACTATGGCTATAGCCGTCACCATGTGTGTGTGGCACTGATACCACTGAACTTTCGGTCGGGAGTGAACTATCTTTACCTATATATTGGTAGGGATATATCATGATATATTCTCACCGGTATATAAATAAATCATATATGTATCAATAGAGCTTTGCAGACTGCCGCGATGAGGTTCGGAAGTTGACAGTGGAAACACCAAGAACGGGGATCAAGCAGGGGGACTAATGCGAAGTGCCACCAATGAACTTTAAGTTCTGTATTGGTGCTCCAATATCGACTCCATCGCGGTCTGCATTGTATATAGCATATTTTATACCCATATACACTAACTATTCGATGTTCCAGAGGTGCGGATGACGACGTACTACACTGTAAGACAAGCACAGTAAACAATAAGTAGAAGTGTATATGTGACTACACAACGGTATGAGTACATGTGAGTCTGAGGATGCGAAATATATGTCGAGTACTCCGCTCATGCCCAATGTCCTATCCATCCATCCCATCCCACTTTGACCAACTATACCCAAAAGAAAGAGACAGAAATAAAAGAAATATATATGTATGTATATGAAAAAGATGGCTATGGACAAAACACCCTCAGGACCTGGACCAGCCAGAAATAAAGTCCTGCCTTGACTGTCTACTCTCCCCACGACTCAAGGAAAATCCCGAAAACCACGCATGACCTTACCGGTCTCTAAATTTTAGGTCGTAGGCATCGGTCGGAGTTGCATGGGCAACTCGGAAGCCTTCTCTTCTTGTTCATCGAAAACTTTCTTCTCCAACCACGCCGTCAACCGGGCACAGAGAGGGTCAACGTATGCGGTCCACAGGGAGGCGACGATATACACCAGTCCAATCCAGAGTGGAATGCAGAGGGCGACAACCCACGGCGGACGAAGGGGCAACCATGGCGGAAGAACGGTCTGACCGTTCTCGTCGACAGTCTCCTCCCATGGTTGGCCGGTGATGCCGTACAGCATCCAGCAGAGCACGGTGCGGAGGAGTGTACCGTGCACGAGGTAGACGGCGAAACTCTGCTTGCCAAACCAGAGAAGGAGACGGTTCGCCAGGAAGGATTGCGTGCCGGGGGAGATAAAGATGGCGAAGATAATCATGTCAACACCGATGGCACTGTACCGTTTGCCAATGTTGACCTCGGGAGGGAAGACGTAGGTGGCCGCCTTGAACATGTAGTTCGACCAGGGGGCCCATTCGGGGTGTTCACCGGGATAGGAGCAAATGAGGAGGCCGGCGATGGTGACCACGATGGCGATGATACGGCGCGGCCAGCGGTGGGCTTCGATGAGAGAGCGAAAAGTGGTATCGTAGGAGATATCGCTGAGCATCATCCCGTAGACGGCCTGGAGTTGGAAGGTTTCTACACGGAGGGTGGCGGGTTAGTAGGCAAGGTCAGACGCTCGGAGACCCGTGGGGCATAAGCTTACCCGTATCCTTGGCGGCGTCCTGATGGAAGTACAGCATCATGCCGAGGTAGATGACAAGCCGATAGCGGAACTGGACGTACATGGTGGCGCAGAGCAGAATATAGACGAGCATCGACGCCTTCAGCAAGGGCAGCAACGCCCACTGATGATCATCATAGGCCATGTATCCGGTCGTCCAGGTGCTGAGGAAGTTTGCCCCCAGCCGGATCACCTCCTTGAAAAACGAGTCTTCGAGATCGGGAGCAGCGTAGCGACACCACCAGCAGTCGGAGCGGTTGGCCACGACGAAGGCACCAAACTGGGCCATCACCCACGAGATGAACAGGGCGATGGTGGCTGGGAGGATTAAGCGCGGAGGGCGGCGGAAGGCGCTCTTGGCAACCGTCGAAAAAGCACTGAGGTGATTCCCTGCACGCGACAACTTGAGGGGCTTGAGGGCACAGACATAGCCGGTGAGGAAAGCGAAGATGGTGACTCCAAGTCGTCCCTGCCAGGGAATGCGGAGGATGGGCCACTGAAGGACCCGGGGCGGCACGCCCTCCTTGTCTCTTGGCGCGAAGAGATCATAATCCCAGGCGCGGGCCAGATGGGTGAGGACGACGAGGAAAGAGGCAATCCCACGCAGACCCTGGTCAGTCGGTCAGTATATCGCCGAGGACCCAGCAGGCGAGCACGAGCACGAGCACGAGGACGAGGATAAGGATGGAGATGAGGATGAGGATGAGGCAGAGAAAGCACCTACATCGATCCACTTGACGCTTTTGCGAGGATCTCCGGGGGGAGCATTAGGATTCCACAAGGTATCCCTTAGACGAGTATAGAGAGGGGACTTCTGTAAAGACTGCATACTGGGATGGAAGGCTGTTTCACAGAGCAAGGAAAGACAAGATGAGATAGGCGCGCAAGCGAGCCATACATAGATATGTAACAGCAGCCCGAGGTAAGCCGAGAGAGAGAGAGAGAGAGAGAGAGAGAGAGAGGGATGGAGGGAGACAGTAAAAGGAGTGACCAAGAAGAGAAGAGAAGAAGAAGAGGAAGAGGAAGAAGAGGAAAAGAGAGAGAGAGAGAGAGAGAGGAAGGAAGGAAGGAAGGAAGGAAGGAAGGAAGAGATGGAGGGGAAGGGGAATAGGAAGGGAAGAGCAGAAGCAGAAGGAGCGAGCGAGGATCAGCAACAGTCGAAGAAAGAGGAAGGAAGGGAAGGAAGGAAGGCAACAGTACCTAGTACCTAAACAGCCAGCAGTAACAATACTTACAGTAGTTAGTATCAATCAATGCTTGCCCGATTTATCAGTCACTGCACTACTCCGTCCCTACTCCGTACGCTTTGCCCAGACACTAAAGGGAGACTCGCCAAGAATCCATCCGAAACCCGTAAGGCTCTCAGGGACTCCAGGGGGTGGATTTGCCCATTCTTGGCTGCTCCAATTGCGCCATGCCGAGCCCTATGATGCGATTAGAGGCCCAGAGGGAGGGAGGTATTCATCGCTTTGCATGCACAATGCAGAATCCAAAGGAAAATAATGCAAAAGGAAAAAATGAAAAAGAAAAAAGCAACTATGAAATTATAAATAGATAAGTCTGCGTATCCCCCTCTCCTCTCTTCTCTCCTCTGCCCTCCCTCCCTTCTTTCTTGCGTGAATGTCGTTGATCAATAAGAGTCAGTCTTCCACTAATACTATACTGGAGACAGACGGTTTATTAGTCCCAAACCTCGCCATCTTTGACCTGTCACCATAGTGTTATGTTGCTGCTGCTTCGGCAATCGGCAAAATGTAAAAAAAAATGTAAAAAAAGTAAAATGGAGAAAAGAGACCACCGACAGACTCGCTCTCAAATGACAGCCGCCGCCCAGCCAGGGTTTGGTTACCCGCAGTAGGAAATAATACTGGGTCTTTCTTGGCAGTCCTTTTCCCTCACAAGCCCTTCATCATTTCCCAATGCCACTAATTCCCCATCATGATTCATGAACTTTGGACCTTTTAGCGAAAGATGCGCCGTCCTCCGACACTACCTGCAGCCCAAGTCACCGACCCCCGAACCCCCAGATTGCCCATACTCAATCCGGAGAATCCAACGCCCCCTCCTTCCCCATCTCGCTTATACCGCCGAAGCGCTTCCCTCAAATGGGCCGGAAGCAGTTGCCCCCGATGCGGATTGGGGGGTAACTTCATTTCACTTTTGGCAGCAGTCGTCGTCAGCAGTGATCCGCCTCTGTCTATCATTCCTTGTGGCTTGACCACTCCAGGATGATGGGTCGTACTCGTAGGGGCTGGTGTTGCGGCGGCGGCGGCGGCGGCGGCTGCTGCGAGGGCCGCCTGGTCATGAGCTTCGGCCCATTCCGCCTGCACCGTTCGAGCCTTTTCGATAATCTCGCCCGCAAAGACCTTGGTGAAGCCGTTAATCGTTGTCACCACGCTAGCTGGCACCGATTGTGACAGAGCATGGTTGACGATTCTCCGCAGCGTCTCCTTTCGTAGTTTGGCTCGTTTGAAGAGATCGTATCGCTCCGACTGTAACGGATTAAACGCATCCACGAGTAATCTGTTCGGTGCAACCGCCCACCCATCCTGGTCAGTAGTTTTTTCTCATCCTCTCTTTCTCTTTCTCCCACCCACCCTCCACCATCACAACAAACCTCACCACAACCACCAAACACAAACACCCCACCCCAGGGGAACAAAGTCAACCCACCCCCCC